CCCTCTTTTTGATGTCTGCTCCCAGCTTTTATCAGCTAAGAAAATCATCTTGATATAAAGCAATTTGAGCGAATGAGACCAATAGGGGGTCCAGTGGTAAAAAAGGCTGTCTCTGCACATGGTGCAGAGGGAAGTGAGGGACAAATGGGCTTGTCAACCTGGTAAGGGGGCCCATCTAGGAGAAGGAAAACTCTGATCTTAAACCTCAGCCACTTTGCAAGTATCAACATTCGTGAGAAAGGCTTTGGGAGTAAACCCTGAGGAAAAATCAGTACCAACTGCCTTGTGGGACATCTTCAGGAGAAGAAAAGGCTAAGAAGTAAACCCTACCTACACCAATCTGGAGTGGAGTCCCTAAGATGGCTGGATGGTGCCTTCTACTCCTTCTTCCCGCAACTCCTGTAGTCAAGCTGGTGCCAGACATATTGCTCTGCTTTCATTTGGACTACATCAGCAAGGCCGAGAGGCAGGTCTTGTCTGGTCAGCCCAGGACTTATGTACACATTGCTCAGGCTTGTGCCCCAGGAAGGTCACTTTGGTGCTACTAACATAGTGGTACCCCTGGAGGCACACTCCAGTGTCTCTAGAGCAGAGGTTTTCAACCTTTTTGAGTCCATGGCTCCCTTGACCAACTACAGGAGTGGCACTCCTATGGGGCTCAGGAGCTCAGTTATGTCACCCCTCGCCTGCAGAGCTGGCAGCCTTTCACGCTTTTTCGAACACCCTCCCTTGTGGAGTGTTCTCTCAGCCTCCTGTCCTCTCCCCTCTCCTTGGGAGTCCTCTGGGCAGCCACTGCTGCTGTCCCTGGTCTCTTGAGCTGCTCCCCCTTGCTCCAAAGAGAAGTACCTCCTCAAACTGCCCCACAGGGGCCTGGGACTTATCTGTTCATTCCCAACAGCAAGGGCTGGAGGACTGGTTGGGCTCCCTCAACTGCTTGCTTGCTTACTCCAAGGCCACATCAGCTCCTGGCAACTAGCAGCCCCTGGCCCGCCCAAGGCACCATTCGCCTGTGGAGCTTGTAGCCAGGGCTGCAACAAACAGCTGTGCAAGCTTTTGGTAGGCAGAGATGCAAGAGGGCATCAGAGGAGGGAGAGAAGAAAAGAGAGACAGAGGCCAGTCTTGCCCGTGACACCCCTGAACATCATTCAAGGCACCCCAGGATGCCACGGCACTCTGGTTGAAAACCGCTGCTCTAGAGATAGACAGATGCCAACAATTGTCTATGACTAAGTATATTAACTGCAATTTCTGAATTTTTTTCAAAAGCAACTCCATATAGATTACTGTTAAATGCAGTGACATCTGGAGGTTACTAGAGATGTGTTAGGCCATCTCTTTCTGGGTAGAGTCATATCTGGCATTCTAGTCTAAACTGATATGCTTGTTTAGCTTGGCCATAATAATCTGATCAAATTAAAATGTATCTAGATCTAGCAAATTTCACCACTTGATGGGATTCTAATAAGAATGCATAGATATATATTTATGAGGTTCTTATGTTCACCTACCTCTCTGTCTGCAGGTAACCAGTGAAAAATTATGCAGGGCCCAGCATGACCTACATTTCCAGGCTGCCACCTATCTCTGTCTTCTGCGTAGTGTCCGAGAACACTTAGCATTGCATAAGGAATATCATGGCAAAGGAGAGCGGTCAACAGAGGAAGCAGCTGGTCTTGTAGGCCTTAAACTGCCACAACAGCCTGGAGGGAAAGGATGGGAGCCATGAATATAACAAGATTTGTTCTTACTTCCTGAGAATGCTATATTGAGTTTTATTTTTGAAGAGACACATTTGTTCAAATAAAAATGCTTGTATGAAATATAAGACTCTTAACCAGAAATTTGCAGTGCCCTTAAATGTGTTAAAGTACAGTCAACTCTTCTGATACATATATTTGGTTGCTTATTCCATCTTCCCTTTCAGCCTGCCTGCACTGCCATAACAAAGTGTTAACTATACAGACTGCGAAGTGCGTATGATGAAGACTCAGCTGTTTTCCCAACCAGGATTTTCTTTGATCCGTTGAGTTAAGAAATACTAATTTGGGGTGCAATCCTTTCCACACTTACCTGAGAGTAAGCCCCAGTGAAGCCAGAACTTACTTCAAAGTAAACAGACACTGTAAATGTGCAATCAAAGCTACCTTGGAAATTGATAATTTAAATAGTTTAAATGTCAACCACCTTGCAACTAGCCAATTCAAAATCAACAGTTAAAAACTAACATGATATGATATGATATGATACGATATGATATGATAAAGCATCAGTTATAAAACTACAAACTTACTATTGCTTACTTTTAGAAAGTCTGTGTAAGTACGGTAAATTGTATCCACTAAAAAGATGGCCGTTAGTGCCAGGCAGGCCTCCCTAGAGAGGACATTTTATAGATAAGGTGCCATGCCCAACTGGATCCTTTTTCCTGTCACCACTTGCCAGTCCTTTGAAGATGGAGGGGCACAGCAAAGGGGTACTGAAAATAGCTGCAAGGTTCAAGAAGTCTTGTGTGGTAGAATACTGTTTTTCAGGTATCAGGTTCCCTAGCTGCATATATCTTTATAGGTAATCACCAGCACTTTGAATTGTACCTGGAAATGAACCAGCAGCCAGGCTAGCTATTTAAAAACGGGTGATGTTTGAAGCATATAGTTGCTGCACTTAATAATCTGGCTGAAACATTTTTTAGTAATTGAACGTGTCTAGGAAGTCTTCAAAAGCAGCTATACACAAAGCACTGCCGCAGTCTGAAGATTGCTTAGATGGTTATTCATGAGCTACTGATCTCTGTCCAGGAGACACTATTTGAAGGTACTGCATACCATGAGGATCATTTAAGCATCCAGTATTCTGGATTTAGCAGAACCCCTAGCTATGAAGCTAATCATACAAACAACACTGTTCAGTACCATTCTGTAACTGGCCTGCTCCTTCCATGATCAGAAAAGCTACCTTCTAACAGTACATCTGACTTCTCTGGATTGATCTTTGGTTTATTGGCCTTACACATCCATTACAGTTTGCAAACACTGATTCAGCACTCCCATTATTTAACCTTAATGTAACAAAAAAGAGAACTTAGGTGAGTGCAACTGGAATCTCCAGCTGAACTGATTTGACTGTACATGTTAAGAAATGATTTTTAAAAAGACTTTTGCAGCAATGCTGTGTTGTTTGATGTTGCATTTCCCCCATTTATTACATTATTATGTTTCATTTCACATTTTTGTAAGTTGCTCTCTGAAAGTATCCTAAAATGTAGGTATAAATATATTAAATAAATAAACAAACATAAATGTATAGGAAACTAGATGGACCCTAAAGTATAAATACAATAATGTCCATGAGTAGTCTCCTAGGACCACCTTCTGGAATTGGCTGTCTAGGTCAGGACTGAAACCAATAATAAAAAAAAAGAACAGTCCCAACCCTATTCAGAAGATACTGTCAATGATATCGAAAGCTTTCTAGAGATGCTGAACAGGGTAGGCCACAATGCATTTCCCTCTCCTGGTATAGCCCATCCATCTGGGCAACCAAATAATAATAATAATAATAATTTATTATTTGTACCCCGCCCATCTGACTGGGTTTCCCCAGCCACTCTGGGCGGCTTTCACAAAGACCACTAAGATGTCACACTTTAAAAACTTCCCTGAACAGGGCTGCCTTAAGATGTCTTCTGAATGTCAGGTAGTTGTTTATCTTTTTGACATCTGATGGGAGGGCGTTCCACAGGGTGGGTGCCACTACTGAGAAGGCCCTCTGTCTGGTTCCCTGTAGCTTTGCTTCTCGCAATGAGGGAACCGCCAGAAGGCCCTCGGCGCTGGACCTCAGCGTCCGGGCAGAACGATGGGGGTGGAGACGCTCCTTCAGTTTTTGTATTGAAGCTTAATTGAAATACAGTGGTTCTTGAACGTAATCCATTCCAGGAGTCTGTTCAACTCCCGAAACCGTTAGAAAACCATGGCACTGCTTCCAATTGGCTTTAGGAGCTTCCTGCACTCAATTGGAAGCTGCGGAAGCCGCTTCGGATGTTTGGCTTCCGAAAAACGTTAGCAAACTGGAACACTTCAGTGTTTGCGGCGTTTCAGAGCTGATTTGTTCGGCAACTAAGCCGTTCGGGAACCAAGGTACCACTGTAGATCCAGAAGGGTGGATGGATTTGTATGGCAATCACTGAAAGACCATGCATTGTTTTCATGGGGGGGTATGTCAACAGAAGAAGTCTTTAGAGGTCTCACAATTGCCTCTTTCAGTGCTAATAGCCAAGGTGCATAATGTGCAAGGCAGTTGGCTACGCTCTGCCAAGCACCTTGCCCATCCCCAGGCTGCAGCAAAGTGAAATTCATCCATCAAAGTAAGAATGGATGGTTCACTTGAATATATCCATAAACTGAAAACAGGAGCTGATCTATATACTAGATTCACCCATATATTGAACTGCACAACTAGTACCATGTAATATGCAACTGGTGACGAATCTAAACTTCTTATTTATTTTTATTCCATCTATCTTTCAAGAAGCTTAGAGTGGCCTACAGTTTCAGACCATAGCCCTGTGAAGGATATGCTCAAAGACAGTAACAGGCGCAGGGTTTGTAGGAATTTAAAACTGGGACTTCTTGGCTTATGTCAAGTGATGTACACCCTCTAGCCACCCTATTCAAAAACGATGCAGCTATTATCACCTCTAAACTGTGGCCAGTGGTTTGGCTACGAAAAGGACCTTTTGAAGTTTCAAGAGGGGGAGAGGAAGGTGAGCTTCCTCCAACGCTGTGGCCAAAGGAGTCGTTTTCTCTTTAAGAACATCTGCTAGGCCGCTGACGCTCGTCTGATTCAAAGGACAAAACGTCACAGAAAGAGGCTACGGGAGTCGCTTCCAATCAGATCAAGCGGCGACCCGAAGGCAGGAGCGAGAACGCCTGACGTCGCAGGCTCGACGAGCGCCTGGGTTAGCCAATCAGAGCGATACAAATAGTCGGGGAAGGCGGGAGCGCGCGCGCGCGCAAGGTTGTCCGTTACTGCCAGGCTGCGCGCGCGCGCCTAGCGAGGCAAGCGAGAGAGGAGTGAGCGCGCGGGGGGGACTGGCGGCCCTCAGATACCGACGAGCACGAGGCGGTTACCCGCTTCCCTTTCCCGTAAGAAGAGGCGACGCTTCGGCTGCGCCGGCCTCGGAGGAGAAGAGCGTGTGAGAGAGAGACGGTGCGCTTGAGCTCGCCCCTGGGCGAAGCGACCGCGGCGTCGGCTTCGACATCTTCTAGGCCGCTGTGGGCGGGGCTTATTCGGACTCGGCCGGCCCTGCCGGGTCCCGCGCGCTTTCAGGATGTCGGCACAGGCCCAAATGCGCGCGATGCTGGACCAGCTTATGGGCACCTCCCGGGACGGTAAGAATGATTGCCTGCTAGTCAGGCTCGGAGAGGGCGGGGGCGCGTCCCCCTCGGTCGCGGGGAAGGAGAGCAGAAGGAGCAGGAAAGGCCTACTGCGATGATTGGCAGGTCCTGCGCCGCGGATCCTTTCTCCTCCCCTTCATGGGCGGGGCTTAAGGCAGGGTGAGAGGCCCCCGCTCGGGAGCCGCCACTACGATTTGTAAGAGGGACGTGTGTATGCCGATGCGGATGTGCAGGGAGCGGGAGAGGGACGCATCCTACTGCGAAGAAGGGCGCCTCTTTGGTCTGCAACGCACGCAGGGGCAACGTTGGCAGTGAAGTATTCAAAAGGATATGGGCTGCACTAGTTAATTATTAAATTCCCCGTTCCACTCTTCATTTTGGCTCATCAGTGAAACAGCAGTTCACCTTATTCTGACCGGGGTAGGGGGAGCATCAGGTCATTTCGGTCACTGTAACTGTCATATATGTTTTGCCTACTGGAGATCTGACCCAAACCAGCATTTCAAGTCAATCCTGTACATTGCAGAGAAGCATTTTTTAAATAGAAATTTTAGGCATTGTCTGGATCTGTTAAAAATTCTGCATTTATGTATTTTATTATATATTGTATTTGTATCCCACCTTTCCTTCCAAGGAGCTTAAGGTACCATACATGGTTCCCACCACCCTTTCCATTCATACAACAGCCCTGTGAGGTAGGTTAGTCTTTGAAACAGTGGCTGGCTCAAGGTAACCAAGTGAGCATTGTGGCTGAGTCAGGATTTGAACCCTGGTGTCTCAGGTCCTAGTCCAACTCTATCCACAACACCACACTGGCTCTCCTGGGGAGTTCGTTTGTTTCTAGCTTTTTCCTTTTAATTTCACTTTGAAAATCAATGGTACCTGAAATAAAACACCTTAGAAGTACATTCTTTGAAAATGGGCTGTTTTGACCACATGTCTCATAGTAAAAGCAGCAGCAGGAGTAAGCAAATATTCTAGTGGCCTGTTCATAGATTTGAATAGAATTCAAAGCATTCATCCATTAGTGAGCTAATATTAGTCCTTACTGAAAAAGTTATTATTGCAGGCACACAATAGGTTATTGAGGAAGGGGAAATGTTGAGCAGTGAATGTATTGCTATATTAAAAGTAGATATTGATACGTATTCAGTCTTTTAAAGATACTTAAATCTTTACAAACAACTTGCATAGGCAGCTTGCTCAATCTAGGATTCTATGAGTCTTTCTTACCGTTTCATCTAAATCAGCTATAATGTGTTTTGTCCTTGGGGAAATGATGATGAGCTTCTCCTGGCAGCCTTTTAAAGTACAGTGGTGCCTCGCAAGACGAAATTAATTCGTTCCGCAAGTCTCTTCGTCTTGCGAGTTTTTCGTCTTGCGATGCACGGTTTCCCATAGGAATGCATTGAAAATCAATTAATGCGTTCCTAGGGAAACCGACTTCAGACCAGGTCCGGGGACAGTCTGTCCCCCGACCTCTTCTGAAGGCTGGGGGGGGGACAAGGGCTTTTCTTCCCACCCCCAGCATTTTAAAAAACCCCGGGACAGCGGAGGACGTCTCCGCTGTCCGGGGCGATCTTAAAATGCTGACGGGCGGCATTTTAAAATCACCCGGGACAGCGGAGGACTTCTCCGCTGTCCGGGGCGATTTAAAAGCCCCTGGGAAGGCAGGCAGGGGGGACAAAGACTTTCGCCCCCGCCAGCCTTCAGAAGAGGTCCTGGACCTCTTCTGAAGGCTGGCGGGGGGCGAAAGTCTTTGCTCCCCCCGCCTGCCTTCAAAAGCTGTCCGGCCCAGGCTTCGCGGACCTCTCCGCAAGCAGCGGCAGCGCTGCCGCTGCTTGCGGACAGGTGCCAGCATGCCGAAGCCTGCGCGCGCTGAGATCAGCGCGCCCAGGCTTCCTGCCCTGCCTCCCAGCATCGGGGCATCGTCCCGATGGCGCGCGGCGGCGGAGGCGTTCCCCCCCCCCCGCCGCCCGGGATCGGGGCATCGTCCCGATGGCGCGCGGCGGAGGAGGCGTTCCCCCCCCCCCGCCGCCCGGGATCGGGGCATCGTCCTGATGGCGGGCGGAGGAGGAGCCGTTCCCCCCCCCGCCGCCGCCCGGGATCGGGGCATCGTCCCGATGGCGGGCGGCAGAGGAGGCGTTCTCCCCCCCGCCGCCCGGGATCGGGGCATCGTCCCGATGGCGGGCGGCGGAGGAGGCGCCCCCCCCCGCCGCCCGGGATCGGGGCATCGTCCCGATGGCGCGCGGCGGCGGAGGCGTTCCCCCCCCGCCGCCCGGGATCGGGGCATCGTCCCGATGGCGGGCGGCGGAGGAGGCGTCCCCCCCCGCCGCCCGGGATCGGGGCATCGTCCCGATGGCGGGCGGCGGGGGGAGGCGTTCCCCCCCGCCGCCCGGGATCGGGGCATCGTCCCGATGGCGCGCGGCGGCGGAAGCGTCCCCCCCCCCCGCCGCCCGGGATCGGGGCATCGTCCCGATGGCGTGCGGCGGCGGAAGCGTCCCCCCCCCGCCGCCCGGGATCGGGGCATCGTCCCGATGGCGGGCGGCAGGGGGAGGCGTTCCCCTCCCGCCGCCCGGGATCGGGGCATCGTCCCGATGGCGGGCGGCGGAGGAGGCGTTCCCCCCCCGCCGCCCGGGATCGGGGCATCGTCCCGATGGCGGGCGGCGGGGGGAGGCGTTCCCGCCCCGCCGCCCGGCATCGGGGCATCGTCCCGATGGCGGGCGGCGGGGGGAGGCGTTCCCCCCCCGCCCGGCATCGGGGCATCGTTCCGAAGCCCGGCGGCGGCGGGAGGAGGTGTCCCCGCCCCGCCACCAGGCTTCGGAGGAGGTCCAAGGACAGCGGGGAAGACGCGCTGCGCTTCCCCGCTGTCCCGGAGATTTCCCTATGGGCTGTCGTCTTGCGAAGCAAGCCCATAGGGAAATTCGTTTTGCGAAGCGCCTCCAAAACGGAAAACCCTTTCGTCTAGCGGGTTTTCCGTCTTGCGAGGCGTTCGTCTTGCGAGGTACCACTGTATGTATCTCCATATGAGCCCCTATCCACTTCAGTATCATTGGAATAGCATCACATTACAGTACACCCCACCATATATGGGCATGGTGGGAAGGCTTTTGTGAGAAGTTACATCCTGAGAGCATCCCTACCAGTTTCAGAGCTGGCACACCAAGCAAGTCTTGGGCAAGAAGCAAGGCTGAGAGCTTTATTAATTTTTCAAATTTATATTTTTATAGCTTGGTTGCTTTTCCTATGCTTTTTCAATTTTTTATTTTGTTTGTTTAATGGAAAGCTGAGCTGTAAGCATTGTAAAACTTAAGAACAATAATACAACAGAAATCCAATAAAACAGTACTAACAAAATATTAAAAATGTTAAAACAAGAATTCAGGAAATTCACACAAATAAAATACAGGGTCTGAGATCATGGGCCAGGAAATGTCTGGGCAAAGACATATGTTTTAACAAGTCTCCTGAAGCAATTGATTGTTGCTTCATGTATGGCCGAAGGCAGGTCATCCCATTGTACACGGACAATAACAATGTCACCAAACTGTGGACTTGGAGTTGGGATGCTAAGTGTGGAAGTGAATATTTATGCTCTACACAAAAGTTCAGAGGTGGTTTCTTTTAGACTAAAATAAATTATGTTGTTACGCTGTTGCTTGATCAGGTGAGAGAACTTTCTCATTTAAAACCTATGTGTTTTACTTTTTGTCTCTTTCAGAGCAGGGGATTTGTTCTTGGTCAACTTTCACACATGCTGGCTGTTTTTTTTATGCAGAAACTTTTTAAGGGCAATGGATGCTGTTGAAGAGCTCTTACCATCAAAAAGTTCTTCCCAGTGCTTAGTCAGAATCTCCTTTCTTGTAACTTGAATTGATTGCCTTGGGTCCTAGCCTCCAGGGCAGGAGAAAACAAGCTTGCTCCATCTTCCATGTGACAGCCCTTTAGATATTTGAAGATGACTATTAAATCTCCTCTGTTGACTCTTTACCAGGCTAAACATACCCAACTCCTTCAGCAGTTCCTCATAATGCTTGGTTTCCAGATCCTTTATCATCTTGGTTGCCCTCTACACATGTTGCAGCTTGTCAGTGTCCTTAAATTGTGGTGCCCAGAAGTGGACACAGTACTCCAGATGTGGTCTGATTAAGGCAGAACAGAGCAGTACTGTGACTTCCTTTGATTGGGACACTAGATTTCTGTTGATGCAGCCTAGAATAGCATTAGGTTTTTGTTGTTGCATCACATGGTTGACTAAAGTTAACCCCTAGATCCTTTTCACAAGTGTTACTGGCAAGCCAGTTGTCCCCTATATTATATTGGTGCTGCTGCTTCTTCCTACCTAAGTGTAGAACCTTACATTTGTCCTTATTAAAATTCCTTTTGTTTGTTTTGACCCAGTTCTCCAACCTGTTAGGGTCTTTTTGAATCCCGATTCTGTCTTAGGCGGCATTAGCTACCCCTCCCAATTTGATGTCATCTGCAAATTTTATGAGCCTCCTCTCAATCAATTAATTCAAGTCATTTATAAAGATGTACAACAGCGGGCCCAGGATAGAACCCTGCAGCACCCCACTTGTCACTTTTCCCCAGCATGATGAGGTACTCTTTATGAGCACGCTTTTGATTCAATCAACCCATTACAAATCCACCTAACAGTAACTTCATCCAGCCCACATTTTACCAGCTTCTCTGCAAGAATGCCATGGGGTGCTTTGGCAAAAAGCCTTACTGAAATCAAGATACCACTATGTCCACAGCCTTCTCCTAATCCACCAAACTTGTAACTCCATCAAGAAAGAAAATGAGACTTGTCTGGCATGACTTATTTTTGAGAAACCCATGCTGAGTCTTAGTAATCATAGCATCCTTTTCTAAGTGGTCACAGCCTGACTGTTTAATTATCTGTTCCAGAACCTTTCCTGGTGTTGTTGTCAAACTCACTGATCATTAGTTACCTGGGTCTTTTTTCTCCATTTTAAGATGGGTACAATATTTGCCCGCCTCCAGTCTTCAGGGACCTTGCCTTCTCTCAAAAAGTTCACAAAGATTATAGATAGAGGCTCTGTGATTACACCCACAAGCTCCTTTAGTACCCTTGGGTGCAGTTTGCCAGGCCCTGGAGATTTGAATTCATTTTAAAGTATCTAGGTGTTCCCTTACCACTTTTTTCCTATCTTGGGCTGCAGCTTCCTCCTTACATCATTAATTCTGGTATCATCGGGTTGGGCACTGCTTTCCTCTTGGGTGAAAACAGGCAAAGTAGATATTGAACAGTTCTGCCTTTTCTTTGTCTTCTTCATGCAGAGAACCTACTACTTGCTTATTCTTGTTTCAAACACAGCCAAAGAATCATTATTATTTTTAACCTTTCTTGCAAGCCTGAGCGCATTCTGAGCTTTGGCCTCCTGACCTTTTCACTGCAGCTTTTGTCTACTAATGTATACCCTTTCTTCAGTATACATTTTCAGAAGGTTCATCCATGAAGGAAAAATTGGCACATTAAATGCAGAATGAAATTTTGAATGGTGGCCATCAGGGTAAAACTCTTGGTGAACTGCTTAATTGCCATTCTGCATATTTGCTGCATAGCATTTTGAAGATGCTTTGTTGAGCTACATTTTAAAGTTAACCTGTGTCATTGTCTCCTATGGAGATGCTTATAACACTGTATCTACAGAATCCCAATAGTTACAATGCAGTACAGTAATACCTCCGTGAACGTCCGCCTCGTCTAGCGTCCATTCCGGCGAACGTCCGTTGCAAACCTGCAAGTACCGGAATGGGTTACTTCCGGGTTTGCCACTCGCGCATGCACAGAAGCGCAAACCGTTCCATGCGCATGCGCAGACGCGGCGCTTTGCCCTGCGTCCTTTTTTGTTAGTGGCTGGGGCTCCGGAATGGATCCCAGTCGTCAAACAAGGTACAGCTGTACCGATAAAGCTTGTTCGTGAACTCTGAACTGTCGGTTTATTGCATTGTTTTATCAACTTGTAACTGATTAGCATCTCTGAACTATATAGGATCCCTTAAATGGAAGGGATTCCACTAATATTAGTATTGTATTTCTAGAAATAGGAATGGAGGAGGAAAAGTTATTGGTCAGTCTGAAAATAGTAATTATCAAAAAGTTGAGATGATTAAAAAATAATTGTGGATATCCTCTTAAGGTCATACTTGTTCAGATATTGAATATCCATAATAATACTGAATAGTTTAAAATGTAATCTGAAGAAGAAAATACACAAGGCATATTTAAAATGACTGTGTAACTTAGATATATTTATTATGGCCTAACCTGATTTAATACTTACATTGGTTATACTTAGAGTTGTAGTGAAAATGAAATCTGGTTTTTGCTTTTGGTATATGATGGCCCCCACTGAGTTAAGATCTGGTGGATTATGAATAATTTAATTTTTAGAGGGAGCTGAGTTTTAATATCCACAAAAGGTGTAATTTGTATATGTAACAGTTATCCTCACAGGCTTTTCCTAAATGAGATGTCATATAATTAATTGCTTCCATCTCTACCAAGTAGTATATGGAAATATGGTTTGGGCCAGAGACCTTTGAAAAAAAGGAAGCTGCTGTTTCTAAAGATGAACTCAGGGTTTTGTGATCACATACATTCATTGCTACAATTGCAAGAATAAACCTCTTCATGAGAACATTGTAACGTATAGCAGTAGATTAGTAGAAGATTATTTTCACTCCAAAATTATTAGGGGTGCTGGAGTACAGCAATCAGATTTTATCTAAAATTGTATTTTAAATAGCTGAGCAAAATTCTGTTTTTAGTTTGTTTAAAATTTGGCAAGTCTGTCATTAAAGAGTTTACTCATATGTAATGATTTGCATTTTGATACAAGTTGCAGTAATGGGAAAAACTAGACTTTCTTATGGAAACAGTTATATTTACAAGCAAGTCTGGAAAAAATACTTCAAATTCTAGGCATCAGAATCAGTGTTTTTGAGCCAACATCATATCATTTGCTTTCTGGGCTGTCCGGAGGAAAGAGGAGGGAATAAACAAAACATAGACACCTAGGAGTTAAAATATTTTTCCAGTCATAGTTCATAGGAGGCTATTTTTCACTAAACTCCCCTGAATAACAGGCTGACACATTGCTACCAGGCACAAAATTATTCAGGTTTCCCACCATTCTTTACATTCAACATGTATTTCTAGATGCTGTAATGAAAATGCTGGCAGAGTTTATTATATACAAACTGAACAATCTGGCCCCTTGTTTTATTTATAAAGGTTCAATGTATCTATGCCTGCCTACTTCATTCTGCAAGGGAGTGTCAGAAAGGCCCCGCATTCGCCGAGCCGTGAGTTATTGCTAACTTTTCAGATGTGTTAATTAATGTGGAACAACGACTTGTGTCTTTAAAAAGAGAAAGAGGGGAAAACATATCAGTTCCTCAAATCTTCTGCAGTAGCAGGCATGACTTAAAGACAGCTCTAAATTTTCATTAGTATAAAATGGTTAAATTTATAGACTTAGCTTCTGAAAACCTATTGTTGAATTACTTTGAAGCCATTCTAGTTTGTGAATTACTAATCTAATTATCCTCTTGATTTCTGAAACAAATGTTTAAGTGGAATAGAACCCATATGAAAATGCTACATTTGAGTTCTGCAAAGGGCAGATAGCTAAAACTGGAAAAACATACTGGATTTATGAAGTCTAGAATTTTGAGTGTAGAACCACTGCATAGATGCGCTTAAAGTTGCCCATTTCAAGTTGATTGAAATAGGATAGTGATTACATTTATAATAGCAAGCTTCTCTATCCTCTGAGGTGAATGAGGTTGGGATGAAGTTACAAACGTACCATTTTCCCAGCAGCTCTCCTCTGCTTCAGTAATTCACCAGTAGGTTTTCATTATACATAATTATAATTTAAGGGGTAAACTAAAAACAAACAAACACTTGAATAACTTGAGTTGTATAACTGCTGCTGCATCTTTAAACTGGAAATACCTTTTGCGGGGACCTCATATTCAAATCTGAAATAGTAATTATTCCACTGTCCCTTTTCTTGAAGGAAAATAAATCAGTAGCCAGGTGTTGAGTTTTCCATTTAGACCTAATATTTCCAACCTTGTTCACAGATGTGATTGATTAGAGTTGCAATTGGACTTCAGTGTGTGGTAAGCAGGCTGACGTGTTTGTGTTTATAGAACTCTGTTTGTCATTAATGTAGATGCAGTGTGTTCAGCTTATGGGGTTTTAGCTGTCTTAAAATAATGCTGCTAGGGAGAATTTTATTTTTTCCAGTGTTCTAGGTTTATAAAAACTCTTCAGTATGTTTGAACCTGCCAAAGTAGGTTGCTGTGAATGATGTCTTGAAGAAATGGCTGCTGGCAACCAGTAGACACTCAATAAATGTATTGTAAATGCTTGTAAGGCTGTTCATACTAATGCCAAGTGCTGTCCACATGAGCAGGAATAAAAATCTGTTGCATATGTACTTGTATTTTTGAGGCAGTTCTCATTCCATATAGTCCTGTTTTTAGCTTTTTTGCATTATTTGAGTATTGTGTGGTACATAAAATAATTACCACATGTAATACCAAGGTTAAAATACTATCAGTTCTTCAGATTCTAATTTTTTGTGTGTGTGAAATGAAGAACAAAAGTGAAACTACACTGGTTTTAGAACATTATGTGCCTAATCAGAAATGTCTGTTTATGTGTTACAGGGGATACTACCCGCCAGCGAATCAAATTCAGTGATGACAGAGTGTGCAAAAGTCATCTTCTCAACTGCTGCCCTCATGATGTCCTCTCTGGAACAGTGCGTATTTTATTTTATTTTATACTTTGGAGATACATTTTCCTTTGCTGCAAAAATAGCATTAAGGATTAACCATACAGGTTTTAGCAATTTCAGGTCCCAGTTTGTCTGAAAATATGTAGAGGTGTCAGACCAGTTTATGGCATTTCTTGTTACTGATGTACACACACATTTACATAAATTATGAGAATGATTAATTAAGATATTGTAGAAATGAAATCCCTATTGATGATTATGTCTTTTGAAATGATTGCAGCAGAAACTAATACAGTGTTGAATTTTGAATCAAAACATGTTATAAAACTGGAGGCAGAGCAAAATAACATCACCTCCCCACCCCAAACCCCACAGAACTGTTCTCATGATGGTAAAATATTGTGATCTGCCGCCTCCTCTGGAATATTAATTGATCTGCTAGACCCAATTTACTTGCTTTCTTACAGAATCTCTGCTTTCTTATCTTGCTGTACTGAATTATTCGTGTTGCTAGTTTGCCATGTTAAGTCACCTTTCCACTGTATTTGTAAAATATGAGTTCTAACCATCTCTTTCCAGTTTCTGTCCAGATTTCCAAATATATTTTCCCTTTCAACAACAAATGAATGCACTTTGTAATCATGCTTATGTCTAATTTTATCAGTTGGAAGTAGGATCATGATGTTGAATGAATCAAAGCAGCTTTTAATTATGAACCCTCTTAGGCATTCGTGCTTATACTCATTTGATCTTTCCTTACTCTGAATGAAAGAATTTTGCATGAGTGCCTAAATTGGAGGTGTCTGACTTTGTATTCTCGGAGCCTGCGTTGTTTTCCAGACAGCAATCTAGGGACATGCTTTGCGGATTGTTGGGTCCTGTAACAATATTGGTAGCATCTAAAAATAAGGATTTCAGTTATGAAGCATGATTGGTCAGGCATAGCAAGAGCATTCGCATTAAAATGTATATTGTCTTAAAACGTTCTTCTTTTTGCCCGTGGTATCACTTGTAAGAAACATAAACCATACCTTCATTTACCTGGGGCCAGATAAAATTACTTTAGCGACTAGATCCAGTCTGCAGACTACCACTTGGCCATCCCTGAACTAAATTAAGACCAATGCAAACCTAATTCCAAATTTCTCAGTTCAGTCTGAATCCTTGAGCTACAGGAAATATACATGCAGCACAAATTCTTTTTTGCTGCTGTTCTTCATCTTGAAAGTTGGTCACAATGAATACTCTCCGATAAGCAGGGGTTCAAATAAAGGTTCCTTAAAAAAGAAAAATTCATAAGATAGCTGAGTGATGTTATAGAACTCCTAAGAGGATGGAAAGAACAAATACTAATCATAGAGTTGGAAGAGACCCCAAGGGTCATCTAGTCCAATCCCCAGCAATACAGGATATTTGATGCAAGCTGGTAGAAATCTGTTAGAAACTTAGTTGCAAATTTAAGGTAGTGTCTCTTAAGCACTAGTTCCTTCATTGCTGCTTTATCAGGAGCTAAACCTTAATTTTGGTCTGATAACTGGTTAGATAAAAAGATAAAAGATCAATAATCTAGATTTGTCAGTGTGAATGTGCTTTGACTTGATAATGAAATATTCACTTCTAAGCTACATTTCCCCACTGCCCTCATCACACACAAATTGATATTTAACATTGAGTTGCCAGTGATCTTTTAGGAACATTTTTACTTTATAACATACTTTAGACTGCAGATCTGGGGCATAATTGAGTCTCTCATCCTAGAACTCACTGCACATAAAAATCTATGTGTATAGGAGAAAGGTTCTAGCATAGCCTAACTTGCTGCCTTTTTATGTAGGGGACATTTTTTCCTTGTGAGGGTGGATCTGAGAAAGTATAATAAGGTAACTATTAGGACCACAGAGTGGGATGGGGACACAAGAAAAGGGTAGGAAGAAAAATGAAGAAAAACCAGAGGAACTTGCTTCTCCCACCACACAGTAAGTAGCCCAGTTGAGAAGGGGAAAGAGAGTATTCCTGTTTGTCTGTTTTTATTTTGAAGATTTTTAACCCACTATTCATTCCAGAGTAGGCTTTTCAAACTACTGAATGCTGCCTCAGATGCTTTAGTGGTCAGCCAAGCTCTGTTGTTAAAAGCTCTTTCCCCCCCTCATGTTTGTCTAAAGGCCAAAATAGGTATGGTTTGTTAAAACATTAGTTGCCTTAGATAGGCAGACCTTCAGGGTCCCAACAACCTCCCAGCATCCCAAGTTCTGTGGCAAGTACTGTACTCCACAAGGCAAACAAGAAAAGCAAATCTGATGGCATAGGAGCAAATGGTGTTTGAGTAAGGAAAAGAGTGGCATTGAATTTTTATTTATTTATTTATCATTTTATATCCTTCATTATCAGATAATCTAGGAGCAAAATATATTTCTCCTGTGGTCCTTCCCCATTTCCTCCCACCTGTGTTGTAGGCTTTTCTGTCTAACGGTATTAAAGTAAGGGTACCCTACTGCATGCCATTTCAACCAGAGAACTACAAATGTTTCAGGACAGCTGAAAATCTGTAGTTGCCCCAGTACTGTCCCTCCCACAGCTTGGAGAAAGGGCAAGATCTTACCTCCGACATAATGCTGGCTTTTAAAGGCTCAAAGTGCCTCAAAAGCACTGCATGATATCAGGGACAAAATACCGTCACCCACCCAATTCAGTGAGGCAGGTGGGGGCTTATCCTTGTTGCACTGTGCTTTGGAAGCATTTGCAGTGTCTGACTTCAGGGACAATCTCCTCTCAAACTTGCAAGAGAGGGCTCCATACAGTGGGATAATTTGTAGACCTTCCCACCCCATATTAATCACCTTATCTACAATAATTGACCTTCTAATGCTGGCCTTGGATTTACAGAACTAAAAGTTCTGGTCACATACAGGACTTTTAATATTTCTTCTTATAGTGGCAGTCTCCATGCATCCTGGAAAAAAAACCATGTGACACAAGGGGCTGCTGCTAGATGGTAAAATTGATTTCTTTCTGTCCCCCATGCATACATCATAGTACCTTATGCTTATATGGATCCAAACCTGATTGTACCTCGGTTTAAGAACAGTCTGGTTTAAGAATGATTTGGTTTACAAACTCCGCAAAACCGGAAATAGTGTCTTGGTTTGAGAACTTTACCTTGGTCTAAGAACAGAATCTGAATGGTGGAAGGGCACCGGCAGCGGGAGGCCTCATTAGGGAAAGCGCACCTTGGTTTAAGAACAGTTTTGGTTTAAGAACGGACTTCCGGAACGGATTAAGTTCGTAAACCAAGGTGCCACTGTGTTTAATTTTTCAAAAGTGAACTTAAGCCAAACAAATTCAATAATGTCAGAACTGGTAGCAATATTTATTAGTCTGAATTGAACAAAATTGAAATGTATGTTGTAGCTGAGCAGAATCAAACTACGTAGTGCAGTGTTTTGACTCAAGTTCCCAAAACCCTAAAGAAAATCCATGACAATTAAACAGTCCTAAATGTTTGCTGTGTAGATGCAGCCTATATGTCCTAGCCCCCTCTTTAAGGTTTTTATACTAATATACTGTAACTGTAACTGAATATCAAGTACTGTCTACTTATAGCTGCAGAGCTGAAATTCTATATGTCATTGCATAGGAAAAAGAATGCATAGATTTTAAGGGCTATACTGGTACCTAAACTTCCATTGTTGGAAAAATAGGAATGTTTCTAAAGATAATGGACAATGGTCAACATAAGTCACATTCAGTACACCAACTGAAAGCACTATGAATCCATTTATTTTACTGACTCTACTCAGAGTCTGACTTAGTTGGATATCACCCACTGAGTGAGCTTATACACACAACTCTGAGAGTAAGTCTCAATGAATTCAGTGGGGCTTCTCAGTAGGCATGTATAGGATTGCATTGCTAGCTTCCTTGAATATGAGGGGAAAGCAGTGCTCTTTTCTGCATATCAGGGATGGGGAACCATTTCTAGCTCAAAGGCTGCCTTCCCTTCCAGCAGCCATGTGCCAGTGGTGGGTGGGGTGAGAGGCAAAAGTAGACAAAGCAACAAGTATAAATTACCTTTGTACATTAGGCTAGTTTTTACACACATCCTCCAGGCAAGCAAGAAGAAAACATCCTAGCCAGGTGAAAACACTGATGGAGGGTGCAAAGTAGAGCCAGCGAGGAAGCGTGTCCTAGGGAGAGATTTGAAGTTCCCCATCACTACTGTTTTTTAATGTCAGGAGGTTATGTTGTTTGCAACCACTATTTGTATAAGCAAGAAAAGAGACTATATATATATATATATATATATATATATATATATATATATATGCGTGTGTGTGTGTGTGTGTATTTTATATATATATAAATTTGGCTTCCACTTGTGGTTTTTGGGAGGGATGCAAACCAGATGCCCACGTTCTCATGTAACAGTTGTCCTGCTACAAATAGCTTTAAACTGCTGCTGGCTTTAGTTTTTGAAATTGGATTTATTTATTGTTATTTTTTAATTGCATTGTGATTTTAATTAGAATTTGTAACCTCCTGCCATCAAATTAAGCAAGAGGCATTATCACAAGGAGACATTCCAGCAAAGCAAAATAGTTGAGAAAGGGGCAAAGCAGGATGATATGTGGTGTAGCCCAGGGAGAGCCCTGGAGGGGCATATTTGTACACAACACCCAGCCTGAGGTTTTCCACACCAGGCATACACACACCTTTTGCCTCTTAACTTGCATCTACTAATTTATCAGGAAAAAATATACAAGGATAGGTGGGGAAATGTACTTAGGATTTTCTACTTTTAAAATATTATTAGAAATGCTGCTAAGACTGAAGAGCTGTTTCGGTGAGGTTCAAACAAATACCTTTTGCTCTAGTTTGTGAGTATGGTTATACTGAGGCTCATTGATGCTTCAGTGCAGACTGGATTCAATCACTTATAACAAATCTGGCATGCTAATTATTTCAAATATTGTATTGTTTTTAAAGCTTGCACAAACACAGTTTGCTTCATAATATTGGAGTAGAATATGGTTTTAACCCACTATGTATCCAGTGTTTCTGTGTAAAATTTTGCATTTATTTTCAGAGGATGGACCTTGGAGAATGTCTGAAGGTGCACGACTTGGCATTAAGAGCCGATTATGAAATTGCATCCAAAGAACAAGACTTTTTCTTTGAGCTTGACGTATGTTTTATTTTGAAGCTATTTCTATCTACTAAAAGCTAGAGAAGGGAGAATGGGAAGGAATGAGACAAGTGCACAGTGCAGTTGTGTTTTTAAAAACTTGTAATTCTATAAAGAATCCTAGTAACTAAGTGGCAGCTTTTGCAGAATTATTTGACCAGTACATGAAGTGTTGGGTGGGATGCGGGTGGCGCTGTGGGTAAAGGCCTCAGCGCCTAGGGCTTGCCGATTGAAAGGTCGGCGGTTCGAATCCCCCTGGCGGGGTGTGCTCCCGTTGCTCGGTCCCAGCGCCTGCCAACCTAGCAGTTCGAAAGCACCCCCAGGTGCAAGTAGATAAATAGGGACCGCTTACTAGCGGGAAGGTAAACGGCGTTTCCGTGTGCGGCTCTGGCTCGCCAGAGCAGTGATGTCACGCTGGCCACGTGACCCGGAAGTGTCTCCGGACAGCCTCTTGAGTGAGATGGGCGCACAACCCTAGAGTCTGTCAAGACTGGCCTGTATGGGCAGGGGTACCTTTACCTTTACTTACATGAAGTGTTGTGAAATGTTTATAGTTCCATATCCTCAATACGGAATTCATAACTTTTGACAATTATTAAGAGTGGGAGGGGTCGTTGCTATTCCCCACCCTCCACCTCCAAACTGTCTCTCTCAGAATAGTGTTTGCCTTTGTACCTTTGACACACACTTAAGAGTACACAACCCTTTTTAAAATGAAGGCATGGTAGGTGTCATTTCTTCGCTCCACATCCCACAGTACCAATAGCTCCACTTCCTGCAGTACCAATAGTGTGTAAGAAGAAGCTTTATTCTTGTAACATTTGCGCAGTGGGAAGCTAGGGTATTACTCCTTGTTATGTGAATTCCATATACATATTACTTTCTCACTTTAAAAACTCTTTTTGCCAGTTCAAATACAGTTGCCAGATGTGTGTCAAGCCAATATGATTGTACCATCTAATTTTACCGTTTGAAATGGCCCACTATGTGATCTGAAAGGGAATGGTAAAGTGTTAAAGATTTAGTGTACTTGTTGCTTGTTGCATTGAAAGCAATGCATTTAAATGTGGTCTGAGTTGCATTGCTTTAAAATCTCCCAGGAAGTTGCTAGAGGAAGTTTATGCAAATAAAACTTTAGAACTTGAATGAAATACAAAAACCCAAGCACATTTTAAGGTTGAACCAGCAGTCAGTGTAGCAATGCTAGCCTTATTTTTTAAAAATGCTTATTTCTGGCAGTGATACTCCTTTGATTGATGCCTTAGATTGGGGTTTTTTTTAAAATGTGTTAGGCAATGGATCATCTACAGTCATTCATTGCTGATTGTGATCGAAGAACTGAAGTGGCAAAGAAAAGACTGGCTGAAACCCAAGAAGAAATCAGTGCTGAAGTTGCAGCCAAAGTAAGCATTTAAGACTCCCACTCTACAAGTCACTCCATAATTATTCTAGCTTGATTTGTTAAACCATTATTTCTACAGTAACTCTTTAATGTGCAAAAAAATCACAGTAATCACCCTACCGATCTCCTTAAATCATTTTAGCAACGCTCTGAGGTTATTAGAAGTCCATTTAGCTGTTGACAGGGCCATGCAGAGAGTTTGTGAATGAGCACAGGTTTTAGTTTAAGCTTCTCTGAGTTGGATCCAATTCTCTGGGCTCTCCTGATTTTAGCATTTTATGTTTTCTCCTATGTATTGCAAGCTTTCTTGAATTGAATTGAACTGAAATGAATTCATAGGTTTTGAAAGAAAGTTCAGGGAACTCAAAATGCAAGAGCAGACTTTGACAACCGTTTTTCCTGCTTGTAAGAATTAGTAATTCAGTGGCTCTTCTCTTAACTGAAAAAAGATGTGCCTTAGAGGGCAAGAGAATATTTTTGTTTTTTTCAAATAATACCCACTCCTATGCCATAGTCATCTTAATTATTGAGGGTGTTCCATACATCTAACTTTGGTACAAGGAAGGAACATTAGGTGGTATTGGGAAGGAACTTAGGCAGTTGTCTCGTGCTGACTCAGACCATTGGACCATCTAGCTAAGTTATCGTTTACACTGACTATCAGTGGTTCTCCATGATTTCAGGCAAGGTTCTCTCCTAACTCCACCTAGAGATGCTGGGGACTGAACCTTCTGCATGCAAAGCACTTGTTCTGACATTAAGAGAGGGCCCTTCCCCATTTTATACTCGTATAAACGTCAGTGGGTTTTTGTTTTGTTTTACTGGGAAAATACCATGGACTAATAAATTACAGTGAATAGAATGCATACTGAAGTTTTGGGCTACCATTCTTCATTTTTTAAGTGTAGTTAATCCTTTTGTCTCTTGATGATCTTTCTAAAAGTTATATGGCTCAAGAAATGAGAGACCAGCAGCCTATTTTTGTTCATAGATAACATAGCTGGGTTTTCCTAAATCTTGGGCGGGGAAGGGGGGCAGGGACCAGAAAAATGTCAGAACCTGCCCAGTGAGGACTGATTATGTGCATTGGCCACAGAATGCTGATTTATTGTTGCTGTGTGTGTGAAACCAGGGTATGAGCGGGTATGGAGAGTCCTGGAAGAGAGCATGATTGGCTAGCCAGCTGGAATCCTTAACAGAAGTGCTCCATACTGTCACATTTTGTTGTAGGTCCTACTTGTGGGTTTATAGTACAATGTTTTTTTGTGCATTATTGAATTCTTGTAATTGTAAGTCTTATATTTTCTCCCATCTTAAAGGCTGAAAGAGTCCATGAATTGAATGAGGAAATTGGAAAGCTGCTTGCAAAGGTGGAACAACTTGGAGCTGATGGAAATGTGGAAGAATCTCAGAAAGTAATGGATGAAGTGGAGAAAGCAAGGGCAAAGAAAAGAGAAGCAGAGGTAATCTGAAATTGCATTCTTTAGTGGTTCAATTTAGTACAGTATTTGAAAATCATGGTTAAAACACTGGTCCCAAGCTTTCAGTCTATATTGTTTATCAATAAGTTAATTCACAACATTAGCATATAGAGAAGTCTTAGATGGTTACAACTTCATCTGTTGTCCCAAAATGTCAAATAAATCTATATATGAATTTAAGAGTTGGGATTTTATTTCTAGCTGATTTCACTTCTTATCATGTACTGCAGAAGGAGAAAATAGCATGAGGGGACCCATGCAATTTCTTTCCTTCTGTGATGCTGGGTACCTCCAGCTACCACCCAGTTTCCCTTCTAACCTTTTTCTCCAGATGCCTACTTATTCCCACTGTCTGTTTTCCCCCCTCTCTTCCCATGTCAATTTTAGATAGTAATCTCCTTATGGCAGGAAAGCACCATGTGCCTAAATTGTGCTATATAAAGTTTTATTGTTATATTGGCTGGCTTCTAAGCTGCATTTGTGAACTCCCAGTCCTGGCTTATGTATAGAAACAAATGTAATTTCATCAGCAGTGTCAGTTCATCGTTTTCCAGCTTTTTAACTGGAAATGCTTATAATTACATTCTATTTATGTCTTTTTCTCCTCCTGCCCCCATGCTCATACCAAGCAGTTCCTTTAATCTGTTTTAAAATCAAAGTTTATTTCTTCATTATTGTTTCGCTTACAGACAATACACCTATTCTACACTGGCAGTTCCTTCAAGTTTTTTTGCCCTTCTCTTCCCTACACCAAGGGGTATCACACTGGGCAGATAATCAGCAAGTTATTCTGATCTTGGCAAACCAAACACTCACTCTAATTTTGAACCCAATGTCCCCATGGTAACAGGCCTGGAGGCAAACAGAGCTGCTGAGAAAGGATGTGTGTTTGCAAAGAAAAGCTTAAAAGTAGCTAAGAACAAATAAGAGGGCCAACCCTCCTCCCCAAAAAAGCCCTGACCCACTGTGATTTTGTCAGTGGTCTTTGGCAGCCAAACAATGCTATGTATTAGTTGGAAATCGAAAAACTGGTAAGAGGCAAGTTATTTATTAATTTATTTATTTAAAAAATGTATATTCCACCCTTCCAATGTCTCCTAGGGCAGCAAATGGCACAAATGATGAAACAATTAAACCATCTTTTAAAAAAAATTCCAATACAGATGCACAGTTGGCCTGTTTGAGCCTCTTGCAATTTATAGTACAGCGAAGTAGGGAACGGCTGGAACCCTATACAGAAGCACTAAGAGAGGAGGATACATTGCCACATTTTGTGCAAGTCTAACTTGTTAGAAATAATGGCTATTGTTGCCTCTGCCATTTGGCATCAGTTTTATCCAGGAAGTGTGCAGCAGCCGAGTGAATAACCAGCAAAGTGTCTGTTCACATGCATATGCTCTGTAAAAGGGTGGAACTCTTTAAATCTGAAGCTGCAGGCTTGAAACTGTAGGTTGGGAAATTTTAAAAAATGAAAAATAAAATTTATATTAATGAAAGTTTAGGCTGGAGCTTGTGCATAGTACTGGCCTAATTCATCACCTGTCCTTTATTAAGGAATGGAAATGCTGGCTTTCTAGCTAGAGAAGGCACATTATATACTTACCAAGAATATGTTTTATTCATGCATTTGAGATAAATATTGTGATGTCTTTGCAGGAAGTGTACAGGAATTCCATGCCTGCTTCCAGCTTTCAGCAACAGAAGCTTCGAGTTTGTGAAGTATGCTCAGCATATCTTGGTCTACATGATAACGACAGGCGGCTTGCTGATCACTTCGGAGGAAAATTGCACTTGGGCTTTATTGAAATAAGAGAGAAGCTTGAAGAACTCAGGGTAAATAAATATTACATAAGTACATTAATTTTAATGGATCTATTCTGAATATGATTTAGGTGGATATCATATCACGCTCAATATGGGTTTGCATAACTCCAGGTGCTCTTAAGTAGGTGATGCAACTAATAAATTTATGAAATAATAATAGAATAATAGGATTGTACAGTTGGAAGGGATCCCAAAGGGTCATTATTCCAACTCTCTGTGATTCAGTGTTCAAACTCCCATTGTTCTAGGTGCATTTTGCAACGGAATTTCATTAGCACGAGCATTTTCTGAGCTCTGGGTGCGGTACTGTGCCTAAGATTTCAGATTACAACTGCAGAGAGGAAGGAAAGGAGGAGCTTTTTCTGCCTCCCCACTTCTAGATACTCTCTGAAGACTGGAGAAGAGACCCTCTTAAGAGTATTAGGGGAGTGGGCAGGGGAAGGACTAGACCATGTGAAAAGTGAACATAGTATTTTAGCTGCAGTTCATTCATTTTCAGCTTTGTATTCTTGTTATTAAAAAGCGTGCCTGGATATTCCGTTATTTCGCTCATAACCTAGGTTTAAGGTGCCATTTAGCTCCTAGCTTTCATATCTCAGTTTCTAACACACTACATGAGAAATGGCCTTCCAACCTCTGATTAAAAACCTCCAAGGAAGGAGATTCCACCACCTTCCCCAGGGAGTCCATTCCACTGCCAAACATCTCTTAACTATCAGAAAGTTCTTCTTGATATTTCCTTGGAATCCCTTTTCCTGTAACTTGAATCCATTGGTTCGAGCCCCAGCCTCTGGAGCAGGAAGAAACAAGCTTGTGACTAGTGATGTTAAAATTCTCGAGAATAATCTTTTGGAGAATATCCTTGAGAACATTCTCAATTAATGAGAATATTAGAGAATTTCCATTTAAAATAGGAGAATATTCATTTTAATGCATTGAAAATGATATAATTAGTTAATATACATGTCTGTTCATGGATAAACTTGTTCAGATGGCAACCAAAAACTGTACAGATACTTTTATTCAATGTGGCAATGCAGTGAATTCACATTCTTTGATTTTTTTTGCACCAAACTTGAAATTGATTGTATAGGCCTCGGTACTTTAAGTGTATAAAGCATTAAAGCTACTTTCTGTAAAAAAAAATTTACACTGTATGGCCAAGGGTATAGAATTGCTAAGAATAAGGTCACACCAAAATAGGGGGGGAAAGGCTAGTACATATAGTTGAAATACAAACAAATTCAAATGTTCATCAAATTAAATGAATAGCATTTTTAATACTAAAAAAAATGTTTTCTGTAGCTCACATTTCAAAACTGCCAATGGTGAATAACACAATGACCAGTAATGTAACTGGATCAAAAAAATCATTATTCATTACTTACACTGGCAATATCATAGCTTGACTTACTATTAACTAGATTTTTTAAAATGTGGGTTGTAAACCTGCTTTTTACATTAGAATTTACAGTTTGGAGAATATTCTCCGGAGAATTTTCTAGCAGAGAATATTCTCACCTCACATCACTACTTGTGACAGCCCTTTAAATATTTGAAGATGGTTATCATATCTACTCTCACTCTCCTCTTTACCAGGCTAAACATACTCAGCTTCCCCAACTGTTTCTCTTAAGGCTTGGTTTCCAGACCCTTTACCATCATGGTTGCCCTCCTCTGCACACATTCCATCTTGTCAATATCCTCCTTAAATTGTGTGTCCAGAAATGGACACAATACTCTTAAGTGCTGTCTGAACAAGGCAGAACAGAGTGGTACTATTACTTCTCTTGATCTCAGAACATTATACTACAGCAGCTTGATACAGCTTGAATATCATTAGCTTTCTTTGCTGCAGCATTGCACTGTTCACTCAAGTTAAGCTTGTGGTCTACTATAACCTCTCACAATAATTGCAGTGCACAGAGCTTCTGGATCAAAAGTTTAAAATATTGGTCTACACAGAAAAAGAGAGCTCAACATTAAGCAAAATAATTTAAATATTTGTAAGTGTTCACTAACTGATTAAAATATATTTGGGTGATTATTGTATCTTTCTTTCACCTTCTTTGAGCTTTCCTGGTGTATTGACAAGAGAAATACAGTGGTAAAAAGGTAAAGGGACCCCTGACCACTAGGTCCAGTCATGACCGACTCTGGGGTTGCGGCGCTCATCTCGCTTTATTGGCCGAGGGAGCCGGCGTATAGCTTCCGGGTCATGTGGCCAGCATGACTAAGCCGCTTCTGGCGAACCAGAGCAGCTCACGGAAACGCTCGGGTTAAGTACTTAATTCGTTCCGGAGGTCCGTTCTTAACCTGAAACTGTTCTTAACTGAAGCTCCACTTCAGCTAGTGGAGCCTCCCGCTGCTGCTGCGCCGCCAGAGCACGATTTCTGTTCTCATCCTGAACCCGAGGTACTATTTCTGAGTTAGCGGAGTCTGTAACCTGAAGCCTATGTAACCCGAGGTACCACTGTAGATGTGCCTATCAGTCTCTCCAACTTTGTATTTGTTTTTCAGAGAATTGTGGCTGATAAGCAAGAGAAACGAAACCAAGAACGTCTAAAGCGTAGGGAAGAAAGAGAGAAGGAAGAAAGGGAAAAGCTAAGGAGGTAAAAATCTGCTCTTGTTAACCAGCTGTTTTATTTTGATAAAATTTCAGAATAGTTTTATATCTTTAAATATTTTTGTGCTACTGATTTTGAAAGACATTGAGGGGTTTTTGCTCTCAGTGGTGTTACAAAATTTCTGAAAAAGTATACAAAATAGAAAGTGGTCTCATAACTACAAACCTGCTTGGGGGGGGGGCGGAACTGAAAGCCAAATGGAACAGCTAAGCGTCATACTGGTGCTTGAAAAATGGAAATTCTTGCAGCCTATTTCCACACTTGACTTTCACAGGGATAATAAAAGTCTAGCTGCAATATTTCTCTTAGACAATGATTTATCCATTTAAACATTAACCTCCTTTTTGATAAATATTTTTATTGCTGTTTAATTTCAGTTAACAAAACATACCCACAAAGGGAATACAGAACTTAATAGTTGTTCAAGATGCATTAACTTTCTTATGTTCCCCATAGGTTTCATATTTATAGCAAATAATTGATTTTAAAAGCTTATATACTTGGAAAGGCAACAATTTTAGTTTTCATTAACAATGAAAAATAGCTGGTACATGCATCTTTTTGACATTGGAGCTGGGGTTGACCTGGATTTTGTATTGCTGCTGAGCATTATCTGTGCACTTGCATGCAAAATGCATCACTTCAATGATATTCCAAATAGTGTACTTTGTATTTTGACTTCACAATATAAAAATTTACCTGTATTTTGCACTTTTTTCAGATCTCGATCTCATAGCAAGAACCCTAAAAGGTAGGTTATAATCCCTTTTCTTGTAAATTTTCGCAAACAGAACCATTAATAAATAATAATATAATCTCCCTGGAGATTACAAACACAGTCCTGATTCCCTGCACAAAAATGAAGTTTCAGTTGTTGACTCCAGCAGATACATTCACAATCTCAAGTGATTCATCCCCCAACTACAGAGAAATCTCACTGGATCTTATTTTGTATATAGTGCCTTTCCACTTCATTAGTTGCTGGGAAATTAGCATCTTTGGTCCTGCTTAAAGGTAAAGGTACCCCTGCCCGTACGGGCCAGTCGTGACTGACTCTAGGGTTGCGCGCTCATCTCGCTCAAGAGGCCGGGAGCCGGCGCTGTCCGAAGACACTTCCGGGTCACGTGGCCAGCGTGACGAAGCTGCAACTGGCGAGCCAGCACCAGTGCCGCACAAGGAAACACCGTTTACCTTCCCGCTATAAAGCGGTACCTATTTATCTACTTGCACTTAGGGTGCTTTCAAACTGCTAGGTGGGCAGGAGCTGGGACCGAACAACGGGAGCGCACCCTGCCGCGGGGATTCGAACCACCGACCTTACGATCAGCAAGTCCTAGGCACTGAGGTTTTACCCACAGCGCCACCCGCGTCCCCGTTGGTCCTGCTTATTAATGTGTTAATTGGTTCTAGAAATCTCAGTTTTTGTTTTTAAATGTTTTTGTTTTTAAATGTTTTTCTTTTTCTTCTTTTTTTACTATTTTGTTGTACTGTTTTTTATTGTGTCTTTTGTTTTTATTTCTGAAGTATTGTAACTTTTGATTGTCTTATTTCTATCTTTCTATTTTTCTTTTCTCTGTAATTGCTAAACTCTTAATAAATATCATTTTTTAAAAAAATAGAAATCTCAGTTGATACTCTTTAGCTAACCAAAGATTATGTAGGTCTTCTTTAGAATTGGAATTTCATGAGTTGCTTCAGATGCTACTGGATTCACTGTGGCTGTGGGCCATATTGTTATTAGCTATTGAACAATCATTTGAGGCTTAAGATACAGGGTGAGAGATTGAATTGGCTGCTTTTCCAAGCCAAGAGAAATGTTTATTTAAACTGATCATATATTATATATATATATTTTTAAACACTCTCTCTATATATACTGCTTGATTATAAAGGAGGGTAAAAACCTCTGAAGTTTACAGTGATATTTTTTTAAAAAAACTATTAAAGTTATCTATTAAAAACAGTTAAACAGGAACTGGGAGGAACTAAAAAGATTAAAACCAACACTTGATAAGAAGAAATAAAACATATGTAACTTTTATATGTCTGGATAGGCTTGCCTAAACAAATATTTTTTAAGCAGGCATCAAAAGGAATATAGAGAAGGCACCTGCCTGTTGTCAATAAGCAGGGAGTTTGTTGCCTTTGTTTTTGGTATTTTAGGTCCAGAAGTTCCAGATTCCTGCATGACATGTCCTAGCATTGATATAGAGTGCTTCTGCCTTGCTGCTGTCACACAACGTGGGTAGTTATTCTTATTAGTAGTTCAGAACAGCTACAAGGCTTTTCATCTGCTTCAAAGAGTTCTGCTAAACTCCTAAACTTGCAAACTCCTGTGCAGTACAATAAGAGAGTGGTGACCCTGTAGGTTCTGTTAATGTATTTGCTGGTGGTTCTTTCTCATCAGCTATAAATCTCTTTTCAGGTCAAGATCCCGAGATCGCCGTAGACATCGATCTCGTTCTTCCTCACGTGAGCGAAAGAAAAGAACTCGCTCCAGATCCCGTGAGAAACGTCACCGTCACAGGTCTCGTTCCACCAGTCGCAGCAGGAGCCGCAGCCACCAGAGAAGCAGGCATAGCTCCCGGGACAGGAGCAGAGAACGCAGTTCTAAAAAAAGGTAACATTTAGGTCAGCAAGAGGAGCAGCTAATGTCCTCTATTTTACTAGTTTATGTTCAGAAAAGTTGGTAGAAACATTATTCTGTCTTTGATGGTAGTTAGTTTATTCTTAAATGAGGTACAAGTCCTTTGTCATGGGCACTAGTTTGATAATTTGTATTTTTAATGGTTGGATTATTGTGTTTATGTTTGCATTTATATTTGTAAACTGCTTTGAGAAACTTTTGTGATGGGGGAAAGTTGTATTTGTTTAAATAACAGTGTTTCTGCCCTTCTTTCCAGGACCTAGCACCAGGATATCAGCCATTTCCACATGCTTATGTGTAGAGTTCATTTTTGTAATATCTAGATAGTGCCACCACTTGAACTTTATTCAAATGCTTTCTCAAAAGCATCTTTTCATTTGAAACCTTTGACTTTACTACTTTGTTTCTTTTACTGTCAGAGTTTAGACTGTATGCTCCTTGGACAGATATTGTCTCTAAGTTCAAGTTGTTTTTTAATAACCATAGGTCAACACAATGTAAGATAAAAGAACTTGCAGTAGTACAAATCACCTTAGTTTGTAGCTGTTGGAAGCACATATGTTGCTGGAATTATATAGAAATAATCTGTTGGCATTGGATGCTTGGAACCTGTACGCTTCTACCAATGTGCAAGCTCTTATCATCCTAACACGTCAAGTGATGAGAACATTGGCCTGGCTTGCACATAATGGTAAATCATGGTTTAAACCATGACTTGTTTGATCATTCAAACTGCCCAGCAGCTTAACTATGGTTTGTTTAGTGCAGTGTTTCTCAGACTTGGATCTCCAGTTGTTGCTGGACTACAACTACCATGATCCCTAGATAGCAGGGATGATGGGAGTTGTAGTTCAACAACATCTAGCGACCCAAGTTTGTGAAACAAGCTTGGATTGTTTTATCTTCTCTGGGACAATTTGTGGTGAACCTGTTCATTAAATTATGGCTTAAACCCTTACTGTATTTAGCATTACTTGTAAACTAGCCTGTGGCTTGACTTATCCAAGAAATGTTTTTGCTCTTATTGCAGCATAGTTACATCAGTTGACCAGTAATAATATTGACTTTGATGACATGAAAATTGACTAGCTGCAACAGTTTGTCTCTTCCCCTTAACTTTAGAATTATGAATGGAAGGAGAAGGCAGTGGATTCCAGATGTAGCAAGTGATCCTAGTTTGACCCCATAACATTTTTTTGCTATGCCTTCTTAAGCTCTGTTAGGCAGTTTCTTGCTGTGCCCTTTTAGGTTCTGTTCAGCCAGTCTCTTTCATATTAATAAAGAAAATTAAAAACCAAATAATGTCTGTTTTCAAATGCATTGTATTTTCTTTCCAGATCCTCAAAAGAAAGAGCTTCCAGAGATCAAGAGCGATCAAGAGACCGTAACAGAACATCACATGACAAAGAAAGGAGCCCCAGAGAAAAGTCACCTAGAGACCGAGATTGCAAAGACAGGAAGCGTTCCTATGAAAGTGCTAATGGCAGATCAGAAGACAGGAGAAGCTCAGAAGAGCGTGAAGCAGGAGAAATATAATTGGCTGTACATTCACTTGATCCTTTAGCTTCCTATGGAGTTGCATACTGTGGTTTAGTTTACAGTTATTCAAAGGGACACCAGTGAGCAGTTCCACACACTGATCCAACTAGGGTAGATGTACAGTGTATAAAAATGGTTATAATGAAGTCTGAATTGACCCCTTTCAGTTGATGACAGCTAAAGCAGTGTCCTTTTTTTCTCTTTTCCAATAAACTTGTAAAACATTATTTTCAAAGATCTCTCTTCAAAAAGACAACAATTTTATGTACCAAGACGTAGATCTCAATGTTTTATTCTCCTTTTTCAATACAAGTTATAGTGAACAAACTATATTGTGTTCTTTGCCTTGGATGCATTCAAACCTTTATAAACTACTCTAATTTTCCTCCAGTCGAAACAGCAGCACTGAGTGGTTTTTAGGGAGGGCGGGTGGGTCCCAAAGCTTTTAATTAACTCTATAATACGGTGTTCTCAGTTGCTTCTTGAGAGCCTAGGTTTGGCAGTATGTTTTAGACGGGATGTGTGCTGGAGAAAATTGAAAGTTTTTGGTTTTTTTACAGTGCCCATTTAGACTTTGAAATTGAACAGCTGTTGCATTTCATCCTTTTTATTAATTTCTATTGAAACTTTGAAATCAAAACCAGTCCCATATCTCTGTACCACTTGATTGGTATGTGTTCAGTATACTTGGTTCTTTTTCCATAAGATTTTTTCTGCTTTTCTTGTGGGGTGTTAACTGCACATCCTTAATTGTAAAAAACAAAAAACCAATAATAAAATAAATAAATAAATAAAATAACAATTTTGTCCCTTGAAGTAGCTGTGTGTTTCCCCACTCCTTCCTAGCAACTAAACTGCTTGTTGATAATGTCCATGCTTTCTATCAGGTGAATTGTATCTGGAACCTGCATGGTGATATATTGTTTTTTACCTGGATGGTAACACTGTGTTTGAGGTACACAGTTGTAATAATATATCCCTTTTATGAAACAGACTATCTGCATTTTGAGGAACAGCAACATCCTGTTGCTTTACAATGGCAGCTTCCACTTGGGGAAGTTAAGATGTTTATAGAATCTGCTGTTAGCATGCCCACACAGACTTGCTCCAGTCTAGTCACAGCTCAAAAAATTATTTATTGCTGAAGATGTGATTGGCTGAATATATTTGGTACTCCACATATAAATGTGTACATGGCCTTCATTTGTGTTTACAAATAAACAGTTGGAGTTGGAGTTTGAACTGGCACTGTTTCCATTAGATTGAGAGAAGCTATATAATTCAATACCATTGATTTGATTTTTGTTTCAGTCCCCTTGCATCAGCAAAGTCGAGCATGAAACCATTGTTTATATTTTTTAACTAGTTTGTTTTTATTACTTTGTATTTTATAGTGATGTTTCCCCAATAATTTTTATTGTTTTTCATTTAAATACAAGAACATACAACTACAGTAACTTGTCCATTGCTATATTTTTACTAAGTTTCATATGCAGTGAGCCCATAGTACACAAGCAATACATTTACTTACGTATTGTCAATTGAAGTAGTCTCTCCAGAGAGAGTCTTGTGTTGAGAGTGGAATAAAAGTATATTCTGTCTCATTTATAGAGGGAAAGAAAGGAAGTCAAGTCTCACCAAAAGTGTCCATTCTTGAAGTGCTTTTAATTACCCTTCTGTGATGAAAACAAAAAAATTCCTTCCAGTAGCACCTTAAAGACCAACTAAGTTAGTTCTTGGTATGAGCTTTCGTGTGCATGCACACTTCTTCAGATACACCTTCTGTGATGAGTAAGACATTCCGATAAAGCCAGCCACACTCCAAATATTTAACCAGAAGTCAATGGCAATTTCTGTAGAATGTTTCCAAATACCTAATCTCTGCATTTAAGGCTATTTGAATTTGGGTCTAATAATACATTGAGAGCTGAATTGGGTGAGGTGTGTAATTTTAGAAATAATGTGAAACATCATTTCCCAAAAGAAGTCTATGAACATGTAGCTCCACCTTGCATGAAAATGTGAGCCTCTCTCTGCAGCCTTTCCAGCATAAGGGAGAGTTACTGATCTATGTTTTGGTGATAGAGTCCAGTGCCAGCAAAAGGTAATTTTGAGAGAAGCCACCTACAGATGAGCAGAGATTACTCATAGGGATGGGTTGTGCCAAATTGATTGCCATTTATGATCTGCCACTATAATCCCTAAATTTCCCCCCTACTGTCTGCAGGCCTCCTGTATCTCCTGTGTATTGTTCTAAAAGAATGCAATAAAGACTCATCTCCTTTTATGTCATATTTTGATTTGTTACAGAGAGACTCAAATAATGTAAGGGAACAAAGGCCCCTCCCCCCAAGTTCCAAATACCTTGCAAAGGTGCAGAATTGATTAGATTGAAACTGGGCATCATCTGGCTTCTCTATTAGATGTTGCTTTACCTCTAGCAAGATGTCTCATCTGATAAATGCCTCTCCAGTTTTTTTTAATTGTCCATAGCTATCTTCCTGTCCAGGGACGCGGGTGGCGCTGTGGGTAAAAGCCTCAGCGCCTAGGGCTTGCCGATCGAAAGGTCGGCGGTTCGAATCCCCACGACGGGGTGCGCCCCCGTTGATCGGTCCCAGCACCTGCCAACCTAGCAGTTCGAAAGCACTCCCGGGTGCAAGTAGATAAATAGGGACCGCTTACTAGCGGGAAGGTAAACGGCGTTCCGTGTGCGGCTCTGGCTCACCAGAGCAGCGATGTCACGCTGGCCACGTGACCCGGAAGTGTCTCCAGACAGTGCTGGCCCCCCGGCCTCTTGAGTGAGATGGGCGCACAACCCTAGAGTCTGTCAAGACTGGCCCGTACGGGCAGGGGTACCTTTACCTTTACATCTTCCTGTCCAAAAGACAGGTGATTTAACAGCGGAGTGAAAAGAAGGAATACACAGTATGTATAAGGCTCATGTATAATTTACCCTTCAACATTTTGTATAAATCTTATGCAATGGCTCCCAAGTACTCTCCCTCTTTCACAATTCTGTCCCAGTAAGATACTTTAAAATAGGAATGTGTACCTCTTAAACAGTTCTAAAGGCACGAAGAGTGTGTTTGAACAACTTGCATAATGTCTTCAGCTATTTGTACCTGTGGGCACCTCAACCCAACTTCCATTGATACAAAATGGAGCAGCTGTATCCTAAACTTATTGCTTCAAATGAAAGCCGCACAAAATACATCATTTATGTTTTGTATGGGGTGTATATGAGTTACCGTCGATTAAACACAACTAAAATATTAAAAGAAAGTAACTTTTTTTCAACCATTTCAGTAGGGAAGGGTCGGGCAGATCAAAGCACCCAGGCATCCCGCTAAGTAGGCGGGTCACCGTAGGGACGACCTGTACCCGTTCAAAAATTCCTCTCACATTAGCAGTGAGGACCCGGGCGTCACCCCGGATCATTATTTTCCTTACTCATAAGTTTAAGGCATAACCTTCCACGCTGCAGCGAAGGCACGTAGTTGAAGGCAGCAGCTTTATAAGTGAGGATGAGCAAAACACAGCGAAGCCCCGGGACCACACCAGTCGCGAAGCGCAGCCTGACCTTCCCTTATCCGGGGTGCAATTCGTGAAACAAAGACGAAATCCCCCCTAGCGGGTGCAAATACAACCCCTCGCGCGGCCACCGGAGCGCATGCAAATGAGCACTCGGGCTGCGAGGGATTATGGGAATCTAAGCCCTCGCGAAGTCCTTCGCCAGCGTCACGAGAAGATCCACTTCCAGGGCGAAGGAGAGGTGGGAGGTTGCGGAGGGAGAGGGCGCGGCGACACCGGAAGTAGTTGGCTCTCACGTCCGGGCTTCGGTCGCAGCGACTTGTCTCGGGGCCTAGCGACAACATGGCGGACTTGTCTCTGGACGAGCTGATCCGGAAACGCGGCGTCAGTGTGAACACGAAGGGGAGGTGAGCCGTGGAAGGAGCCTGGCGGGCAGAGAGGCCCCCCCTTCCCCGCGTGGGGTCCCTTCCCCCCACGTCGCTGCCCGGAGGCGGGATCCCTGCTCTGCTCCGGCAGGATCCGGCTGGGGATGTGCACTCGGTGCTCCGATTGGCGCGCTCTCCTGTCAGTCATCGCCCACTGGAGCGTTCGGTTCTGCTTGGCCGTTCTCGGCAGTGAGGTGTCCGAGGCCGAGTGTGTGTGTTTCGCCCCATAGACGTGGGTCTGCGTGGAGAGGGGGCAGCACCCTCCTTCCGCAGGTCTCTCGGCGCCTTCATTGTGCTGATTCTGGCGCTTTGTCCCTAAGGGCGGCCCAAAACATTGTGTGCCTTCCAAGTGGGGCATCTTGTGTGCTGAGATGGGACAGTATTTGTTTCGGGGTGACAAACTATGCGCTATGGCATACAACCAGTAACTGATTGTAGAGACTTTTAGGGTGGCTTTGTGCATTGGGCCGGCCCTGCTTCTTCGCCTTGTGCATCATACAAAATTATTGGCCTTTGCTTTTCATACTGCCAATGTTTCTGTTCCTGAACTCTCCTCTTTTTTTGCTACTTTTACACTTCCTTTGACATGCAAGGCGATCTGCAGCCTCCATAAACAATTGTTCTATTGTAAGATTGAGCCACTTCTGAAGAGGATGGTCTGTTGTGCCTTCAGTTGAATTCACTACTGGATAACACAAGTTAAGGCTACAAAATAGAGGGCATGCTCTAGCACAGGAAATGTTGCTTAAATAATATCGCAGAGAAATATGTCTCATTAGAGAGCATTTAGATAAATAACTTAACATCTTTGTTGCGGTGAAGAGGTCACATCTTTACAATGTTGCTGCCAAAGGCCACCATTAGATTTTTAGCTAGCTCTGCTAAGGCTTTTTAGCTAAGTCTAAAAAGAAAAAAAAAGATCTCGAATCAGACGTCCACACTCCCAAGGGAACAGGCGGCACTCACCTTTCATTCTGATTCTTAGACAGGGTCCACCAGTTTGAGTGAAATGTGTTAAACAGAGAAGCAAAAAAACCAGCCAACATGTTCTTTGAAATATAGTTAAGAATTAATTCTGATTTGCCCCTTTCCCCTCCTAGAAAAGCATGTTTTCCATTTAATATCAGGATGTTCTATTGTAATTGAAATGCTGCTTGGTAAGCTGACTAGATTTCAGTTACATCTTAATCCTTTATATATTTAACCCATTTCAACCCATTTTAACAATATCCCAAAATTTTGGTGTGGTACATGCATTCTTCACAAACACAGATCTATGATTGAAATATGAATTTCAAATTTTGAAAGCTATGAGGGGCAAGCAATTCTATCTCTGTTAAATATTAATTGTTTTCCAAAGGAATGTATGTATATTGGATTATCCTTGTCAGTCAACTTGTATAATAACACTGGATTCCATTGTTGGTCTTTTCGCAGGTCTTAGTGTCTTCCCTTTTCTTTCACCAGCTCCAGCCTTCTCTTGCAGTTCAGATTTTAAAATCTCTGAACCTTCAATTTGGTCTCTTCTGTCACTTGGTGGAACTGTTGTGTTAGATCATAGAATCGTAGAATATTAAGTTGGAAGGGACCTCAAGGGTCATCTTGTCCAACCCACTGCAATGCAGGAATCTCAGCTAAATCATAAATGACAGGTGGCCATCCAACCTCTGCTTAAAACAGTGGGAGTCTATTCCACTGTTGAACATCTCTTACTGTCAGAAAGTTCTTCCTGATGTTTAGTCGGAATCCATGTTTACTTGGAATGTGAATCCATTGGTTTGGGTGCTAGCCTCCAGAGCAGGAGAAAGCTGCTCCAGCCCTTTAAATATTGGAAGATGGCTATCATATCTCCTCTCAGTCTCCTCTTTACCAGGCTAAACATACTCAATACCCTCAATCATTCCTCATAAGGCTTGGTTTCTGGACCCTTTATCATCTTGGTCACCCTCCTCTGCACACATTGCAGCTTAACTTCTTAAAATGCAACAGTTTGTTTGTTTTTAACACATGACATTTCTGTTCCAGGCTGAACACAAGGCCATTATTTGGTGGTAGACCTCGAATTGGAGTTCAACAAACTTTTCTAAGCAGATCAGCACCAAGTGTTGGTTTCCAGAGGACATTTGATGCACGACAGAAGATTGGCCTTACTGACGCCCGACACAAAATTGGCGTGAAAGATGCCCGGGAGAAACTGCTTCAGAAAGATGCCAGGTTTAAAATCCAAGGAAAAGTGCAAGACGCCCGGGAAATGCTGAATTCCCGAAAGCAGCAAGTGACCAAAGTTGTTGATGCCAGAGAGAAGATCAGTCTGAAAAGAAGCACTCCTAGTGCAGCCATTGTGAAAGCTGCTGTGGAAACGGTGGCCCCTGCCATGAAGATCACAAAAACAATTCAAGTAGGTTATAGTCAATATCTCTGCAGTCTATTATTGTCTCTCCAGCACTATCCTATGTGCTGGCAGCTCCTGGAGCACTAGTTGCATGTATTTCAAGGGAAACAGTTGGGGAAAGCATTAATGTGGCATTATATCGCATGTGTAATACAGAAAACGAAATCCATGAATCTGAGTTCTGAAAGTCTGCTTTGTTTCATAATCTGATAATTAAAAGTAGAGATCTTAGTTCTTCCTTTAAGCTTTGAGTATGCCATCATGATGAAACAAGGGATTTCACTGAAATCTTTAGGTGTTAATGATGTGTCTTTCTCTCCCCATCACAGCAGAAGGCTGCAACTCCACTGCACACTCATCCTGCATGCATGAAGGTCAACATTGTGAACAATCACACAAACAAACAGGTGTGTGCCATTCAGTAACAGAGTGGAGTTGTCAATTGTTGTAAAATCTAGTAATCTTTGAATATGTGTTTAATATTTATTTGATTTATTTCACTTGCTTCCAGTGAAACACCCTGAAGTGATTTTATGTTTGATTTTGGAGACTGGCATTATAAATTAATTTAAAAGTTTTACTTGCCTTATGTAATATGTTCACAGCCTACAGGCTGAGAGTGTTATCTGCATCCATTTCATTCATACAACTCACAGTTTCCCATATGCGTAGTATCTTGCAGTGACAATTCACAAAGTAGATTTGTGGTGCCTTTGGCTCTTACCCCTACATTCTTGTACTTGCTTACTACAATCCTTTCAGTACTTAGGAAATATCATTTTTAACTTCTGACCTCTATGTCTACCTATTTTGATGTTATTGGACAATCTTGTATTATCACAGTACACTTGCACAGGAAAGAAATCCTGTTTGCTCTGTCTGCTGTTGGCTAATCCTTCATGTTACAAAGTTGTTGGGCAGATTAATGCTTGGCATTAGTGCTGAGAGGGATTGAAGAGACTCTGGGCCAAACTGAAATTTATGGCAAATGTGTGCCTGCATGTAATGTACTTTAAAAAAATGCTAATTGCCACTAATTGGGAGGGATGCAGTAATAGATTGTGATGGGTGGGGTATTTAACCCATCCCACACTGTGATCTTGAGGAAATTCCCACTTTTCAAGCTGCTGTTTACATCAGGTGTAAGGTCCCACTGACTCCTGTGGGAACTTTCTGCACAATGCAAATTGTAGCAGGGAAGAAAAGGTTACATTCCCCCTCATGCCACAATCCTGATCCTCACCCACATCTGCACATGGATATTTGCATTTTAGAAATTGTGCATGTTAAATGCAAAGGTGCATTTAATATCATGTTTAGATTGAGTCTTCAAATTTGAGTTGACTTGAACAGCCTGAGGTTCCTGTATTGCAGGGGGTTGGACTAGATGACCCTGAGGATCCCTTCTAACTTTACAGTTCTATGAATGCTACTTAAGAGTCCTTTTTATTATCATGTCCTGGTATTAAGATGCAGCAAATCAGAGTGGCTACATACATGTATTTGCTGAGGCATATATTCAGAAAAACCTATTAGTAAACATGTATAGAACTGTTTAAGTGCATTAGTCTAGACTCCTTAGAATATCTGTATTACATCAGCAACCAGAAACATCAAATCAACCACTTGCATTTATATGTGTGGTTTTTTTGTTTCTTTTTAGTCTCCGTATGATGTAGAAGATGATGAAGAAACTGTATCTCCCCTTCCTAATAAGCAAATGAAGATCACTACCACAAGCAGCTTTCTGCACAGTGCGGTAAGGGTCTGTCTCGTTAGCTTCTCCACTCCCTCTACTTCCCAGTGGACATGTACTTTGGTTTTTTTGCATGTGCTCTGCGCTTGCATTGGCTGGACTTAATGGTTCCAGGTTTATGGTATTCTTGCATTCTTTTACCCTAAAACAGGGCAGCAGATTGCTGGCCCATGGGCCAAATGTGGCTTATAACAGGTTGCCATCCAGCCCATGCCCCATCAAGTGAGCTGTTGTGGAGGAATAGATCTGTTTCCATCCCAGCAGTCTACTCTTGTTTCTGTGCAAGGTGCAGAGAAAGAAAAGAGATGGGAAGTTAGGGAGAAAAAGGGTTTCTTTGTCCACTGCCAATAGGTGGCCCTTATCCACTTTCCCCCCTGGGAATGGGGCTCTGTAGAGCTCCAACGGCCCCCGAGCTGCTGCTTGCACCTGTACCAAACAGAGTGGCAATAGCCTGCACTACTGGCAAAAGCAAACTTGCTCGTTCTCCTGCTCTTGGGTCTGCAGTTAGTCTGTTCTCTTTGTTCAGGCAAACCAGTAACTGAAACTGTGTCGTGTCATTTGACTTTTTCTAATCAGAAAGACTCATTCATACTAATCATTTTCAAAGCAGAGAGTTCTGTAAGCTAAATGCATTGCCTGTCTTACATAGGGACTTTATTTTATGAAAGAAAGATAAAGAATATTTTATTTACACTATCTGTAGTCAGGCTGATCATGTGCCCATACTCTTGTCCTAAGCTAAACCTCCAAAACACCCTATGCAATGGAACTGTGTCACTGGGATTAATAGGATTATTCTGGTGGAAATAGAACCTGGATTGCAGCCTAAATTTGATATTCTGGATAATCTTTGTCCATTTAAAGGTAAAGGTACCGCTGCCCGTACGGGCCAGTCTTGACAGACTCTAGGGTTGTGCGCTCATCTCAGTCTAGAGGCCGGGAGCCAGCGCTGTCCGCAGACACTTCCGGGTCACGTGGCCAGCGTGACAAGCTGCATCTGGCGAGCCAGCGCAGCACACGGAACGCCGTTTACCTTCCCGCTAGTAAGCGGTCCCTATTTATCTACTTGCACCCGGGGGTGCTTTCGAACTGCTAGGTTGGCAGGCGCTGGGACCGAGCAACGGGAGCGCACCCCGCCGCAGGGATTCGAACCGCGACCTTTCGATCGGCGAGTCCTAGGCGCTGAGGCTTTTACCCACAGCGCCACCCGCGTCCCTATTTGTCCATTTAGGTATTTGGTTTTTTTTATAAAAAAAAACATCTTTGAAATGGACAACTAAAATGGTGTACAGCAATCCAGAATGGATTTATGCTGTGGTGTTAAGGGGTATGGTATTCTGATTTTCTTTATGAGTAAAGTACCAAATAAAGATGACATTATCTCACATTTTCCCAAGATTGTAGTAACTACCTTAAAACTCTGGGTAGTTTCTGCCATTTTTAGACCCTAGGGACCTAGTTTTTGAAATATTCTTTCAAAGTTATTTAGCTTATGTCACTTACGTGAAGTAAAACCCATTGAATGTGGTAAGACTTCTTTCCAGATAAACATGCATAAATACTCTGTTAGTTTATCCTTCTTGTCTTAAACGCTTCTTGCATATGTTATGATTTTACTACATCACAATTTCTCTTCTTTTCCAGACAACTAATAAAAGCTTCGTTAAGATCCTTATTTTCCCAAACTAACAACCTGATTAGTTTGACCTGATTGATCAAAAGTAGTTGTGTAAGGATAAGGTGGGATGGGGGGAGTTTTCCTAACTTGTAAAATAGTTTAAAGTTAATAATGGAATGTACTGTCTTTACACAAAATGTGAAATTTCTAACCCGCAACAATTAACCAATGTGCACATATACTAAAAGAAATTTTTGAATGCATTAGCTGACTTCAGGAACTGAATAGTCTTCTCTACGTCACATTGGCTTTGTTTCTAAGGTTAAATCTTTATGGAATGGGAAATCTTGCTGGGTAGCTGCTGCTTAGGGGAGGAGGAATTAGTTCTGCTTCTGGCACTTGCAGTATTCAGGGATTTGTGTTCTCCATTTACATAGGCTGGACTCAGTGGCAACAAGTTCTCTCTGTCAAAGACAGTCCCCCTCACAAAAGTTGTGCAGAATGATGCCTATACGGCCCCCACAGCTCCACCGTCCCCCATCCGGACAAAGGCCCTGACAAACATGTCCCGAACCTTGGTGACCAAGGAAGAACCTCCCAAAGAGCCACCACCAGTTGAGGTGAGTCAAGGACACAAATATCTTTTTGTGGCCGCTACAGCTTCCTATTCTGGATTTTCATAAAAAGAAGAAGAACAAACCCTGTTCAAGTACAGCTGAATGGGGAAAAAATATTTCCTTCTTCCAGAGAAAACGGTGGAATTGGACATGGTAACTTGAAGAACTGGTAGAATCTGAAACCCATTTGCTTCTCATGCCTGCTATGCAGACATCTGTCATAAATGATTTCTTGTTGAAATATTCTCAGAGATTAAGATAATCTACCAAAAACAGTAGAAATTAAATTTTGAAGGCTGGATTTGGCTGAATCTTACCCTTGTCTTTCCCCCACTTCCTCAAAGCCCCGTTTACTTTGATCTATCTACCCGCCCCCAATCCCAGACTATATGCATGTGACACATTTGTCTGTTTCTTGGCAGCCGGCCTTCAGCCCATTAGAAGGTACTAAAATGACTGTGAATAATCTGCACCCTCGAGTCACTGAAGAGGATATTGTTGTGAGTACTGTATATTGTTGAAATCAGGGGTTTGTTTGTGTCCTGTATCTGTGTTCTACCCAATGTTTATAAAGTAAAATGAAATGTGTGCTTTCTTGAGAGAGCCTGGAGAATCTTAGGTGGTAGGAGCTAGGTAGATGTCTGCAAAAGCTCCAAGATGCCTAAATATCTTCAGAAAAATTAATTGACTTGAGAGCAATCTAACGACTTTGAGGAGAGCCACCCCTGTGTGTTCCAGAATTACTCTCCTGAATGAAGTCCTGGCAGGCTCCATTGTGTTCTTCACACAGGGGGAAAGTTTCCAAAGTTTGTGAAATTCAGAATGGTTTGCAAGCAGTTCTCTGACGCCAGGTTTACTGTCACATCCCCTCTGACTTTTGGTGTGGGGGAAATGGTCCCAGTGTAGCTTTAGTTAAACTGGATGTTCCGTTGCTCTACATCAGTCATGTCCAACTCCCAAGAGACTGTGATCTACTCCCAGTATTAAAAAACTGGCAGTGATCTACCCATTGTCATTGAAGGGAGGAGGAGCGTGCGTGGGGTGGGTGGATTGCCCACAGTTATTGAGCTTGGGGGGGGGGGAGGATTGCACGGTTGTTGAGCTTTCCCCCCGTAACTTTCTGTACACAATAAGGATCCCACAATCTGCCAGGGATCTACCAGTCTACTGGTTGGACATCCTTGCTCTACATGTAGTTTTCTGAGGATATACGGGACGTTGGGAATGCAAGGACTTCTTCGTGTAATGCATGAGAAACTTTAAGCATTCACTCTCACAAGATGTGATTATTAGATCATGCGGCCTTTAAAAAGGAGCAGACATAGTTGTGGGACGTGGCTCTAATTGTGGATAGCTACGTCGAACCTCCATTTATACTACCTGTTGGGTAATAAAGTACTTTCGTACTCTGATTCTGAGTTTATTACCTAAAACATGGATTGTGGGGTGAGGGAGGGGCCTCTGGCCCGCAGACTTAACTAGGTCCACTCAGCCTCCCAATTTGGTCTGCTCTGCTGTTCTTCCCCGGCCACAACCATATGTCACTCAGCTGATATCATACAAACAAAGCACCCGCTGCAAAGGAATAATCAGGAGCCTGGGAGTGTGCTCCCAATGTTCCTTTGCAAGTGCTGTTTGTGTTCAACACTGTTCAGATCGGGTGCTGAATGCAAGCCACACTGCTTTCACCAGCGTCAGAGCCACCTGACAAATGACATCAGATGATTGACAAGAGAGAAGCCTGGGTTATTGGTCAATTGTAGCAGATGGAGGGTCAGCCACAATTTGAACTGGTCCTGTGGCCAAAAAGTGGTTTCCCATCCCTGACCTAAATATATTTATCTGACTGTTGTTGGAAACAGAAGGCTGGACTAAGTGTTCCTCTGTGTGCTCCAGCAAGGCAACCTCTATGTTCTTAATGTGTGAGTGTTCAAATATCAGAGTTGGCAGCTGTGGCCTTGACTTCCACACTAAATTCCACACTAACAAGAAATGCTTACAATCACTGATGCAGTAGCAAAGATGAGCTGAGTTAAATAAAACTATACTGTACTTTGCTCTTTCCTCAGGAGTTGTTTTGTGTATGTGGTGCCCTAAAGCGAGCCCGTTTAGTGCACCCCGGAATGGCTGAGGTGGTTTTTGTGAAAAAGGAAGATGCCATTACTGCGTATAAGAAATACAACAACAGATGCTTGGATGGTGAGTGTGCGCCTCATGCAGAACGCAGAAACGTTTTACTTCACTGAAGATCTCAGATGGTACTTCTTCTGTGTGTAAGAAGTCAGGAAATTATTAATTAATTGTTAATGACTGCCATGAGGGGCTGAGCAGTTCTTAGACTATTATTGTATCAGGTGTTTAGAAGACACAAAATTTGCTCATATTGGAGTGAGAGTGATATTGCAGGCACATAGACGATAACTTGCCCCTACACCAACTGGATATACAGTAATACCAAGATTGTGAGAATTAATGCTCTTGAGAGACTGCAGAAACTTTGCGGTTTCAGAGTTTGGGTAAGTAGTTAGGGTATTGACATGAGGAGGGATATTGGTTCATTTTGCCCTTGTTTTTATTATGTATTTTGTGTTTTTTTCTTGTATTTTTATGCTGTGACTGCCCTGAGTTTTGCAGATGCAGGGCAGTATAGAAATTTAATTAATAATAATAATGTATCTCAAAATAGAGAAGCTTAGGCTCAAACTGTGTATAATGGTGGGAAATCTGTGCATTCAAATCCAGGGATCTTGTTTAATGAGCAGAATGGATGCACAGTGAAGAAACCTATACCACTTTCCTAAGGTTTAATACTTGGTTTTCTTTGTTCTTCTCCATCAGGCCAGCCAATGAAATGCAACCTTCATATGAATGGGAATATCATCACATCAGACCAACCTATCTTGCTGTATGTGCATATGGGTTTGTGTTCATAAAACTATGGTGTAACATTTTTGCTCCTTCACAAGGTGCCATATAATTTTTGTACCCAAGCAAAATACCAAACAAGAGTTTGTTGATATTTAGATTAAAGCTTTTTTACTAATTTTCCTATATATCCAGCACTGCTGTTCAGATTATCATCTGTATGAACAGGTGTCCTTCCATCTAAATATGGCAGTAGGGTTCTCCCAGCCTGAAATTGCTTGCTTAATAATCAGAACAACAGTTTTGGTTCAGCAGTGTAAATTGATCTGCATTTCACCATTCGACAACTATTGATGGTGGAGCTCCCTGGGGTTCTCTGTGTTCTTCTTTTCCCGTTCCATAACTTTTTATACCTTAATCTGAAATCCTCAAAAGTACACTTGGCTTAAGCTAGCTATGCAGGCAGTGGATGGTAATTGCTGCTGCTTGACTTGACACTTGTTCTGTTGTGAGGCTAAATAGTGTATCTCTTCTTGTTCTCCCTAGTCGATTGAGTGACACCCCCTCAGTGAAGAAGGAAGGTGAACCACGTCGAACAAGTGTAGGAACCGCCTCAAATCCACCAGCTGAAGTGGATCCTGATACCATCTTAAAAGCACTCTTCAAATCCTCAGGGACCTCCGCCTCTGTGCAACCTACAGAGTTCAAAATCAAACTTTGAGGAGTGGCAGGCAAGGAGTGGACTGGAAAACTTGTTGAGCGTGGGAAATAGGGAGACAAGTGTGGGAACGCAACTGATGTTGTGTTTGACCATGCTGAAACCTTTGTTTTTCTACAATTGCTACCTTCCTGTACAGTAGTGTTCTCCCTAATGTATGTGTTCTGTTTTCATAGTTGGAGTTTTTGTCCACATATTTCTAATGGAATAATCTTCCCTTCCTCCAGTGATATATCACCAAGCTTAGAACATTTAACTCTTTTTCCTTTGTTTCAACCACCCTACCTGTATCCAGCCAGTGAAAAGTGCAGCTAGCAAAGGATGTGAGTAGCATCTGTTTGGCACTTGCACCCTTTGAGTGAGAGATGAGAGTCCTTTTTACTGATGATGGACTGCATTTCCTTTTCAATTCAGCTCTGCCTGTAGCAGAGGCCAGGATTTGGTAGCAGTTTTAGCTGTTCTGAAATTGTAAAATTAGTGAAGGAGAAGCAGCAGCAAATGTTCTCTTCGTTCAGCAGCTAATGGAAGGGACTGTGAAGGCAATGCAAATAGGTATAGGCACAGGAACATAGCACATCTTACACTTCATCATCTTCTTTTGTCGTTGTAATAATCTGCTAGTGCACTGAGAGAAAGAAGCATGTGCCCTGGTGTTGGTGTACTCTTCAGTCCAGGAAGTCTCACAGATGCTCTCTTTGTGAGAATGCATGGGCTTTCTTTCACTTTGTATCATTTACAATGTGTTTTTACTATGAAATTATGTATTGGGCAAGAAGAAAGTGTTTCTGGCTTCAGCAGTCACTTCTCATGCCTGATGCCTTAGAAGCACTGCAGTGAACAGAGGTCCTCATTCGTTCAGTCCTGACAGATTCTGATGCACCACTATGTTTTGTAGCACCTACACCTTTCTTGGAGGCTAATGACACCCAAATAAACTCCAGTGATAACCCCCTAGGAACTATTTCTACAGGGCATCTGTTTTTACCCTACACTACCTTATCCCCGAGTGTAATAGTCAGGGGGGAAAAATCCAGCCTTCTCTCGTGGAATTGTCAATTGTAAGAGTTGCATCTTTCAGTACTCTGGGCATGACTGCTGCTCCTGTACAGCACTGTTGCTTATTTTTCTGTACTGGGAAATGGTGGGTGTCTCTTGAGGTTCATATAGAGGAGAATCTACGTATCGGTTTGGCATAGAACAGGGATAGCAGGAAAATGAGTTGCCTATAGCAAATGAGGATGATTTGTTTTTTGGCCATGCTGAATTTCCTCTGACATGCCAGTCTTTGCTAAGACTTCCTTTTTCTAGCAACCCATTTAGTCCAGTGAAAATGGAAAACTGACAAGGGTTAAGAATAATTGCATTGGTTTTATACTAAATAAACATGCAGATACTTGTATGGGGGCTTGCATTTTTATACTTCCAGCTACAAGACGAGAGCATTGCTGTTTATCTGTGCTAAAACCCTGCAGTGTAATATATCTGCTTTCTTCCATTGTAGAACCTGGTGCTCAGTGGATTCTACATTCCTTTTGCTCTTTGTTCTGTACAGTTTCTTAGTTTCATTTAGCAGGTACACATGTTATGTCACACAGTAAACCTTCACAACATGGAAGGCATTTGCCTCCCAATGGGTTTTTTTAATCTGAATTACTAATTTGGACCGGTCATAATTTCACCCTTCCTGGGGAGATGTGCTTATGAACGACAATTGATATTTTGTGCAGAACTGCTGTTCCCTGTACCTGTGTTTCATTAGCAGTTGGTTACAGGGGAAGGGAAGGTTGGGGCTGGAGGACATTATGTATTATGTTTCTGAATAAACGTTTGTTATACAGAACCTGTATTTTGCCCTGCCTTCTTGGATTGCAAGGAAATCAACTGATTAGTCAATAGAGTCCTGTTGGTTTTTCACTTTTGGGGGTGCCTGTCAGCAGAATCAAATAATAAAGATTTCTGTGGATTGTGTCTTTTAAGGCTGCTGCTGGGGGCTGCCATGTTTGAATTCTCTCCCATGGAGATGGGAGGGAAGAAGACCCAGTTCCCTGACATGCTGTTCTTTATGTGCAGGAATATTTTTTTTGTAGGGAATGTTTGAGAGGTCATGAGAGAATATTGCATAGTCTGAAGAAAACAGGATTATGTGGCATAAAAACAAAATGCTATTTCATCTTCTATGGAGCTGTTTTGTTTGACTATAGACTTCTAGGGCATTTTGACAGGTTTGCCACATCCTCACTCATCTCTGTTAGAAGAAATGAAATAGAAAAGCATTAAAAAAACAGACATGTTACAAGGCTGTTTTGATCTAATAAAAATACTTGTGAAGGTTTAAACATGTAATGGTTCTGAGGCATAGCAAAGGGGCAAACTGAATGACAATGTCAGCGGCTGCCTCAGGTCCCAGCTCACAAAGGACCAACGCCAGTTGCTCTTTATAAACAAAAGTCTTTATTGCGGTTTATTGTTGGTTTGACATCAGTGGCGCGCAGCGCTACGTCTGAGTCCTTAGACCGGCGAAGCTCCATCTGAGTCTCCACCCCCTGTACACCAGCTTAAGACTCTAACCTTACTCCACCTCTTCCGTCTCTCCTTTCTCCTCTGGGTCCTTCTGCCCCCCGGGGTCTCCTCCTTTCTGGACTCTGCTGACGCTGACCCCCCTGACTCCTCCCCCTCCTTTCGGCGGGCTTTGGGACCTGGCTCCCTATCCGGGCTGCCAACTGTGCCGCCCTCCTGTACATTTGAACTTGGCGCGCGCGCCCAGCCTTCAACCTTCCTCTTGACCGTTTCCTCGCTCTCCGATGGAGGCGTGGCCAATCCTGACTCCTCTCCTCCCGCTGGCGGTGAGCCTCCTGATCCCGATACCTGGGACTCCTCCCCCCTACTGCGCTCTGGTGGGGAAGCTGGTCCTGATTTCCAACTGCTGCTCTCTGAGTCCCCTCTGGCCCCTTCTTCCTGGGGTGTCCCCCTAGGCACCCCCCTTGCTCTGACCATGGGAGCCCCTTTCTGTGAATCTTCCGATTTGCTGGAAAGACTCAGAGACCTCGGACCGCTGTCATCGCTAACATTTCCTTCGGATTCCTCCCCCTCGCTCTCTATTTCCTCCCTTTCCTGTGCCTCTGCTCCTGAGCCCCTGACAGACAATATGATTTTCCATCTATATTTTTAGCTGGTAAGACTTCTCATTACTCATTAAGATAGCTGTAGAAATTTCACCACCACCACTTTGTATCTTTTGAGTTCAGCTGTACTACTTGGGAGAGTCTGTGAGGAAGCCAAGGTTTACTTCAGAGGTTCCCAAACTGGTCTGTAGACCAGCAGTGGCCTTTGATCTTCGTTCAGGTGGGCTTTGGCATGTCCACATTAAGTATTGAGTTTTAATTGTATGCTATTGCTTATATTGCACTCCAGTTTGGATGCAAAGTGCAATGCAATAAAATACAAAAACAAAAAACGAAAACAATTTAAAAGTATATTGCATCTAGCAAAACACACTTAACACCAGGAAGAAAAAAATCATTAAATTGCCAAGACCCTCAGCGATTTTCATGGCGGGGAGGGGAGAGCCACTGGCTTAATTTGAATCTGAGCTGGGCCTTGGCGCCTGTTCCCTGGGCGCAGCTGTGACCACTCAGCAAAACGAGAAGATGCGCGTGAATCTAACTTTGCTCCATCATACCGCTTGAGCTCCTGCGCACGCGCACTTGGGAGTAAGCCCCGCTGAACCCAGGATGCTTTGGATTAGGATTGCGCTGGAGCTGGAAGGGCCGCGCTAAATCCAAGGACGACAGCTGGAGAGTTGAGGCGGCGGCTATTTTTCATAGCACCCAGGCCCCGCCACCCCCGGGAATTAGGACTATCTCCTTCATGCCGCCCATCCTGGGCACCCTGAAGAACTGCTATTCCCAGAAACCTTTGCGGCAGTCCGTCTTGGGCTGCCGGATGACGTCACTTCCTCCCGGTCCGCTAAGATGGCGCCGTCCGAAAGGGCGCGTGGGGAAGGCGTCGAGCCGGCTGCGCCCCTCGGCTATGCGGGTGAGCAGACGGAGGGAAGCGGGGTCGCCGGCACAGCGGTTCCTCCGGGGCCGCGGGAGGGTCACGAGGGGGGTGGGCTCGTCACCTTTCAAGGTGCCTGCAAGGCTCTTCTCTGGATCTGCAGGGCACCTTCCCAGCTTGCCCGGGCTCGCTCTCGGTGCTGCCGGGCTCCCCGCGGCACCCCGGGCTGCAGCCGCTCTGCCTTCCGCAAGGAAAACCGCACTCGCCACAGCTCAGGCGTTTCTGCAAGATTCTTGCCACTAAGGCACGAATCTCGGTGAGGCGGCGACGCAGAATTATATATTCGAAAAGCGTTATTGGTGTGTGTTTGTTCCTCCTATGGGGAGCTCCGTATAGAGAAATTCGGATAAATTATGGAGAGAAATTCGACACTTTATTCATTGGATCTGTGACTAGGCAACAGGTTTTCACACCACTATCCCCCATCCCCCCCAAAAAGTAGCGTTAAACAAGAGTGTTTGTTCTTTCTAACTCGCTTCACGTGGTGTGTTTTTTAAAAGTTTTTGAAGGTTTTAAAACACAACCATACTGCATGCAAGTTGATCGGCCAGGACGTTTCTGCACGTGTAGCTGATCTTTGGATATGATGGGGAGGGTAGGGTCAGGATCTAAAGAAAAATCTTAACAAATGGCCTTTTGCTGCAAAATGAGTGGTGCTTTGTATGTGGGATTTTGGGTTCAGCAACCAAACTATCCTCTGCCCCATCTCTGGTCTCCCAGGCCATAGTCCATGGGGTGGGGTGCATGACTTTTACTATGAAAGATGTATTTGGGTGAGGGGAGCTGAATCCTCTTTCTGCCCTGTGCTCCATTGCTTCAGGCACTTTTGTGCCAGCCCAGCTCCAATGTCATGATTAGTGTCTGCAAGCTGCTGTCTTTGATGTATTAAAGTGTCCTCCAGGTTATAATTATTTGCTCCACAATTTTTCTTTTAGCTATTCCAGTTAAGTTCTCTGAAGAGCATCATTTCCCTCACTACCTCTATGTAAAGGAGCACAAAGTCAGGGAGGACACAGATGTGAAGAGGCCTCAAAACCGCACACTTTTTGTCTTGAATGTTCCCCCATATTGTACAAAGGTGAGTTTATTGGGGGGGAGGGGATTATATGAAGGCCCCGGCAACCTGTAAACCAAGCCAAGAAGAGAACAAATATTAATACAGTGGTACCTCTACTTACGGACATGTTCCGGGGTGCCATTTGCACCCCAAAAAGTCCGTAAGTATTGCGCCACTTCTGCGTGTGTGTGATGTGATAGAGCGCTCCTGTGCATGCGAGAAGTGTGCAGATCGCTCATGCACAAAGCGGCAAACCCGGAAGTAAACACTTTGGGGTTTGCCGCGTTTGTAACCAGAACAAGCGCAAGGTGAAGCAAACGCAACTCAAGATATGACTGTATTTAATTTGGAGAGCTATGGAGAAAATGTAGAAGAGAGAGAATGGTGAATCTGTGTGTTCTTCTGGCTTTTAGAACATGTTTGCTATTTTAAAAAAGTGTATCTTAAAAATAGTAGACATACACAGCTCATAAGTTATGGGAAGACGCTAATCACTGGCTACTGGATTGCATTTGAGTTTCCTGGTCATCTAATCAGTGAACTTCACTATCAATTCAAAAAATTACCAGGGACAGCTGCAATATCCTAGTTGTCGGCTATATGAGTATCTGCATAGGAGATTGTAGCTACTGGCCTGCAGCTGGTTGTTAGATGTAAATGATTAGGTAGGGTATGATTGAAGAAGCTGCCTCATACCTAGTCAGACCGTTAGTTCTATCTAGCTCAGAAATTGTCTGCTATGTAGCTCTCAAGAGTTTCAGATGGGACATTCCCAGCCATACCTGGAGATGGCAATAGCTAGAGATCAATGGGATGAAAAAGAGGGAGAAGATAAAGCTTATGTAAAAGAATTAGAATTGCTTTGAAGAAGACAGTTAGGTTAGGATATTAGAACTCCTATTAACTATTCTGTACTTATGCTGGATATTATGTTCTATAATAAATATACATTGAGATATAACTATAAGCCACCCAAACATAGTTAAATCTTTGTTAGTATATCTCACCCAACATATCTTGTGTGGATATGCTCAATTAAGCATGCAGAGGTGGCTTGGGGAACCTTTGGCTCTCCTGATATTGTTGGGCTACAACTCCCCTCATCACATGCTGGTGGGGATTGATGGGAGTTGGAGTCCCAACATCTGGAGCATCAAAGGTTCCCCAGCCTTGGTGTAGAGCAGGGTTTCCCAAACTTGGGAACTCTTAAGGAAAGTCTGTACACTGCAGACTAACTGTGAGTGAATTACCAAGTGACCTCCAGGGACCAGTGCCTTGTAGAGGAACCCTGGAATGTAAATTAATGTTTAATTAATATGTGAATCAACAAGATTGGTAACTCTTCTTAGTTTCCTGTTCCTCAATTATTATTATTACTTTTGCCCTGAGGAAATGCCTAGGGTAAGAAATGGTAGCAAGCCCAAATCCTGAAAGGAAAGGGGCAGAGCAGGACATGCTGTCAAGGGCATTAAAAGGTAGGGGTGGTTTTCAGCCATGAAATGCCAAAGGATCAAGTACAGATGTTAGAGAGGTAATTAATATCAAGTACAGATATTAGAGAGGTAACTAATAATAATACAAGTATTAGAGAGGTGAGATGATGAGGGGAAATAATGGGGGATGATTTCAGGTTTCAGGAAATGTCCCTCTTATAGCCATGAATTGTCCCGAATTTCATTTTGTTGCTTGAAGGAATGTTTGTCCAGGCTGTTCTCGAGCTGCGGTTCTGTACGCTCTGTGGAGATGTGTGACAAGCCAAGTCTGGGAGAAAAGAAAGAAATGCCCAAGACGAAGTTTTTCAACACAGAAGCACTCCAGGTAAATCTTGAACCCTTGAGCAAGGGTGGAATTTGGAGAGGTGGGTGGGAATGTAGCATTTTGGGGGTGGGGGGGGGAAGCACTCTTAAGAAAAGGACCAGAGCTAAGGCTTGACTCCCTGTTACAGCAGCTTGGACTTCATTCCCTGCAAGTTCAGCCAGCCTTGCAATTTGACGTCTGCCTGTGTGCCAGGCAAAAAGGCTGCTACTTTAACAGTACCAAACTGCACTGCTGAGTTTGAACATACCCTCTCCCCTTTCCCAAGCAATATAGTGCGGAAAAGGCTTTCATCAACGGGTGGAGGAAAGCAGGCAGTGCACACGGCATGTTTCGTGGGTGAGTGTTGAGCTCTGGAGGCTGTGCACATCCCTCTTCGCCTCTTCCATGTTTAAAAGCCCAGCAGCACACATGCAGGTGGACCCAGAGCTGAACCTCAGAGGCAGCATGTATGGCTGGCTCTCTTTTTTCGTGTAAAAAGAGAGGAGGGAAGGGAAGGGAAGGGAAGCACGACGAAGCCAGGGGAGAGAGCAACAGGGATGTGTTTTCCCCCTTGAGTGGGTCTTTCAGTGGCTGGCATTCTTTGGTTTGTGTGTGAGTGAAAATAGACCCAGTCCATAATCATGAGCTTCTTGCTTTATAGGGGTTCAAGGTCGCTTATGTTGTGTTCAAGAATCCTGCTGGGGTGCAGGCTGCCAAGTCCTTATCAACAAAAGACCCCCTGGTGATATCTTCCCAAAGGCACCCTGTGCAAATGGGCATTCACAGTAAGTTAACCACAAATGCCTAGAAATTCCCTCTTTCTTCCTGGGCTGGCCTTCAGGTGTGTAAGGATTTAGTTTGTGGCTGGTGGAGAAATCTGAGTGTTGTACAGGCTCACTTGGCAAGTCTCTCTCTCAGCCTAACAATCCTCATAAGAGCTGCAGTGCTATAACATTTGGGATGAGATTAAGGTGGGGAAGAGCTACCCTGAGCTCCTTCGTGAAAGAATGGGACAGAAATAGAATACTAGTATACCAGCCAGTGTACACCACTTAGAGGGGGCTGTGAATAAGTATACAAATTCTTTAATTAGGTGTTCGCCTCTTAACGAGATTACATTTACCCATCCTTTATTACTTTTGCATTCCCCAGGCACCTCATTCACCTTGACTAGGCAGGGCACCTTGTCTCACTCAGATGCAAGGCCCACGCCTTCCATTTCCATCTACAACCATTATCAAAACTGGTAGAACATAGGCTTTCCCCAGCCTCTGTGCTGTATAGTCAGACTGCCTTTGATTTGTTAAACGAGCAAGGAAGGGAATGCAGAGCCACTCCCTGACCCATCTCCTGTCCTGTGACATTGTCTTATACTAGGGGTGTCCAACCTTTTTTGGCCACCTTCAGGGTTCACCACCTCCCTGAGGGCTACATACTGGCTGTGAGTTTCAACAATGTATGTGCATGTGTGTTTGCACACTCTAGTCATACAACACTCATGCAGGCCACACACACTCACCCCATTAGACATTCAGTCACTCAGCACTTAAGAGAGAGTAAGAAAGAGAAGAAAGCAAGCATTTCCAGTCCTCTCCAATCCATCGCTGGAGTGAAGTTGGGGGAAATGCTGCCTGTTACTCTTAAAGAGCAGGCAGAGGGTTTTATCCATGATCTCAGCACAGTGCTGCTTGGCTCTACGCTCAGAGATAAACGATCCCTCTGCCTGTTCTTTAGAGAGGATTGTTTCTCTCCATCTCAGATTGCTCTCTAAGGATCAGGCAGAGGGCTTTATCTGTCAACCAGATCAGTAGACAAAGAGCAGGGGCTGGTGGATCACTTCCTGCAGCTTGCCAGGCTAGATCTGGGCTGCAGGTTAGCCCCCGTTTTATAGCAGTCAAGGACAGCACTTCCTGTGAAGCACACATTAAGGTAGCAGCAGCATGTCCCAACTTAAATGTACTGTGGCATGGAAGGAATCTCCTTTTCCAGAGTACAGGGACAACCTTGGAGTATAGGGGAAACTGGGCCTTGTTATAACAATAGGATTGATTTCAATAGGCCTTTGGCCAATTAATATCCTACAGCCTTTTAAATGTATCTGTGGGAAGAGGGGTATTGTTTTGTTGTTTTGGTTTATTCTATGAACTGCCCTGGGATCTCTTGATGAAGGGCGGTATATAAATTAAGTAAACAAATAGCCAAGCAGCAAGTGGTTTGTGCAGTGGTGTTTGGTATTTCTTAACCGTAGGTGCCTCTAGTAGGAACTGTCAGTCACCTGCCAGCAAACGACTGCTCATTGACCTGAGAGAACAGGGTTTGCCATCACAGATAGGCATTCAAGTCCAGCATGCTGTCATTCTTAGAAATAGCAGTAATTGAAATTTGATCTTGTTGTCCCCCACTGTTGAGTCCCTGGTTTCAATTGTATTAAGGGGGCCTCTAAAGTTTCCAAAATTGTGTTTTGTTCTTCTGTTGTCTTGAACATTTTTTGCACTGCAAACTGATTTATTATTTGTTTGTTTTTATCTCAGAATGGATTGCTAGATATGCAGCTTCAGTTGTGGATCCTGCTGAGCTGAAGACAGAAGTGGATGCTTTCATGCAGGCCTATGACAAGAAGGTTGCAAAGGTATGCATTGCTGAAAATATAATGGTATTAGCCAAGCATGCCCTTCCCTTGAAGGGTCCTTTGGATTCAGCATCACCTGTCTGGGTTATGATCAGCATTGACTGGGTAGAGACCCAGTGTGATGTAGTGATTAGAGAAGACTAGAGTTTAGATACTCGGCCATGAAGTTCACCTGGTGTCTTGGGCCACTCATCAGCTGATGAGCAGGGATTAAATCCTGCTGACTTGGCTGCATGATCCTGTTCCATGTTGGGAACAGGGTGTGCAGCCAATGCAGGAGTCAACCCTGTTCTCTGCCAGTGATGTCAGCTGATGGGTGGGCATGCTTTGAAGGAAATGACCTTGTGAGACAAATTGGACCCCCTGGTGGGCCATGATTTGTCTGTTGGCTGGAGGTTCCTCACCTCGGGGGTGAATCTAGAATTGAATGTGTTGGAGGGGGATTTCCAGCCGGTGGCAGAGGACAGAGTGACTCCAGGAGACATAGGTGTAAAAACCCAAACTAAAACGAAGACTTTATTACTAAGCAAATAAACACAAACTCTGGTGGATGTTATTCCTGCAGGCAGGCAACAAAACTCAGCTTTTTTCCTTTATAGCAACGGTCACCTGCAGCCAATTAATCCCAGAAACTTCTTAAAGGTATACACACGTTTCTGTGCCGAATGAATGTTGAATGGAACACATTGCCTATATTTCTGGGTTGCTGATAACACAATCCTGCTTTCTTCAGAAAGCCCTTTTCATATGGCAAAAGGCTTTGCACTGGGCTCTTTTGCTCAAGGGCTGTGAAGTTGGGCAGGGCACCTTCTGAAATTATAAACAGTATTTCTGAGCTTGGGTTGGGCTGGGTGATGTATCAATATATTGTCCAAAACTGGTTTGAAGCCCATATTGTGATATTGGTTTCATAGTTTTTGACCTGGCAATATATTGCGAGTGGGTGAGTGAGTGTGTAAAAATCACAATGAGGGGAAAACAGTGAAGCTAGCCAATGCCTTAATAGCCATCCTTATTTCAGACATTGTGATATATTGGTATATGGTGGTGTTTAGATGGTGATATATTGCCCAGCCTTACTCACGGGGAAGCTGTGAGCTTAAAGCAGCCCCTCCTGACCAGGCTTGAGATTGCTCTTTTTATTGACGCAGGAAGAAGCCAAAGCTGAGAAGGAAGATGGCATCCCGGATGAGGAAGGGTGGGTGAAGGTGACAAGGAAAGGTCGAAGGCCTGGGCTCCCTCGGACTGAAGCAGCCAACTTGCGGGCACTGGAGAGGGAGAAGCGCAAAAGGGCACGCAAGGAGCTGCTCAATTTCTATGCTTGGCAGCATCGTGAGACCAAGAGGGAACGTGAGTCATTTCCTCTTCATCTGCTCTCTCAATTCTGTGGAATATTTGATGCAAGAGAATGTCATCTAATTTGAATAGCATACCGTATTTACGGGAATCTAATGCGCACCTCAATTTTCAAAATCTTGAAACCAAAAAAGTATTTGCTGGCATCATTGTATCTAACACGCACCCTAATTTTTGCAATGTAAGGAAAAGGTAAAGGGACCCCTGACCGTTAGGTCCAGTCGCAGACGACTCTGGGGTTGCAGCGCTCATCTTGCTTTACTGGCCGAAGGAGCCAGCGTACAGCTTCCGTGGCCATGTGGCCAGCATGACTAAGCCGCTTCTGGCGAACCAGAGCAGCGCACGGAAACGCCGTTTACCTTCCCGCTGGAGCGGTACCTATTTATCTACTTGCACTTTGACGTGCTTTCGAACTGCTAGGTTGGCAGGAGCAGGGACCAAGTAACAGGAGCTGACCCCGTCGCGGGGATTTGAACTGCCCACCTTCTGATCAGCAAGCCCTAGGCTCTGTAGTTTAACCCACAGTGCCACCTGCGTCCCTAATTTTTGCAATGTACTTTGGCCAAAAAGTGTGCATTACATTTGAGTAAATATGGTATTCTTTGCCAGCCTGAATTTTGGTGAAAATGTAGGAACATCAGAAGGAGCTTAGTTACTGTTTTCTGACCAGTTAAGATTGTCAGGTGTTTTGTGGAAGGGCAGATTTTTAGCTTCCAGCATCTTCTGAGTGTTTTTATTTCAACAGTAGCATGTTCTCATTACTATGCTTGCTCAGGGGATGTCTGCAAACTTTGCCACCTTTAGACATCAAACCATCCCAGAACTTGGACAGTGTGGAAAGTTAACTCAAATATGCTAGAGGAGCTTTTTCCTGCTGTGACACTGGTTCTTTCTCTGCTTTATCCAATCTCTCCTTTGTGCGTTTTTCAGACATAGCTCAACTGAGGAGGAAGTTTGAAGAGGACAAGCAGAAAATTGCTCTCCTGCGGGCGCAGCGGAAGTTTCGGCCCTACTGAGTTGCAGATCTACAGCTATTCTGAAAAGAACGGCAGCCACAGTAAGAAGTTCATTGCTGGGATAATTTTGACTTTTTCTCCTTTCCCCTCTAATATCTCCTGGAGTGTGATGGATGCAGCAGATGATGAGGGTTTGGAAATGAAATCATCTTGTTTGCTCTGACACTGTAACACTGACAGTTCATCAGCTGCCTTCTTCCCCTGTGAGGAATTCTAAGGCTGCTGTTCAAATGCAGACATGTAAATATATGTTTTTATATTTGTGATACACTGCATTTTTCACTCTACAAGACACACCAGACCATAAGATGTACCTAGTTTTTGGAAGAGGAAAACAAGAAAAAAAAATCTGAATCCCAGAAGTAGCCAGCGGGATCGCACCGCAGCAATTCCTGCTGGCTATCCTAGTTTATGGGATAGCCACGCGCAGCCTCTCCTGGGCAAGGGGAGCCTTCATCCTCTGCCCGGGAGAGGCTGCATGCAGCTAAGGCTCCCCCAAGAGCAGCCCTTCTCCCTCTCGGGGAAAACCCCAAGAGCCGCTCCACGCGGCTCTTTAAAGGGAGCGCTGAGCAGAGCCTCCCATCTGCATTCGCTCCATAAGACGCGCACACACTTCCCCTTACTTTTTAGGAGGGGAAAAGTGCGTCTTACAGAGCGAAGAATACGGTACATCAGGTTTCTAGTTCTCATCGTCTTCACCAATACACGACTTCTATGTAGGAATTTTTACTGGACAATTTGTGTGCCACACAACCTGTCAAAGAACAGCTGCTTCTCTAGCTTGCACAACCCCATAAGAAACTTGCATCTCTCCTGTAAATACCTATGCTATGGATGCAAGCGGCACCTTGGAAAAGCAGGCCTGTCAGAGGCTTATTTTGTGAAGCCAAAAAGAACATCCCAGTAAAATTTCTCCTCTATTAGTCTCCTCAATCTGTATCACCAAACAATAAATTATTTTGAGAGATTGAAACTGTTTTGAGCATGGGTTGGTAAACGAAGACCTGCAAGCCGGACCAGGCTCAATTGCCTTCTAAATCCAGCCCGCAGACGATCCGGGAATCGCTGCACCCCTCGTCGTCCCTTGTTCATTTTTTTTCTTTCCAAAATATAGGCTGGCCCCCCACAAGGTCTGAGGGACAGGGGACCAGCCTCCTGCTGAAAAAGTTTGAGGACCCCTGGTTTAGAAGTATTTTAAATTGTATGAGGAAAGAAGTACTTCTACAAGTGCAAGCTGCAACAAACTTAGTTTTAATACCTAAACTAGCATGAGTGGCTAAAATGTTTCCTTCACTGAACTAACAGTTGTTACCTAGATAGAACACCTGACTTTGGCCCAGAAAATCATAATCCAGTACATGAATTAACATTTTAAGACAAATCCACTCACCCACCGTATGTGTAACTGGACTAAGGCACTCATGAAGAACTGAATCTGACTGAGCTGTTCAGTAGAAACAGAACCAAGAATTGTTCGTGCTATAAATGTCTGTGCAAGCTGTCCCCACTGCGCCACAAGGTAGTTGTGCAAGATACCCTGCAGGTCCCACAGCAGGACTGAATCTTTCTAAGGCATCCATCTGTTCTCTAGTCATGATGATGTAGGTAGGCACTGCTTATAGGCTGGATCTGGGTTTCTGGTCCTTGTTTAAGAAGGTGTTGATGATCCCGGCCACAACTTGGGGCTCATTCAGGTGGACAAAATGATTGCCAGCAACTTCCACAAATTGGTAACGCTAAGAATAAGGGAGAATACAGTGAGAGATGGACCATAGGAAAGAAAACTCAGAACTATGGAACAATGAAACTTAACATTAAATGCTAGGAGTAGGGAGTTCTAATAGGTAGGCTGGATTAGCCCATCCAGAAGCATCTACAACTGCCAGCGAAAGGGTCAAAAGCAATTCACTAGTTTTACTGAACACTTAACCACACCTGTGTTCAGTGTGGGCTTAAAGACAAACTCACATTCTGTACAAGCTCATTAAAGACAAACTCACATTCTGTGCAAGCTCATTTTGCATAATTCTGCTTCAACTCCAGGGGAGAGGCAGAGAGGTAGGAAAGTGACCCTCTGCACACTGGAAATGCTGCTCAAGCTGCGCTGTTTTTTCCTCTTTCACTGACCCCTTCCCCTCCGTTTTAGTCCACCAATCCGAGCAGGAGGCTAAATCCTGATCAGCCAAGTCAAGGAAAAAAATGGTGCATTTGGGGAGCATCGGCAGAGCACAGGAAATATCCCTTCCATTGCCTATGCCAGGCACCCCCAACCTGCAGCCCTCTAGATGTTTTGGCCTACAACTCCCATGATCCCTAGCTAACAGGACCAGTGGTCAGAGATGATGGGAATTGTAGTCCAAAACTTCTGGAGGGCTGAAGTTTGGGGATGCCTGGCCTATGCACCTTTCTTTCTCCCTTTCCTGTCATTTTTACAATCTCCACACGAGGGATTTTGACAGTTGGGTGGGGCAACCTGCCTGTCTATCATGTGGCACCAAGGTTGGCCAGCAGGAAGAGGCCAGAGGTTCCCCAGGCATAAGCCTATCTCATAACTGGGGGGGGGGGTCTATCCAGCTGTACTCCTATTGCCTCCTTTGCCACCTCTCCCCCCCCTCCACTGAATACATGGAAACCCCAAGCGAGAAAAGCAACTGCCCAGCAAAGCCAATGCAAAACGGCTCAGAGCCAGTTTGTGTTCCCCTCAGGACTTGCACTCACCTCTTTTAGGCTGGTCCTGAATGCTTCCTCAAGTGGCTCTACAAAATATGGGACGCTACCTTTAGGAGGATTGGTAAAAATCCCATTTTCTGCTCTAGAATAAAACAATCAGCTCTTAGTTCTGGTTGCACATAAGAACACAAAGTTTAAATCATCTGCATGATAGAATTTCCCAAGAAATAGAAGAGGGTGCTGGATATTGCATTAGCTTTGTGGATAACCTGAACTGATCCTTCTCACTTGTGCCATTGAAAAAAGGGTAGATTAGATTTGAGGTGTATAGGGTGTTACGGTAGGGAAAGCACTTCTGGGGTACAGTGGTACCTCGCAAGACGAATGCCTCGCAAGGCGGAAAACTCGCAAGATGAAAGGGTTTTGCGTTTTTCGAGGTGCTTCGCCAGACGAATTTCCCTATGGGCTTGCTTCGCAAGAAGAAAGCCCATAGGGAAATCTCCGGGGACCTCTTTTAAAATGCTGGCGGTCGGGAGCAAAGACTTTCGGGAGCGAAGCCTTCGCTGCCATCCCCCAGCATTTTAAAAGCCCCCGGGACAGCGGAGACTTCGCTGCCGCCCGCCAGCATTTTAAAATCGCCCTGGGACAGCGCCCTGGGCTTTTAAAATGCTGGCGGGCGGCAGCAAAGCCCTCCTGTCCCCGGAGCTTGCGGGGCGGGAGGTGGGGAGAAGGGCTTTTTTTCCCACTGCCAGCCTTCAGAACAGCCTTCTGAAGGCTGGCGGTGGGAAGAAAAGCCCTTGTCCCACCCCCCCCCCCCAGCCTTCAGAAGAGGTCGGGGGACAGACTGTCCCCAGACCTGGTCTGAAGGCGGTTTCCATAGGAACGCATTGATTGATTTTCAATGCATTCCTATGGGAAATCGTGCTTCGCAAGACAAAAAACTCGCAAGAAGAAAAAACTCGCGGAACGAATTAATTTCGTCTTGCGAGGTACCACTGTAGTTTGTTCACCTTTGGTCCCCACCCTGCACTCAGCTCTCATCTGGGCCACCTAGAAGCTATCAGCATGCAACAGTGGCCGCAGTCCAGAAACAGGCTGGCTAAATCAGGCGAGTGCAGTTGCTGGGTCTCAAATCTTCAGCGAGTCAGGGACTTTGCCTGCATGTGGACAGGCTCTGGCAGATTGAGCGGATGAGACCAATAGTGGGTCCACCGGCGAGAAGTGAGAGGCAGGTAGGGCTTGTCAACCTGGAAAGGGAGCCATCTGGGAGAGGAGAAAAACTGATCCTAAACCTCCATTGCCTTGCAGACTATCTTCTGGAGAAACAGGCTAAGGAGTAAACCCTGCACAAATCCAGAATGAAGTCCTTAAGACAGCTGGATGGCACCCTGTACACCTCCTTCCGGCAACTACTGCAGCCACGCTGGTGAACCACATCAGAGAGGCCGAGAAGGGGGACATCATCTGGTCAGTCCAGAACCTCCATGCACTGCCCAGGGTTGTGCCACGGGAAGGTCACTTAAGTGCTGCTAACGCAGCCGTTTGACTTCACCCTGGAGGTGCACTCCATTGTCCCTCAAGACAGACGGATGCCAACAACAAACTAGATTGGCTAAGCATGTGGCTAAGCTGGTATTTAGCACAACCTCAATATATTTTCATGATTTTTAAAGCAGCGATGCTCCGCGGACCCAGATGGAAGTAGGCCTACTGAAAATAGGAGGACTTCATTGGAAGTAAACATGGTAAACATGCGTAAGGCTGCACTGCACTTGGAATACTACTCTGCAACTACTCTGTATTATAGGCACTACAGGAGTGCTCTAGAGTCTAAGGAGGACTGATTCAGTCTTACGCTTAGGGCTGATCAGTGAAGCAATCCATTTTTCTTCATTCTCTGCCCCTGCCTCTCTTTTTCTCTCAGGCAGATCTACTAGGCACTGGTTACATCTGCATGTCACTTACCTGATCATCAGTATATCAGCCTCGATTTTCTTCAGGATGTGGCAACATTGATCCAGAGACACAAAACTGTGGTTCTGCTACATATGATATAAAATGACAAATAAGGAACATAATTCATCTAGTCCGTTTGACTGGCTTAGCACACAAGGGGTTTCTTCTATGCTGCCCCTTTATTCTGTGCTGGGGGAGAGAAAGTGGAGCAGGTCACCCCACTTTACCCTCTGTTGCCAATCAATGGGCAGGGGGGCAATAGGAGGTGCTCCACAAATGGCATTGTTCATGCAAATACCTGGCCACAGGTCAACAGTCTTTTGGTCCTAAGGCGATTCACAGGAGACCCATTGAAACTGAAATACCAGTTGTCTACAAAAATGCTTTCCATCAGAAAAGCCCTATGGAGTTAGCCAGAAATAGGTGGAAATTAAATATTCCCGTGTTCTGCAATCTAGCCAACAAAGGCTCTCACTGCAACTTTTGTGACGAGGAAACTAAGGTTAGAGGACCAACATTAACAAAGCTAGCCCATGCCTGAGCAGGGCTTTGAGCAAGGACTAATTTGTGTACCTCCAACACCCTTTGGGTGGATGAAAAATACAGGGGGAAACATTCAAAAAACTAGATCAGAACTTACCACAAGGACCCTTAAATCTCTGTTATAAACCAAACCTAAAGAAAGAGAAGAATCACATCTCACATTTTGTACAACTTGTTTTTCTCCAAACTTTCCCCTGGCTTCTTTCTCTTAACACAACTGAGGGGGGAGGAAGTTATTCTATAAATGGTAAGTTTAACCGGCTGTCACAATTAAAATTTAAATACCTGGAAAGAGGACTGTGGAGTGTTCTGTACAAGGATGCACAACTCCTAAAAGACCAGGTTTATATTGGCGGGAGCAGGGGGGTGTCTCCTGGACACTATCTATGGAAGCCTCACAGGTGGTGTTAGTGATTAAGAGTGCCTTTTAACAGCTTAGGTTGTTTCATCATCTGTGACCCATTCTGCAGAAAGTGGAACTTGCCTCAGTGGCACATGCCCTGGTTACAGCCAGACTGGACTGTATGGGGCTGCCTTTAAACATGGTCTGGAAACTTCAGCTGGTACAAACACTAGGATGTTTGTGGACAACAGGCACTCAGAGCATATAACACATATTCCATTTCAGTTGCATTAGCTGCCTGCTTGTTTCCAGGCTCAGCGTAAATTGCTGGTGGTAAAAAGTAAAGCTCAAAACTGTTTGGACAAGGTTATTTGAAGATGGGCCTTAAGAATGGCCTTGCACGGATCCTCTCAGAGATAGTGGCCAAAATCCATCAGACTGGCGAACCCTCGAGACACCTTTTCAGCACCTAAGAACTCCCTCCCATAAGTAGCACCTCTGGACTGAAATGGGTTTTAACTTAGACCTTAGTAAACTTCTTAATTTCAAACTGCTGCTGTTTTTAAATTTTGTAATTAGTTTGCTTTATTTGTATAGCTTTTAAGGTTTCAACAATCCCTTCATAAATTGCCTTGGAAAAGGCAGCATGTCAGTACTATCATACAAACAAGATCAGTTCTGAATATTTAGCCACAGAATGCGCCACCGATTGTGCTAGATAGTTTTAGATCTTCAGGCAGAGTCAGACCACTGGGCCAGCTAGCCACTAGTGCAATGGGCAGCAGGTCTCTAGTGTCTCACACAAGACTGCAACAGTCCCCTGGAACCAAAGATGCCCTCCCATGTGCTCTGCCACCAAGCTCTGCTCCCCTAATTGCAGGTTCGGTGAAACACAACAGGCATCTCTTTGTATCTCAGCCTCTTACCTCCTGCCACCTCAGAAGCCCCTCGCTCCAGCAGTACCTTAGCACTCTCTTCTGTTAGCTGGCTGTTTGCTTCCATTAACCTAGGCAAGTCAAGCAGAAACGTGTACTATTTTGTCAGTAAGATGCAGGCAAGAACTGCACTCTTAGTAATGCCACCACCCACTAATCCCTCATCTTATCAAATGTTACCCAGCCACATTTGTCCATCCTGAATCTATGTTCAGCCCTTGTACAACATTGATGCCTTGTACACTTCAGAAAGCATTCAATGGTGATGCCATCAAACAGGACCCTGGACCTGACAAATCACTGATATGAACCAGGGACACCAGTTATGTTCCTTTTTTGGGGGTGACAAAAACGTGGGTGGTATTCAACCAAGTTTTACTCAAGAGTGGAACCACTGAAATTAACAAACACAACTAAGTTAGGTTTGGGAAGGCATTTTAGCTAAGTACCTAAGTTCTGAGCACCATTTCCTTGGTTGTCTTTTTTTTCTCCATTCTAATATCTTGGTTTTGATTCTGCAAGGGAGCCAGTATGATGCAGTGGTCAGAATGTTGGAGACAAGGGTTCAAATCCTCACTCAACTATGAAGCTCACTGGGTGACTAAGGCCTAAGGCCAGTCACTGCCTCTCAGCAATAACCTACCCTCACAGGGTTGTGGGCATTAAATGAGAATGAGGAAAATCATGCACGCCATCTCGAGCTCTTTGGAGAAGAAGGAGGGATATAAATGCAATAAATAAAATAAAAGAACATTTCCTTTTTCAGAATAATGGATTTGGAAAGAGGCGGCTATGTTTGGCAGGACAGACCTTGCTGTACCCCCAGGGACAAAACACCCAATGGTTGCCAGAGACCAAAGAAGGGAACTCACCTCTGAAGGGCTGCTTCAGGACTGCGTACTTTGGGGGAATGGTACTTGCTGGTCTCAAAATTCAGCAGTTCCTCAATTACCTCCCGCTGGGACTTGCAAATCTTCTCCAATTCCTATAAATCAGATGTAGTCATCTGCTTTCAGAAGTCTGTTACACCCAAAGCCCCTCACAAGGTATACAAAACAACATTAGTATTCGCTTTCTTGGGAAGGTAAGACAAAAGTAAAGGAATCAAAAGGGTTAGCTCTTTCTATGCACTCTGACACCACTAGGCCTCACTTCCAATGCCGTGCTGCCTTCCAACCTCACCTCTAAACGTGAGAAAGCATCTCTAGGGGTGAACAGCAGCCTCGGCTTCTTTTCTGTATGTAATCCTGGGCCCCTTTGATAACCCTGCCAACAAGAGAGCCAACAAACAATAACAGAGCCTGGGCAGTGGCTTTTGTGGGAGGAACCTAGGAACGAGAGCCAATTAAATTCCCTGAAAGTCACACACACAAACGTGTCCTGATTAAGCTCATGTCATTCTGTGCAACCAGTAAACATTGGACAGGACTAGGGCTGGGCGGTATATCAATATATCTTCCCAAATCAGTTTGAAGTCCATATTGTGATATTGCATTTCATAATTTTTGACCTGGCAATATATTGCAAATCATGATGTGTGTGCAAAAGTCACCTTGTGGGGAAAACAAGGCCAGTCAATGCCTCTACATAGTCCAACCCTTATTTAGCTCATGACATATCCCGATGTTGAAAACCAGATATCGCCCAGCCTTAGACAGAACAATGCTGTATTGGTATAATAGACCTCTTAGAGATCCCTGAGTTATAGATCAAATTCTTTGTATCCCATCACTGGCACATGCAGTTGCTGATTTTGGGAGAGAAAAGCTTTTTGTCTACACATTTTGACTGACTCCAAGACTGCCATGAGAGCTGGGTTAAATCACATCCCAAAAACTTAAGCATGCAAGGGAGGGAAGTTTGCCTTTCACCCACTGCCTCTACAATTGCAAGAAATACTTTCCAGCTGGAAAAAAAATCACTTAAATTTTAATTAAATGTTTATTTTATATATTGCCCTGCCTCTCTCCCAGTGCTGGAGCCAAGATGGTTCACAGGATATATGAAAACAGATTTACTTATCTATTTTCTGATAAAGCCAGCACTTAAAAGACGTAAAAGTGGCAGTTGTAGAAAAGTCTCATCATGTGGGGAGTAGCAATCACCTTTCCTGCTCCTTTTCAGTAATTAACACACCTCTGGGAATGACTCTTTTCAAAGTTAATTTATCCACTGGCTGGTCCTAAATCTACACGTGATGCTAAGCCTGAACTGTTGGCTCCTCCCAATAGAATCATAGAATTGTAGAGTTGGAATGAATCTAAAGGGTCGTCTAGTCTAAATTCCTGCAAAGCAGGAATCACAGTAACCACAGACTTCTGGTTTCTTTGACAACATATTCAGACCGTTGTGCCTCTCTTCTTTGCAAATCTGCCTCATAACTCTGGAAATCTACAGCACTAAAGGAAAGGGGTGTAAGTTCCCTAACAAAAGGGATAATCCACTTGACTACCGTACTTTTCCGTGTATTAGACAAGGTTTCCCCCCTCAAAACAAACATCAGAAAATGGGAGGGTGTCTTATCCATAGTGCATTTTGGTGTTGTGGGATTTGTTGCTTGAGATAGTCAGCGGTGTTATGAGTGGCTGCAACAAGGGCCGGTGTGGACTTGCTGTTGCTGCGGCTTCTGGCTCCAATGGAAGAGCTTAATAGGTGGGTTTTGCGCATGTGCGGCAGTGCAGGTCTGATGTGTGAGCAATCTCCTCCAGAGACAGCGCGTCCCACATCACCAGCGCTGCCACCAGAGACTGGGCGTCTCTGCGGTCAGAGGTGCCCAGCAAGGGCTTGTCGCTTCCCGCAGCCCCGGCATGAGCCATTCCCTCTGTGGGGAGCCGAAGGATAATATAGTAACAAAAAGGAGATGATTGATTAACTGCCCTCTTCGTCCTCTGCCTTCGCCACTTCAATTCACCTCAGCTGTGGCTGCCCGTTGCCTTCATGTTCTTCTCCCCGCACTCTTGTCCCCGCTTCCCTCAATAAATAAGAACGCGTGTGAGCCGCCCCTGTCACCAGCAAGGCAGCAGCGCCACCACAGAGCAAGTCAGTCCGTGGTTGGAGGAGGAGGAGGAGAGTACAGAGGGCAGGAGTCACCTCATAGCAAAGCAATGGCATCCCTCCTCCTCCTCCTCGCCTCAGGCTCTGCTGGGTTACACTGCTGCCTGCCTGCAGGAAACGAAGGACAGCAAGAAGAGGGGGAATGAACCAGGGGGAGCCATTTTCTTTAGTTTGCGTCCCCAAAAATAGGGGTCATCTTATAGATGGGGGTGTCTTATACATGGAAAAATACGGTAAGTTGTTGAGGCAAATAGGCGTGAGTCCGTGTAGCAAGCAATTTGCACTTGCCCAAATGGCACGGGGGGGCTGCTCAACTCACATCAGGGTTCCAGCCCACATCTGTGATTTTAAAAATTGCTAATTACATATATTGTGTTTAGCGTCTAGCCTAGGCCTGAGTAAAGCGAATAGTTGTGGTGCTGCATCTACAGCAGCAGCCCTGGGCACTGTCAAAAAGGCACAAGTATTTTGTCCAACCTACTTGCCATGTACCCACTAGCCTTCCACCTTATAATGGAGGGCAGAGGTGGGGCTGCCTCCCATATGCCCCACACCAGGCTCAACACTACCTCAAAAATAACCACCTTCTATTAGCAAAGAAACTTATATAGCTTCTTCAGTTCATGCCACTTCTCTCAACTATACTGCAAGGGTAGCAAAAAATATATAGAATTTAACCTGAGGTGCAGGATAAAAACCATACGATTCCACCAGGATCAGCTTGTCCACCAGTTCGGGGAAAATACTAGAGAACTAGGAAAACAGAGGGGAAAAGAAAGGAAGTTTAGCTCTTTTACCGCAGGAACAAAAAGTGTAATTTCTATCACCTCTGCCTAGATATCATTTCTTATTCTCTTGTGTGTTCGTCACAGAAAAAACTGTGTTTTGAGAAGAGACATTTCTATATAGATAAGTGAGTTCTGCAACAAAATGTTGCAATGTAGAATACTCCTCTGGAGGATGGTCTAGTCTTTGTCCACTTCCTTTGGTTTTCTATTAAATTTCCAACAGCCAGACAGCATTCCATGCCTACTGAGCATGCTCAGTCTACACTGGGCTATTTTTAATTTAAAAAACCCCTCTCTTATTAAGAGTTTGTTTCCTAAATATGTATTTGTACTTCTGAAAAGCTGAGGGTCTTCAGCCTGCCAACCCGTCCCTCTTGGGGATGGATGGTGAAGGTTTGGCAACATAAAGACTAGCACTCAGAGAAAGGAGATTGCTATTAGTGTATTAGTGGGAGCCACAGCACAGTGTTGCAGTCTATGGTGCTGCTGTTCAAGATCCCAGCCCTTCTATTCCTACTTCCCCCAGCCCAAAATTTTATCCTCCACCCCAACTGAGTCAGCATTGTGTGGCCACTTAATTCTCATTGGGCTGTTGGGGGGTATTTCTTGTTGTTTTTCCCTTTTCCCTCGTGCCTACGGGACCACCTCTCTCTCTCTCTCTCTCTCTATGTCCCACAGAGGAACTTACGGTCTTCAAACAAAAACATCTTGGAGGCTGTGGCTCCGATCTGGTGGAACGCTCTGTCACAAGAGATTAGAGCCCTGCGGGACTTGACATCTTTCCGCAGGGCCTGCAAGACAGAGCTGTTCCACCAGACCTTTGGCAATCCTCACAGAACTCTAGCCCAATGGTTGCCATTAATTTGATTTGAATTTATTTTATAATGAAATGATTTTAGAATGTTGTACTATTTTATTGTTGTTAGCCGCCCTGAGCCCGGCTTCAGCTGGGGAGGGCAGGATATAAATAAAATTTATTTTATTATTATTATATTATTATTATTATAACACACTTCTGCACAGAATTCTTCCAAGCCTTCTGATATGTTCCTCTTGTGTATGGATGGTGTTGTTCTTGCTACATAATCAGTGGCACTCAAACCCTGAACACTGGAAATAGAGGGAATAATGAAAATGCCCAGATAAGAATATACTCACCATGCCTGCAATACTCCCACCTGTAGGAAAGAAAAGGAAGTCGGGTTTATATGAACACAGAGTATGAACCACAGTGACCACCCATAAAATCCAAAGGGTATAAACTGACCAGCAATGAGAGAACAGGACCATAATTTGATAAGTGAACAAACAAGGAAGGGGGGGGGAGGTGATTATGTGTGAGAAACACCAGCTTCCTCAGGGACAAAAGTCACTTACCCAAACTGTGGCCCATAAGGGTAAACCGATTCCATTTCATTGCTAAAAAAAAAAAAAAGAGCAAATGAGAGGATGAGTTAAGACCAGATAGCCCAGGTTTCACAAGCCACCAAGCAATCGGCAGCATCACAATACAAACATTAGCCACATCACGGCTCAACTTGGTGCTTCTAGATGTTTTGCACAACAGCTCCCAACAGCCACAGCTAGCACAGCTGGAAATCATAGTGCAAAACATCAGGAAGGCACCAGGTTGGGGAAAGCTAGTGCAGGCTGTCGCAGGCAAGAGACAGGTAGGTAGCCATGTTGGTCTGAAGCAGTCGAAATAAATTAAAAAATTGTCCAGTAGCACCTTAGAGACCAACTAAGTTTGTTCTGGGCATAAGCTTTCGTGTGCATGCACACTTCTTTAGATACTTCTTGAATCTGAAGTCCCTCTAAAAGGGAATGCCTGATTGAGTTCCTTTGATAAACAGGCAGCTAACAAGCTGCACAGGAAGAAAGGGATGTTGGGAAATTGGGAAATGGTTAATGCTGCAATAGGAGCTAATCCCCTAAATTGCACAGGGAATGTTCATAGAGGCTCAGCTCCAACAATGTACATTTCCTACAACAAGGCTACGCCCTATGCAATGTGGCTGTGCTTTAGGATCTGAGAAGGGCATTCACAATTATTAACTTGGTAACAATTTGCCTTCCACAACTAAAAAACAGGAATGATGTCAAAGCTCAATGCCTACTAACCGGTTTTACCAAACTAGATTAAGGTGAAAGGTTTACACCTACTCTTGAGAATTGCTACACTGAGAATTTACAACCTGTAAAACTGTAACTGTATGTATGTGCCAGTTGTGACTAGTGTTTTATTTTAGAGGCTTTGGAGCCTGTCTAATTAAAGCAAGGGCTGCAAAGTTTTATGTCTGGCCTTGAAAGTGGGTTGGGGAGGAGTTGCTGGCTTTGGCTGATCAGGAAGTGTGAGAGAAACTGTCTTGACTGCAGCCAAGAGAAATATAGATCCAGGCCACTGAGAAATTCAAACTGCCTACAGGCTACAAACAAATCCAACAGGCTCACCTGCTGCTACCCTGCGCACGTCACCCACATAATCCATGAAGTGATAGATTGCCCCAGGTGGGCGGTGGGATGACAGGCCATGTCCTGCAAGATCAATGGCCAAGTAGTAACAATCTGAAAGAGAACAAAGGGAAGAGAAACAAGTCAAGTGCCAAACCACACGCCTGTATAACACGCTACAATTTCACTGTATTAAGTTACTTGTGCACCACAACTAACTATTGTTAGCCAGCTGTTTAAATAAAGGAATAAACCACACAGGACCCAACGACGAATCCTACCTTTGGGAAGTAAGGGGATGAGCCTGTTGAAAGTGTTTGCATTGTCCAGCCACCCGTGCAAACAGAGGACAGGGCGGCCTTGTGGAGATCCCCATGCCTTGGCTGCGATGTGGCCCCAGGGGACCATTAACTTCATCTCTGAGATCATGTCTGAAATGAAACAACAGAAGCGTCTCCTGGTGATGATAGTGTTACCAGAGAAGGCAGTCTCACCTATGTCTCATAACCACTGGACACCAACGCTGATCAGTATGGCATAACGGTTAGAGTGTTGGACTATGACCTGGGAGACCAGGGTTTGAATCCCCAATCACTGGGTGACCTTGGGCCAGTCACACCATCTCTCATCCTAACCTACATTGCAGGATTGTTGTGATAATAAATTGGGGAGAACTATCTGACCACCTTGAGAGAAAAAGAGGCATATAAATGTAATAAATAAACAAACAAAAAGTCGATAAACAGATTCTGGCCCTGTGCATCCAGTCACTGAAACAAATATATCAGGCAGCGCTGGTTTGTCTGGCTGGCTGCCCCTTCCCACCCTCTTCAGAAAGATGCAGGAATGAGGGACCCATTGGGATGGTCTGCCCCTAGGGATATTTGGAACCTGACAATGATTAAATGCTTCTTGACTCACTGAGTTTCTGCTGCTCTTCCCTGAAGTTCCAGAAGCTTCTCAGCTCATTGCCAGGCAATGAAACATACAGAAGATGGTGGGCTTCCAGGATTAGCTTAAGGTCAAAGGCTGACCCACCACACCCCAACAAAATGTCTCTGAGCATGTCAGAGGTGATCAAGCCTCTGCCTCAGCCAACATGAGCCACATTCTATTACACTCACCCACTGATGGGGGCTGCCAAGTCCAATAATAATGATGATGATTGTAATAATGATAATGATGATGATAATAATTTTATTATTTATACCCCGCCCATCTGACTGGGTTTCCCCAGTCACTCTGGGTGGCTTACAGCACATACAAAAACACAGCAAAATGTTGCTAGTGACATCTACATTTATGGGATGCAGATTGAACACTGATGACATTTCTCAATATTCAAGTCTCAAGTCTCAATATTCAGGGTCTTATTCTCAATTTGCAGTGCACCCTTTGCCCACCACTGGCGCACGCACACCCTACAAACGCCATTAGAAAGCAAAATTTACTGCACAATCAACCATTTGGAAGGCTCTTCAAGGCTGCCTCAAACCAAAGCCTGGCACTGAGGTGGAACCTTTAGGTGTCTGTTTTGCCCAGGCTCACCACTCCCTTCCCACAAGAACCAACATAGGTGGGAAACAGGACTCCTGCTTCAAACACCCAGTACATTTACGAGCACAATTCAAAGTGTTGGTGCTGGCCTTTAAAGCCCTAAATGGCCTTAGCCCAGTATACCTGAAGGAGCGTCTCCACCCCCATCGTTCTGCCTGGAGACCGAGGTCCAGCTCTGAGCGCCTTCTGGCGGTTCCCTCCCTGCGAGAAGTGAGGTTACAGGGAGCCAGGCAGAGGGCCTTCTCGGTGGTGGCGCCTGCCTTGTGGAATGCCCTCCCATCAGATGTCAAGGAAATAAATATCTGACTTTTAGAAGACATCTGAGGACAGCCCTGTTTAGCAAAGTTTTCAATGTTTGATGTTTTATTGTGCTTTTAATTCTTTTGGGAGCCACCCAGAGTGGCTGGGGAAACCCAGCCACATGGGCGGGGTATAAATAACAAATTATTATTATTATAAAAAGCAGTCTAAGTGGAAATGGTATTTTTAAGTTAAGGGCAGTATGCACTCCCTCCATAGAGCACAGCTGACATCAAAACTGAGAAACAAGTTTAACTGCGGGTGCCTAAAGTTACCAATAAATATTAGAAAAAATGCTATTGCATCAGTACTTATATGGTTATTGTGTAAGAGAGGAGGAAAATGAGAAGATAAAGCAGCCGCAGTTTACCTGTTTCCTCGTTGACCTCTCACACCCTTTTGCAATGCTGGACACAACATCGGAGGACTACTGACTAACCTACTTTTACTGCACGCATCTGTGCCCGTATATCCCATTAATTTTCTTAATTAAGCTTAATTTCTAAAACAAGCCCACTGGGGTCAGGACTATCTATAAAGCACAATAAAGTTGTGAATCTGTACCGGTGAATGGCTCCGGTGGCGAAGGGCAGGGTTGGCCGTCGCTGCACATGCTCAGAGGCACCCTCTTCTCCATTGCGTCTCACACAGAGCCCCAGCAGAGAATTGTCGAGTCAGACGCGGTGGACTTTGCCACAAGTTGTGCCTCCCGCGGCCTGCCTTGTCGCCCCGTAACAATCCTGAACACTCACGAATGCGCGTGAAGGGCTCGAAAAGTGTCTGTCGGCGTTTTCCTACTAGAACTACAGAGCTGGACAGGCCCACGGAGGGGACTTTCTCCCGTCTCCAAAGCTGCTGACCCAGCGCCAACTCTGTCGAGCATTAACGAAGTGGGAGGCTGAAAACTCTGCTTAATAATTAAGAGGGAGGGAAAGTAACGGCGTGAAAGTACGAGGCACCGGACCCGAAGGGACCGCTGCAATGATCACTCACCGCGGGACGCAGATCTCTGGCTTCGAAGCTGTGCGAAGAAAAGCAACTCTCTCCCCCATCTGCAGCTGCCGGAACCAGAGAGAAAGACTTCCCTCTGTGCGGCGAGATGCAAAGAGCAAGCTTGCAGCTCTTAAAGGGACCGGGCGCTCCTTCCTTCTGCCTTTTCCTTGCTCTGGAATTCAGAGAGCGTCCTATGCAACCCTATGCAAGAATGGAATCCTATTGTCACAGCGCGAGCTTGTGCATGTTTACTTGGAAGGAAGCCCCATTATGCTCCACGGGGCTTACTTCCAGGTAAGTTTGCACAGGATAAGACCGCATGGAGGAAATCTCATTGAACATTGCCAAACTTGCTTTCCAGTAAATATGATTGCATGGGGTTGCCCTGTAAAATGTAAATTGTGACTGGGATGTTCGATCTTGACCAGGGGCCTGAAAGGAAGCTGGCGTATGAAATGGTGCAGCAAGGATCATCATGGGTTGAAATCAGCATTCATCACTGGCATAGCTTGAAATGTGCAAAATATTTTACCATCTTCGTTTATGCATTTCCACTGTTTTGCGCTGTCTGTCACATGTACAACTATCTGCCTGCTGGACAGAAGCTGTGTGTGTCCAAGGTGCAATGGGTCCCTGGCTCTCTACGAATAATTATGTTCCCTTGAGCCTACAGTGGCTGACCTGGAAAATCTGAGAGGATGGAGAATGAGGCCTTTGGGGACGTTATAGCTATGTCCCACCCCAGGGTTGATAGTTTCCCTGCTGTAGGAAAAATAAGGACCCCATGCACCTTTTTAGCTCCCCTGACTGAACTAAACTGCTGCAGTTTCCATCCCTGATACTGGGTAGCCTAGCCTTCACACACCTGGGTGTGTGCCTATGCATACACATTGTTATCCCTATAAGCGCTGCATCCAAAACCTCAGTTTACTGGGTATATTCCAGCCTTCTTGTCATAATGAGAGACATTTTGCTCCTAACAAAATACATAAATTGAAGCTAACAGCTCCATTGGTCCAATGTAGCCTCCCCTGGTGGCCACTACAGGTGAGTTCAGCCTTGAAAGTTGAATAGAATAATTGCTGTCCCGTTATAATTAGCAAGCAAAAAATGATGGGGAACAGCAGAAGTCACTATGGATTCATACCAGCTTCCAATCCACAGTGGTACAGTAAAAGGCTCCATTCTCTTGTTTGCAGCAAAAACCTGTGAAACATTTTCATTTCTGAGCTGGAGTTGTAGCTGCCAGCTTTCTTGTAGCAGTGCCCTGGCCTGCTGCCTTTAATTGTTGTGTCATCAGAAGCAGATGAAATGTCCTCTGCTTCTTGTGCACGCCAGGAAAAGCTTTACCTTCTGAATTCCTGTTGGCACAGAATTTATGGTAAGGCACATCAGCCTGGCCAGAACGAAGACTGCAGACCAGTGTGGAAAGTAGTTCTTGTTTCTCCTATTCACATTTGTTTAACACAAATACACGGTTCCCCACAATATTTGAGAGGAAATTGTGACAAGCAAGGCTCTGATACAAACACAGCTCTAGCTTAATAGTCCATAGAAACATCACCTATCAGGCTTAGCCGGCAAATAATTCAGAGGTTGCCTGACATTGAATCAACACTTTAAAAACTAGATCAATCCTAGTAAAATTCATTTGCAAAGATTATTTTGAATGGATCAGGTGTGTGTGCGGTATTTAGCAGCTTTCCCATGAGATCCAAGTTCCACTAAGTCAATCAGCTCTTAGTGGAACTCAGACCTTACTGGAAAGCAATGAATACCACACACCTCTTCATTCAAAATAATCCTAGTAAATGATTTTTACTGGACAAGCTGAATGATCTAAGCATCACATCATCAACGAGGGAATCAATGTTCATTTAAGGGAACAGGCTCGGAAAAGTGAATGTAATATACTTAACAGAATGTAATATACTTAACAGATGGAGCATCAGATTAAGCATCAACAGGAAATCTCTTGTGAAGCAACATCTCCTGCATTCAGAGCCAGCCTTAGTCAGAGTGAGTCTCCTTAGTCAGTTTGTCTCCTGTGAATAGAGCTATTCAGTGCAGGTTGCCCTGAGGCAATACCTGGTCTGGGCTTTAGACTTAAAAGAGTGTGGAAAGTTTGGTGATGTGTTTCCATGGTAACTTAATTATTAAAGCATTTTCTGAATGGCTAACAGAGGTGCTGCCAGCTTTGAGGGGGGCTTCAGCAAGGTGCTTGCTTGGGGGGAGGGGGGAAGCTACCAAGGCCACATCCCTCTTCTCCTCCCCTCCACTGCTTGTGCCCCACTTTTTGTTTTTACCTGGGGTAGTCACCTGCGGTGGTGGTGGTGGTGGGAGCACACTTTTCTTTCTCCTTCCCTGGCTAGATGGCTATTCAAGGGGGCAAGGCTACCTGGCAGCACTATACTGGGAGCCTCCCAAAGTGGCTGGGGAAACTCAGCCAGGTGGGTGGGGTATAAATAATAAATTATTATTAAATTATTATTATAATGAAAGCACTATCAATGTGCATGATGCTTTAAGTACCGGTAACTATCAATCTGAAACACAACAGAAGGGAGATAAAACAGGGAAGGACATGAAGACAGAGGTTTCCAAGTCTGTTGAAGGTGGTCCTGAATTCATGCCTTGGTCAAACCAACAGTGGGCATTCAGAAACACATAATCTGCTGCTAGAGAACACTAGCTCAGCTCCATTGTGTTTTTGCTTTCCTATATTGTCTCTCACTCTACAACTTGCCCACAGCTGACTATCAAGACATTGCAAGGCCAGTTTCTCTTCTGCATCCATTCAGACAAAATAATACTCACTGGTTAATAGAGAACACCAAGGGCCTGACCTCTTCTGTGTCATCTTCTACCTAGCACCAGACTTACACATAGCCAGTGCCTAGAACCTCTCTACAGTATTGAGAATGAGGAACAGGGGTTTTTGTCCATAGCTGACCTTGGACCACCCCCTCTCCAAATGCAGCACGATTTCAAAGGCACTTCTATTGACAGATGCATTATTGGACTGGCCTTTTCAAATACTGGCTTAGTGCAACTCTGGAATTCATGAACCTTTGGACTTTCATACATTTTTGGACAAACTGGTCCATAGACACTTTGCCTAACTTACTCCTGGAAGCCACTGCTTGGTGATGACTTTGCACCACTCTGCTCCATGGTGTTTTCTTGCTACAATTTGGGAACATCAGCTTCATTTGCCCTTGGATTTACCCCCTCGTGGAGGATCCCCGTTCTCTCTTCTGCTGAAGTGCTTTTGACAAATTGCAAGGAAGGAAAGTTTAAAAATCAACCAGCACCCTCTTCCCCTCTCTCAATTTCTCCCTCTTGTCAGTGCTGCCAGCTCTCACCCTTTTCTCTCCATATACACTATACTGCATTTGGCTCACTGCTACTCCCCCCTCCCATCTGGGATAGTTTTCGGTAATTGATCTTGCAGTTGCTCCATGAATAAAATCCCTTTTCTGGAAAAACGCTGATTTCCTCTTTCCCTCCCAGGAATTGTTTAGGATACTCTATACTACTGAAACTACAGAGTTCCTCATGTGCTCCTACTGATCTGGTTAAACATACTAGTTTTGGGGTGGCAGCTGCACTGGACTGACAGGAGTCTGTTCTCCAGCACAAATAAAATATTAAGAGGATTTGGAGGACTGGAGGATGGATGGCGGCTAACAGATTGAGGTTGAATCCTGACAAGACTGAAGTACTGTTTTTTGGGGAAAGGGGGCGGGTGGGTGTGGGGGACTCCCTGGTCCTGAATGGGGTAACTGTGCCCCTGAAGGACCAGGTGCACAGCCTGGGAGTCATTTTGGACTCACAGCTGTCCATGGAGGCACAGGTTAATTCTGTGCCCAGGGCAGCTGTCTACCAGCTCCATCTGGTATGCAGGCTGAGACCCTACCTGCCTGTGGATTGTCTCGCCAGAGTGGTGCATGCTCTGGTTATCTCCCGCTTGGACTACAGCAATGCGCTCTACGTGGGGCTACCTTTGAAGGTGACCCGGAAACTGCAATTAATCCAGAATGCGGCAGCCAGACTGGTGACTGGGAGTGGCCGCTGGGACCACATAACACCGGTCCTGAGAGATCTGCATTGGCTCCCAGTACGTTTCCGAGCACAATTCAAAGTGTTGGTGTTGACCTTTAAAGCCCTAAACGGCCTCGGTCCTGTATACCTGAAGGAGCGTCTCCACCCCCATCGTTCAACCCAGACATTGAGACCAGCACCGAGGGCCTTCTGGCGGTTCCCTCATTGCAAGAAGTGAGGTTACAGGGAACCAGACAGAGGGCCTTCTTGATAGTGGCGCCCGCCCTGTGGAACGCCCTCTCTTCAGATGTCAAAGAGATAAACAACTACCTGACATTTAGAAGACATCAGGGAAGTTTTTAATGTGTGACATTTTAGTGTATTTTTGGTCTCTGTGGAAGCCGCCCAGAGTGGCTGCGGAAACCCAGCCAGATGGGCGGGGTACAAATAATAAATTATTATTATTATTATTATTATTATTATTATTATTATTAGAGTAGCAAAAAGCAAAGATTTCCATAACAATCATCTGGCATCACAATGACATCAGGTGGCCCATTTTTGCCCATGTGGTCTACAATTAAACCGGCAAAGGCACAGCCCTGTGTTTTGCAAGCACTGATGATCAGCTGATTGTTGGGGCTTACAAAGCACCATATAGGGGCTTTACTTGGGGTTTTGCAAGCCCTCTTTCTGCTCAGCTTTCTCTTTACCTGCCCTATACCCAGTGCTTTTCTTCGGGGGGTGGGGAGGAAATGTGCCGATACTCACCATGACGTTGTTACAGTAAGTGCCACGATTCTGACAAGTGTGGGGGGAAGGTGCCAGTACTGTGTATCCCTGAGTACCTCCAGAAATACGTGACCACTCTGGCACCACAGCAAAATCCCACCAGCCATCTGGGTTCCAGATGGGCTTCCTATCTGAAAAGAAAAGTAGGTTTCAGACCTGTATAGGGACATAGGGATCAAACAAGCATGGTAACCAATTTGGACAGGGAGAAATGTGTGTCATGGGCTTTGGTTCTTTCTCCACCAGCATCAAAAAGGAATCACTTTCCTGGAAAGCCTTTGTCACAGTTCCTTAATGAACTGGTTTTGTCCTAGAGAAGGAGGGGAGGAGCTTCTGTGAAAAGACCCACTAATCTGCTTCCTGGCAGGAGGAAAATTGGCTCAATCTTTCACTTACCAAAATATAAGGATTCTTAAAGGAAGCTGTAAAGAGAAAGATGTAGTGTAAATCTACTTATTAAAAAGAACTACAGCCCTCTTTTCTTTTTTAAACAATCCCAGGTATATAGCAGTGTTACAATTTTTATGAATATATTCCAAATAATATTTGTTTGGGAAATGTTACAAGCAGTGGGGGGTTTTTCTGGAGGTACTCCAGGGTATACAGTACTCGCAGCTCCCCCCCCCAAATGTTAAAAGTGTGGCATTTATTATAACAACCTCATGGTGAGTACCAACACCATATACACTCGTAACAAGCATATTTCAGGCGCATTGTGTTTCAGTATTATTTTGAGATTTCTAGCTTTTGGTAATTTATCCAGAGACTCAAAATCCTAGGCAGCAATTGCACAAGTAGGGTAGAAACATATGGAATCCCAGAAACCATCTGATGACTCCTTGGCAGGTGCTTGATCTCTGGAATCAAGAAATGGCCTGGGTGGTTGACAGAACACCAGGCAGAACTTGGGGTGATGAAATGGCAGGTATGATGGAGACTAGAGATGGAGAAAACCTCATTATGAATCCAAGGAGGCTTAGACTAGAGGTTATGTTAGGACCTCTTACGGTAATGAATTCTAGTTTGACTATGCTCTGTGTACAGTAATACTTCCTTTTGCCTGTTCAGAATCTTCTAACATTCAGTTCACTGGATGGTTGTGGGTTGTAATACTGAGAGGGAGAAAAGTTTATCTCTGCCCATCCCCCTCCCACTTCCTGAGTCCCTGTACAATTTGGTGCAACTTGGATGCCACAGTTAGAGCAAATCCAGTGGATAGAACTTCAGCAACTGCATGTCATGAATACTTCTCAGTTTGTGAAGTCCGATGATGTGGAAAGGATACATAGGAGGTTGACAAAGTCAACCACCCGCAAACCTCAATTCTTTCCTGCTCTTGATTGCTGCCAAGAGTGCTTTTGGTCACTCTTGACTGGTGTTCCAGCTGCATCTGTTCCTAGAGAAGTCAGATCTATCTAGTGCCAATTTTCTAGAAAAAGAGGTGCCAGAACTCTCCATGAACACCTCCCTTGTTTTCTTAGAATCACAATGGCACCCACCTGAGAGGTGCTGGAGCTGAGTTCTGGCTGAAAAAGAAGCCCTGGAGCTATCCATTGTGACACCCCCTTCTGTTCTATCAAGACCAGATTACTGCAATGTGCTCTACACGGACCACCTCTGAAAAACATCCAGGCATGGGTCACTGGCCCAGAATCTGATACAGTGGTACCTCAGGTTAAGTACTTAATTCATTCCGGAGGTTCGTTCTTAACCTGAAACTGTTCTTAACCTGAAGCACCACTTTAGCTAATGGGGCCTCCTGCTGCCGCCGCACCGCCGGAGCACGATTTCTGTTCTAATCCTGAAGCAAAGTTCTTAACCTGAGGTACTATTTCTGGGTTAGCGGAGTCTGTAACCTGAAGCGTATGTAACCCAAGGTACCACTGTAGTATGTTACCAGGAGCTAGTTCTTGGGGAGGGGGCACATTACACCTCTGTTAGAATAGTTGCATCAGCTTCTGGATTGTTTCCAGGCACAATTCAAAGTACTGGTTTTTTAACCCTTTAAAGCTGAAAACAACTTGGGTCCATTATATTATTCTATTTATTTTTCCTTTTGCTGCTGATTTTATTTTTGATTGCTACTAATATTATGGTAATTGTGCTTTTAATGTTACTGTCTGCTGCCTTGGGACTGGAGTGAAAAAAAGGTAAAGGTAAAGGTACCCCTGCCCGTACGGGCCAGTCGTGTCCGACTCTGGGGTTGTGCGCCCATCTCACTTAAGAGGCCGGGGCCAGCGCTGTCTGGAGACACTTCCGGGTCACGTGGCCAGCGTGAAGCTGCTCTGGCGAGCCGGCATCAGCGCAGCACACGGAAACGCCGTTTACCTTCCCGCTATAAAGTGGTACCTATTTATCTACTTGTACTTAGGGGTGCTTTCGAACTGCTAGGTGGGCAGGAGCTGGGACCGAAAGACGGGAGCTCACCCCACCGCGGGGATCCGAACCGCCGACCATGCGATCGGCAAGCCCTAGGCACTGAGGTTTTACCCACAGCGCCACCCGCGTCCCATGACTGGAGTGAAAAGCAGACTACAAATACTTAAAATGCTGCCTTCTCCCTTATCAGCCTCCCTGCTCTTTAAGACCAGCAGGGCAGCCTCTTCACTTGGTCCTGAGCCTGGCTGAGCGAGCACATCCAGCAGGTACATAGGATAAGGTGCTCTTTGTGGCAATAGGGACAGTACAGAACTCTCTGCCTAGTAAGGCTTGACTTTGCTCTGGCTCTGATGACCTGTCATATGGTTAAGAAGATAGGACCTTCCCTGTCCTGCCGCTGCCCCGCTGCCCAGATTCGTTTTTTTAAAGGATGTTGTTGGAAGCCCCCCCCCCCGTTGATCATTTAAATAAAAAACATTGAAAGGTGGGGTAAAAATATGTGGGCTAAAAATACAGAGTAGTTAATAAATGTATTTAAACTGAATTAATGTATCAATTGAATCATTAAAAAGCAAACGAGTAAACAGCTACCGGTTTCTAATCCTTGGCATTAAATTTGCTTTTGTAGCTTGTAGGATTTTGCTTGCCACGCTCTGAAGCAGCCTCAAGTGCACAGAGCATCAGGCACTAGGAAAGGTGGCCTTGGGCCAATTGCTCTCTTCACTTAACACAGGATTGTTGTGAAGATGATAAAGAGTGTGTGTGTTGTGTGTGTGTAAGAGAAAGAGAGAGAGAGAGAGAGAGAGAGAGAGAGAGAGACCCTGTATGTTGCCTTGAGCTCCTGGGAGGAATGGCCGAACAAGAGAACTCTGCATTGTACAAAATTAATGGAAGTTTCTCAGATGGGGCTGGAACTCTTGACGGGCCCTGCTTCAGCGCCGAAATCCGTGCAGTGGAAATGCTAATTATCAACTGGCGGTCATTAATGCAAGCATTTCCCCTCATTTCGAACATGTTCTTTTGATTTTGCATTAATGGGCACCTTCTGTTGCGTCACACGGGCGGGGAGAAGAAGCGGAGTAGGGAAGAAGAAGCCCCCCTCCTCTGCGTTTCTGAGTAAGGGGGGCAATTGCGAGTTGTCCCTTAAGTGCCCATTCCTGGAACGAGGAACTTGGAGGCCGGTTCCTTGGGCAGCGCGCAAGCTTCCCGCACGCGACGCGCTGCAAAACTGCTGCGCCCCCGCCTCCCCCCCCCCCCGCCGGGAAGCCCGCGTGCCCGGAGCTGGAGCTGCGCGTTGCTCTGGCTCGGAAGAGCTCCGCACTTCCCAAATCTTACTCTTCATTTGGTTCCTTGTCTTATTTTTTTAATTACTCGATTTTTTGGGGGGGGGCTTTTTTCTCCCACCCTTCGCTGCAAAAAGAAATCGAGAGTTTTGGTGGGGGTTTACCCCCATTAAACAGCCAAAGAGAGGCATTCACAGCTTTGCAAACTGAGTAGATTTCTTTCTCCATGCTCAAACCTTTCGGGGTTCTCCAGCAAGAAAAGATTCGGCTGCTTTGTAGCAAAGTGCAATGAAGTAAGTACGCAAAGTTCCTTTTGTTTTTTTGAGCTGCTTCAGGGAAGACGGGTGGGGGGGCGACTGGAAGCGGAGTTTTTTGGGGGGGGCTATAGGGAATATCTGGTTCCCCTACCAGTTAAGCCACCGACGTCGTGAAGGTAAGAGCCAGACTGAAGCTGCAAACTTAACCCCACATACCTGGGAGGAATCCCCATTGAATTCATAAGACTTACTAGAGAGTAGCCGTGCTTAGGATCCGGGTGCAAGCAAGCTAAGTTTGGGTCTCCTTGAAATCGAAGGTGCTGATGTTAAATCCTGACTGGGACCTAAGTTCAATGGACTTAGTCTGAATCCAGCCCTATATCTGACAAAACTGGCCGTTCTCCTAAGTGTTGCTGCTGTTTTCCCGCGCAAGGCTTTCGGGTCGCTGCCGAAGCACGCAAACGGTGCGCCCGGCTCCCCTCCCGCCCTGGAAGGCGCCCTGAAGCCCGCGGGGTCAGCCGCCAGCCCCGCAGACAAAGCGCTCGGCTGCCCGGGCGCCGCCAAGGCAGGCAGGAATGCCGCGGAAGGATCCGCAGCTGGGACCAATTAGTGGGGAGGGGGGTGTTCCTGCGAGCTGATCTGGCGGCGGGAACCGTGCGGTGGAAAGAGACCTGGTTCCCCCCTCTTCTGTCTCCCCCCCCCCTCCGATGGAAAGCTGTGCAGTTAGTTACCCCTGCCTGCTTCAAACGGGTTTTTTGAGTCACATCTCGGGAAGGAAGCAGTGGCTAACCTCAAAGCCTTTTTTAATAGCTCCTGGAGATGAAGAGAGACTGCAGAAGTAGTTAAACAAGAACAGATGTTGGTGTTGCAAACGTCGTGCCCTTGATTTAGAAGTCCGGACTTGATTTAGAGCAGCTAACCCTAGAAAGCTGTAGAAACCTGGTGGCAATCGCCGAATCAAGAAGAGCCCCTGCAGGATCAGGCCCAAGACCAGTCTGGTCCAGTCTCCTGTTCTCAGTAGACAACCAGATGCTTATGGGAAGCTCACCACAAGTAGGGCCTGAGTGCAAGAGATACTCCCCACTTGTGCTTCCTAGTCATTGGGACCATGCCTTTGGTATTGGGCATGGGTAGGCAAACTAAGGCCTGGGGACCGGATCCAGCCCAATCACCTTCCTAAATCCAGCCTGTGGATGGTCTGGGAATCAGCATGTTTTTACATGAATAGAATTGTGTCCTTTTATTTAAAATGCATCTCTGGGTTATTTGTGGGGCAAGGAATCGTCATTTATTTTTCCCCCAAAATATAGTCCAGCCCCCCACAAGCTCTGAGGGACAGTGGACTGGCCCCCTGCTGAAAAAGTTTGCTGACCCTGGGAATTGGAGATAATAGCCATTGTTATCTTCCATGGATTTGCCTAACTCTCTTTTAAAGTTGGTGGTTATTGCTGCATCTTTTTAGGAGCCAATTCCAACATTCAGCTTCATCGGATGGCTGTGGGTTCTAATATTACAAAGAGGGTGAGAGAGAGAGATGCTCTGTGTCCACTTTCTTTATCCTCTGAATGGTCTTCTTTCTGGTCTTCTTACCCCAGATGTTTACTTGGAAGAAGGGTCCTCTTTCTTCACTGATACATATTCCACTTAAGTAAGTATGCATCTGATTGTTGCTTTAAAGTCTTTGCAACGTGACTTAGAACAGTTGGTGTTGCTTCTGTGCATTGCACTACCACTTCAGGGGCTCCCACTTGGAATAGGCTTGCCAAACCCAGGCTAGTTCACTGTGAGCCCCTTGAAGTTCTTCTTCAAAGCTTAGAAAAGCATAAAATTGGAGCTGGATGGGGCACTGGAGATCTTTTAATCCAGTCCTGTGCTCGGTGCTGGATCTTGTAACAAACGCATCCCTGAGAAATGACTGCCTAGTATTATTTTGCCATGCCCTGTTTTAAACACATAATCTGCTATGAAAGCAAGTGTTCGTTTGTTGGTCACTTGGAAGACTGCTCTTCAGTTGCCAAGTAATCTGAAAATAATTGTAAAATGCAGGTGCTGTAATATAGGGGGCATTGTAACTAGTGTTTTTATTCTAAATATAATTATATTTTGAAATCTAGGAATTTCTATGTATGGTAATACTGGATTTGTTAGCGGGCTCTTGGCTGTAAGCTGGTACTACTGAATGCTTAATATTTATGTTGCTTGTGTCACTCCTGAGTAATTGCATTATATGACACAAAGGATGGGATCGTTTGGAGCAGGAGGTCAGTTACCTAATACTGCTGCTTAGCACTTGGAATACTGTCTACTGGATGCTACACCTCAAAAGGGGTTTTGTGGAGCTGGAGAAAGTTCAGAAAAGGACAACAAAAACAGTCCCCTGTGAGAAGTTAAAATGTTTGCGGATTTTTGGTTTAGAAAATTGATTTGATTGGAGAAAGTGTTTTCTTCCGCTCTCGTGAAATTAGAGGTGAATCTTGGGAGATATAGGGCGGACAAAAGGAAAGACTTCACAGCGCAATTCACTACTACAAGGTGACAGTAATGACTCTAAAGGCTCCTCCTAGTCAGGATAGCTCTGTTACCTCCAGTATTGGAGCCCACATGCCTCTGAATACCAATTTATTGGGGAACACAAAAAGTGCCATTGCAATCATTGTTCAAAGCATCCTTCGCCTTTCCTTAAAATGTGCTGTATTGTCAGTATTTTTGTCATTTTATCTGCATTCCTAAAATGGCATACTAGTCGGAGATGCTCTATGTTCTCCAAAGTGCTTCCGTTCCATTAATGCAGGGGCAGGATGCTAGGAAGGGTTAGGGGAAGGGTGAGATTTCTTGGGCATGAATTTTGAGTCAGTTCTCCCTTAGTAAAAGATATAATTTGGAGCTACTATGTTCTGTGTTCCTGTGTAGAAAAAGTGGGGTCATATGGATTTGCGAAGTTCGGACTATATCCATTTGGTATAATATTGGTATTTTGAGAGCAGGTGACTAATGAATATGAACATATCTATGTTCTCAAGAGCAGCTGGAAGGTTGCCATATTTAAAAAAGTAAAATTAAAAAAGTAAAATTTTTGAGCTTTTTTTAAAGAAAATAAGCTTTTTGGGGGAAACCTATCCCAAAAATAGTGATATTTTGAGCTGTTTACGCTGCTTTTTCCATTGCATTGCCATACATCTGGATTTTCTCTGACATTTTGACTGTTCGGCAAAATTCCCCCGGCACCATTTTTACACCTGAAAACCAAGACATGTCAGGAATTTTCCTGACGTATGGCAAGCCTAGAGTAGCACCACTTACCACTTTGCATTAGTTTGTAACAAAATCTGGTCAGTCACAATATGAGTGTGGGGTGTAATTTGGTACACTATTGTTGGTATTAAATAGTTGTCCAACATAGTCCGATGAGGAGTGTTGCATTGTAACCAAAATGGACGATCCAGATGCTTTACTCGAATGTTAAGACTCGCAAAACTTAACATTTTGATGAATAAACCATCTGCCATTTTGTTCGGATTGAGAAATAAAAGAAATGAACCTCCTTTGGCTGCATTGGCAACACATTCCTATAATGTTCCTGTTCGGTCACAGAACTGATGCATAACCCCGAGATTCCTGCGTTCCTACCTTGTGCATTGATGCCAGCGGCATAAATTAACAAGTCAAAAGTAGCATCTTTCCTTAAGTGTGGAGCCCATGCTTATCTTTCTGTAAGGACAGCTGACCCCATTCTGAGATTGAAGTGGTTGTATAGAACAGATTACTGCCTCAAATAACCATGATTAGATCCTTCATTGCTGTTTTATACTTATAATCAAATGTCTCATAACATTGCAAGATGTGATTATTTCAATCACATAATTCATTTATAATAATTACTGGTAAACTAACTAAATAAAAAAAGGTAACATGCATTTGGAGGTGCTACCGTTTTCTCTCTCTGCCTTTTTAATCAGTGTGAAGATATCACAGGCTTTCTCTGGCGGTTTAATTATAGACTGGCAGCCGCTCTTCATGGCTATACTTCGTTGGGGAGCTGACAGTCTGTTAGCAGGAAGAACCTCTGATATGAATTTGAGTCAGCACGCTTCCAAGAACTGCTTTCAAGGTACTTGATAATGCATGTTCTCTCCTGTTCGGCTGTGCTGCTTTCTCCCCTAGTACCTCTTATGCTTTTCGATGTTTGCAGCTTCTATATTTTAGGCCCTCTTATCATTTTTGCTATTTGTTTATTTTTAAAAGTATTTATGTACCGCCCTCTCATAGAATATCAGGATGGTGCACAGCAACATAAAAACTCAACACACACGCAACAGTGCAGAACAGTGCAGAATTTGCTAGCTAAGATTCTTCACCTTCAGAGTTTGGACTTTCAGTATCATCTTTGTGTGATAAGATGCCTCTCAGCTGGCAAACTTCATTTCTGCTCCAGTCTAGAGTCAGACTTTGGGAGTTACGTTTTTGTTTGTAGTATCAGGTTCTCTCCCTGCCCCGGCCGCCCCAATCAGGAGAGCAAATGGGGAGCACAAAAGTCCCAGTTCATATATAACTGTTCTTTGTGCCAGTCATACTGTGCGACAGGAATTGGTTTTGCAGCGCAGCCCACGTCTACTCAGTATTTGCAGCTTGGTCAGAGCATGGCCTCTCTCTCTCTCTTTGCTCTTGAATTCCATAATTTCAGCAACTTTTTTTCACATCCCCAAGAATTAATGCACTTCTGGGTTAATTCCCTTATAAGGAGACAATACTGGAGAAATGGTGTTTTTTATTGCCGTGTGTGAAAAGGAACATTTTATCAGAATCACAATCCTTATGTAGGCAAAATGGGAGATAGCAGGAGGCTTGGGGGGAAACCCAAGTTTTGCAAAAGTACAAAGAAACTTTTTGGGGTGGAGAGAATGGCTCCATTCATGTCAGCAGGCTAGGGGAAACCCATGCTTTGCAAAAATGCAAAGCAACTTAAGGGGAAAAACTTAAAGAGAAAAAAATTCTTCAACAACCCAGTGAAGATGGAGCGTGTTCAGTGGTCACAGGATAGTGAGTATGTGCGCATGGAGTGGAGGAGGGGAAGGAGGGTGGTGGTAATAGAATGGAGTATCCTAGAAAAAAACTGTGGCTGGAAGGAATCCTGGACACAAACTTTTCACACTGCAACATTTTGTTTTAGGATCTACTTCTATCTGTTCATTTACAAATATGCAAGGCGGGACGAGTCCTTAAGTTGAATCTGGGTTGATTTTGCAACTCCTCATCACCACTCTAGTTTGCTTTTTGCCTACCAGCTGCAAAACTTGGAACTCTTTCTCTTACTCCTAAAATTCAAACTGTTCTCCATCCTTTGGTGTGTGCACACAGTGACCACTGATTTCAGACTCTGCCCTGAGCAATAGTTGTGACCTTTGCAGTGCCCTTGAGTAGGCATGAACCATCAAAAGCCATAAAAGAAGCTGTCTATCTATCTAATCTTCTTTTGATGCCCCACAAAAGCATTCCCCAACACCAGGATGTGAATATGTTTGCTTTAGATTCCTCTCCAGAGATTCTCTTTTAATTTTACATCAGTATTGCTAATGGGCTCACATTGTTTCCTTTTTAATCCATCTCCCATGCTAAGAATATCTCAAAAATATAATCCCTTGTAGTATACTATAGGCCAAGACAAATGGTGTAAGAAGCCCTTTTTTTTTCTTTTCCTTTCTCTGAAGCTTATATCCTACCTTCCTTCAAGGAGCTCAAGGTGTTATATACATGCACAATTTATCACATTTTTCCATGTATAAGACGACCTTTTTTCTGAATTCTTTGTGATAAATTGAGGGTCGTCTTATACACGGGTTAATATGCTAAGTAAGCGAGGGCTGGTGCTGCGGCGGTAGCAGGGAAATGTTGGAGAGGAGGCTGCTTACCTGTTCTTCCCAGCTTAGGAAGAGTATTTGGTGAGTACCAGTATGCAGTGTATTGGGGGGGGGTCGTTGAAAAGCTGCTCAACAGCTCAGCGAACTTACAAAAGAAGCTCCAAAAAATAGGGGTCGTCTTATACATGGGGTCGTGTTATACACGGAAAAATACGGTATCTTCAAAACAACCCTGTGAGGTAGATTAGGTTGAGAGACAGTAATACACTGAGGTTCCTGAGTGGATATTTGAACCTTGGTCTGCCAAATCCCAGCCTAAGGGCTAACCCACATGGAAATTTAATGTGGATTGAAGCAACTTGTGTGTGTGTGTATGTCTGTCTGTCTCTCTCTCTCTCTCTCTCTGATTTTTTGTGGCAGCCACACAGCATCCTCATCCTAGTGACAGCTACTACTTCTCCCCACTAAATTTGGATTTCCCCAAACCACAGATAAATCTCAATAAAGGAAGAAAACCCAGTGTAAGACCACATGCTACTTGCCCGTGAACACACTGTGCATTGCGGGGGGTATTTAAATGTGTGGTGATGTTTTTCTATTGCCACACCCTTTACTTCCATAGTGTTTCCATCAACCCAAAGGGAAGGATGTGGCCTTCTCTTTTTCACCGGTTGTTACTGAAGGCACATTCAAGGCATTTTTATTTTTAAAATGTTACTGTTGCACAGAAGTGCTGTTGCACAAAACACTGTATTAAATAATAATAAAGCTGCTCCAGATCCTTTCCTGGTTTGAAGCAACATACAGTTAAAAAAAAAGTTTTAACAAAATAATTTATTGTTTATTTATTTACACCATGATATGAGACGTTAAGAAAAGAGTTTGATGGTTCTTGGAAATGTGGAGAAATTATTCTGAAATGTGTGTTAAAATTCCAAATGGACAGTGGAAACTTCAAGTTCTGCCAGAAACTGGGAGTGGGGCAGTTATGAGCTATTTTGGTATAATTCATAACTATCGTTAGTCATGCCAGAACACTGCAGGCAACCATGTTGAAATAATCATTATTTGCTGCCATTTGCTGCAAGAGACTAACATGGCTGCTTTGACTAGCTTGGTACCCTTCAGATGTTTATGATTTACCATATTTTTCGCCCTATCTGACGCACTTTTTCCCCTCCAAAAATGAAGGGGAAATGTGTGTGCGTCCTATGGGGCGAATGCAGGCTTTCGCTGAAGCCTTGAGAGTGAGAGGGGTCGGTGCGCACCGACCCCTCTCGCTCTCCAGGCTTCAGGAAGCTCTGTGCAACCCTCGGGAGACCGGCTCCGAGGGTTGCGCAGAGCTGCCTGCAGTCCCGGGCTCAGCGCACTTCTCCCCATCGCCAGCCCCACAAGCTCGGGGGACAGCGGGGAGGCAGAGCGCGCCTTCCCGCTGTTCCCTGACCTGGTTCTTCCAGCCCCGCACCTGGGGGGGGGAATAATTTTTTTCCCTTTATTTCCCCCCAAAAAAACGGTGCGTCCTATGGGCCGGTGCGTCCTATGGGGCGCAAAATACGGTAAACTCCAATTGTCCCCAGTCATCTGAAGGGCACCAGGTTTGCAAAGCAAATGTGGACTTCTGGGGTAGGGAAATAAACTACATAACTTTCTATTTGTTTGGTTTTTACAGTGGTATTTAGATACAGCTGCTTCTGTCTTTGATATGCCATTGCTTACCTTCAATTCATTCCTTCCTTTTGCCCAAGGGCCCAGAACTTACCCTCTCATTTGTGTGTGTGTGTGTATTTGCAGGACTGAATATAAAGACAGTGGTGACATCTTCCTGTGATTTGCAGGATTTCTGAGAGATGATCGGAGAGAAGGCAGATGAACAAATTTGGCAGCTTTTCCGCTTCACAGAGGCAACACCAAGAGTCTCCTTTTAGCCCAACATCAACCAGATTGCTGTCTCACTACCGTGCTTTTCGTGATCATGAATGGGAAGTGGTGGAACGGTCGCTTGGCCTCCTGCAGGCCAGTGGATTTTACTGGGGCCCTTTGTCTGTTCACGAGGCCCATGCTAGGTTACTGCAAGAGCCAGTGGGGACCTACTTGCTGCGAGACAGCTCTCAGGGAAACTGCCTTTTCAGCCTCAGCGTCCGCATGCCGTCTGGACCCGTCAGCCTCCGGATCTCTTTCCGCAAAGGCTACTTTTGGCTGAAGGACTGGTTTTCGGACTGCGTACTGAGGTTGCTTGAACTAGTGGTGGCAGGAACCAGGACTAAACCATTGCACTGTGATGCAATGGGAGAAGCTCCTCTAGTGTTTTCTGAGCCCCTCTGCAAGGAGCATAGGGCCTTGCCCACGCTGCAGGAACTCTGCCAACGCGCCTTACCTGCTTCCAGCAGGATTGGGCGGGGCAGTTGTTGGACTCTGCCTCTTCGTTGGCAACAGAAATGCCAAAATGTGTGTGGCGGGCAAAAATATGCAAATATTGATGACGCCAATGCGCTAACAGAATGAGTCATTGCTTTTCCTGAATTCTTAGGGTCTGTTTCAATTTCCTTTTATAGGCTAGAGGTAAACATTGCCTTTCATCCGCAACTTGGTATTCCAGCTGCCTAAGCCAGTCTTTCCTGATGGAACATTGAAACTTGGTTTCAGAGATCTGATGCTGAGATAGGACTTAGGGCGTAGAAGTTGAATGCTGATCTCTAGAACCAGAGAGGCACTGCTCTGTGTATATGGGAGATTATTGGAAAAGTTAAGCTGCTACTACTTACCTGCGAGTAAGCTTCATTGAACTCAACAAAACTCACTTTGAGTTGACATGTAGAAGATAGCACTGTTATACTTGCAACCAAGCCTTCTTCTCAGTGGGGCAGGTTCAGCCGTGTCTAGCCTTTCTCTTCCATGCATCTCCCTAAATTCTCCTTCCCACTGGGTACTGTCCTCATTGTGTCAGGGTAGGAAGAAGAAGGCTTTTATTTTAGCACTTCCCAGCAACTCCATTATTTGGCTTAAGATTAGCATTATTTTATAAGAAAAATGTGAGTCTTTAATACAATAGTCAAGATTATTGTATTTGGTGAGTCACACTTGTGGAAAAATGGAGGAATTTAATGAAAATTACAAAGAATCTACAGTGGTACCTCAGGTTACATACACTTCAGGTTACATACGCTTCAGGTTACAAACTCCACTAACCTAGAAATAGTACCTTGGGTTAAGAACTTTGCTTCAGGATGAGAACAGAAATCGTCCTCTAGAGGCGGCAGCAGCAGGAGGCCCCATTAGCTAAAGTGGTGCTTCAAGTTAAGAACAGTTTCAGTTTAAGAACGGACCTCCGGAACGAATTAAGTACTTAACCCGAGGTACCACTGTATATCAGGTTAAAGTAAAACCAACCAACCCCCCACTACCTAAAACAATTGGTAGCCAGTGTACAAGGGATTCAGTCGAGAATAAGAAATGGAAAAGGTGCATATTAAGAGTAAAAGGGTAAGTAGAGGTTTTCACTTGCTCAGACTACAATCCTAGGCCTTCTCACCTGGGGACAAGCCCCACGGAACTCAGATTGAACATCCAAATGGACATACTATATAGGACCGCAGTATAATAATATTTTAGTAATTGTCTTAATCTGCAGTAATTAAAAAGGTGCCTGAAAAGCATTTAATTGTATTTATTTAGTGAGTCTTGTAAAAAAGTGTGCTGCTGTCATTCAGTGGGGGAGAAATGGGGAAAACTCTTCTTTAAATGTGTTCATCCTCCTTTTTTGTACAGCGGTGTTTTCATAAAAGTGAACTCAATTACTGTAATGTATTGACTTCTGCAGTTTTGTTATATGTAGACTGTTTGCAGCATCTGGATATCTAAGTGTGTTAGTGGTGAGTCTGGATTTTGGAATCTATACCATGGTTTTTTTGCTCATGATTTATGCAGCTTGATTAAAATTAACACAGTTGTTTGGGGCATTTTCTTGGCTCCTGCTACAAACAAAGGAGTACAGCAGGAGGCTTGGAGAAGCATATCGAGAAGAGCCATCTGAGCAGCATCTTCAAAATTCAGGGCAATACTGGGTCTAGCCAAGGATGGAATTTCTTACTTCGGTGGACTGCATAGAACGATGGGTGTAAGAGCACCAGAGGCCTGCTATTCCACCACCCTGTTCTCAGTGGCCAAACAGATGCCTACATGATCCACAGAGCCCTTCAAATCTCTGGGGTTGTTCTAGACTTAGTCATACAGTACTTAGAATAGGCCCATTGGGATCAATGGGATTAAAGTTAGTCATGACCTGCTTAAGTGTCGTTGATATCAGTAGGTCTACTTTAAGCATGGCTAATTCTAAAACCAACTTTTGTCACCCATACACTTACCTGGACGCAAACCTCACTGAACTCAGTTGGAGTTGCATCCGAGTAAACATGCATAGGACTTCACTGTTGTACCATTCAAATCAAGGACAGATACCAACCGGAAGAAATGTATCCTTTTAGAACGCTGATTGAAAGATGACCATCTTTAGCAGGAGCCAAAAAAGCAATGGAGAAGGCAACTGTCTGATATGCAGTGGGAAGGAGTTCCAAAGAGCACATTATGCGGAACAGGCCTCCAGATCAGATGGTATCTGCAGAACTCAGTGGTTGGTTGGGGATGAGACAATCTTTTAGGTATCCTGGTCTCAAACTGCATAAGGCTTTTTACACCAGCACCTTGAACCTAGGCCTAATCAACTGAATTTTTAGATCCTTTACTGCAGCAATGGGGAACCTGAAGCCCACCAAATATGGTTGGTTTACAACTCCCATCATCCCAGGCTGGCTGGGGCTAATGGGATTTAGAGTCCAACAAAAACTAGAAGGCCACAGATTCCACAGCCAATGAATGCCTTTCCATCAGATGTCAAATAAACAACTACAGTATCTGACTTTTAGAAGACATCTGAAGGCAGCCCTGTTTAGTGAAGTTTTTAATGGTTGATGTTTTATAATGTTTTTAATACGCTGTTAGGAACCGTCCAGAGTGGCTGGAAAAGTGTGTAGGCTTGTTATAACTTCACTCTTATGTATCCTGGCAGCTAATTTACAAAGAGAAATAGAAAACTGTTATGCAGTGCCCCCTTGTGAGTGCATATGCCACAGAGTCTTATCTATGGAGTGTCTTACATCTGTCTTCTGCCTCTGTTACATTTGAATGGAAACTTCTCCTCCTGATGGCTTTAATTAAAATTTATTAGCAACAGCAAACTTTTGATACAGATCAGGGTAGGAAATAATAGCTGAAAAAGGAGGGCATTGAGTTGTGAGGATTTTGCGGGTGTATCTTTATTTCTAGCAGTTCATTGTGTTAAGCGAATGTGACAACTTGAGCTTCGGTTCTTGGAGCATACTGAATTTGATTTTAAGGTGCCATCGCTGTAATCTGATGTTGAAAGATCTTGACAGGCTGCAATAAATAGTTGCCTCTGCAAAATGACATCAGCTGCCTTTGCATTTAATTGGAAAATAGACATTCTTAGTGGCTGCATGTTTACCCGAGCATGAGCATCATCCAGAGCTAGTAGTCATTGGCTGTGATATCATTTGGTGGACAGGGTTTAGCAAGCGGAGATTGTCTTGTGGCAGGCCACCCCAATCCCTGTGGGGTGCGAGATTCTAGGGGTTCCGGGTGCTTACCCAGGATTTGACTTCCCTGGAAGGAGAGACCGTGGTGTCTTTATGAAATATTGATTTATTTACACCTATATACAACCTGATGGGACGCGGGTGGCGCTGTGGGTAAAAGCCTCAGCGCCTAGGGCTTGCCGATCGAAAGGTCGGCGGTTCGAATCCCCGCGGTGGGGTGCGCTCCCGTTGCTCGGTCCCAGCGCCTGCCAACCTAGCAGTTTGAAAGCACCTCCGGGTGCAAGTAGATAAATAGGGACCGCTTACTAGCGGGAAGGTAAACGCCGTTTCTGTGTGCGGCTCTGGCTCGCCAGAGCAGCGATGTCACGCTGGCCACGTGACCCGGAAGTGTCTCCGGACAGCGCTGGCCCCCGGCCTCTTGAGTGAGATGGGCGCACAACCCCCGAGTCTGGCAAGACTGGCCCGTACGGGCAGGGGTACCTTTACCTTTACCTTTATATACAACCTGAGCCTATAGTGGAGGAGCCACAGCATTAACACCCAGAAAGTCTTGCTTCTCCCATTGTCACAGCCTTGGATCCAAGCAGGGCTCTCCCTCTCAGGCATCTGCCTGCAGCCTGCTTGTAGCCCAGTTCAAACATACAAGTGACTCCCCACTTACACAGGGGTTACGTTCCAGCCCCCCCCCTTGCAGAAGTGAAATTGTGTAAAGTGGGGAGCATCCTCTAAACACCTTTTAATTGCCCTCTTTTCCCATAGAATGTGCTCTTGTTACTTTAATGGATTGTGCTAGTCAATTTCTCTGCCTCCTTTCAGGAAAAAGGTAAAAGCAGCCCTGGTCCTGCAAAATAGGAGATAGCTGAACTGTAATCTGATTTTATACTTTTAACTCATTTTTTTAGTTTCGTTGTATTAAGTCTCCTGCATACTGCTTAGAGACAACCATAGTAAGTGGTAAACAAACTGTTAAAAGTAATTTTTAAAATGCACAGAGGCCCCAAAGCAGAAAGCACTGAATACAGCAGAAAGGGCGGAACAAGGAACAAACGACCAGTAATGTATTGTTTTGTTCCTCCTAAAGCCACCCTCCCCACCCCAAGAAAAGGGAAGAGACAGAAAGACATTTCTGAGTAAGAGTACCTCTTAGCTCAGCCTATACCTCTTTTTACATGCTGCCATGGCCTCCAGTCTATATACTGTTATCATACTTCTCTGGACTCTTCAAGATGGTGGTAAGAATATCTCTCCCCCCCCCCTTTTCTGTCTAATCTCTCATTTGTTCCGTCTGGGAAAGCCTTTTCACTAGTCTCTTAAAGCAGTAGTATTTTCAACCATTTCTGCTGTATATGATCACTTCTCCCTTTCTCTATCCTTCTCTCTCCTGTTCTCCATCCACTTCACACCCTTATCTTTTAAACAAGAAAAATAAGAATGAAGCTGGTGCCATTGGGGTGATCTATCTTAGATTAGATAGAGTGTGGCTTGTCTGTGGGTCCAAATTAGTGGGTGTAAAATTGAATAATAGTTTGTTTTTATTCTCCTCCCCATTAACTGATAAATGCAAGTTTGCCCTGAGTGTTCTGAGTTGAAAGTGGGAGGGGGAAATATTAACGTTTTGTAAATAATGAAATAATAAAACCCACCGACTGATGGTCAGTGCCTTAAGACAAGCAGTCTTTTAACACTTTCCAGAACTGACAAAGCAATCAAGCATTAATGGGTGTAGTGTGTGAACGTGTTACGTGAATATAGTGGTGAGTAGGGTTGCAGAAAGTATTCCAGCACTTTCCCCCCCTCCCCCTCTCATCAAACTTGATGGGACTTTAGCTAACAATCAGTGATATTCCATGTATATATTGCTTATGTGCTCCAGATGTTTCACATACATTATCAGTTTTAGTAATTCTTATAGCGTAGGGGTGGGAAAACTTTTTTTTAAGTCCTGAGGGCCAGAGAGAGAACACTAAAGGGTTGCATTTGGCTCCTGGGCCTTTGGTTTGCCATAACTATTGTCTCTGGGCCAGAAGAGTTGATTGTTACCACACTGTCAGTAACAAGCAGTTTTCAATGAAAAAAACACATCTTAATTATGTTTAAAATAGCCATAAATATGTAATACGTATCCAGTTTGGGGCAATAGGGTTCACACTTTTAACCCGAATTGCGCTTGGGGGATCAATACATCCGAAGTGTATTAAAATAACTTTGGCCAGAGAATGTACAAAAATCAGTCAAGATATGCACGTTCCATAAAACATGTTGGGGCTATGCATAAGGACTAGATAATGTACAAAATTCAGTCAATATTTGCACATTTCCCAAAGCCCGTTGGAGCATTTATATATTGATTGGGAAACAGGAACAATTTCCTCTTCATGGATGATGTGCACATTCTCTATGAGGCCTGGTGAATGTGCACAATGGCTGGTTGTTATACGCATTAACCAGTAATCTAGCATTCCCCATAATACACACACACACAAACAAACTACAAGGTTGACTATGCGTTTGGGCTCATGGGGAGATCTTGCTTTTAAGAGGGAATGGGGATCCTATGGGCAGGCTCTTGGATTCCTGTTGGGTCCTGTTTATGGGGTCATCAACAGAAATTAATAAGCAAGCCATACACAGCTATTTAATGTGTTTACACTGGTGAGATATCTTCAAAAAAAATAAATCAAAATCACAAAGGTTCATGTGAACCTCATCACCATACAGCCTCACAGAGCAGTGGCAAAGACAGACATTGAGCACTCATCCACTACTTTCAGCTTTCTGAAGCATGAGACAAAAATAGACAATATGCTTTACGAAAGAGCCAGTTTTGAAACACACTCTCCCTGCTCCCATTATGTCTTTGTCATTAAACTGTAATGCAGAATTGCTGCAAACTGAGTAAACTGGCCACTTCCTCCCATCGCTTTCCACATACCAGAATTTCACATGAACAGTAGTAAGTGGGGGTGGAGGAAGAAGAGGAAGTCAGTGGCAGCAAAGATGATAAATTCCCACAGCATTCTGCTAATGGACTCTGCGTATCATTTGAAACTTGCTATTTCCAGTCCAGACAGCAGTTTTTAGAGTCAGCACAATCCTCTTTCTGTACTCCAGCACTTCGCTGGGCATCTTCCAGGTTGGGAATACCCAGAATTGCATTGGTGATATCTGAATTAATGGAACAGAGACAGCTGGCTCCCAGTTTGCCCTTGTGTGTAGCTTCTACATATGGCAGTAAGGCATGGGGGGGGGGCAGATCTTCAGCTGCTTTTCTAAAACTTTGTGTAGAATATTTAATGTCAGCATTCAGATATTTAATTAGAGGTAAACATTTCTACAGATACAGGCTTACCAGTCTACACACTGTGGGGGAGAGTGAGTGTGCTCTGCTGAATGTAAAGCTAGGTGCATTGTGAACTGTCTTAGTCAAAAAGGCAACTAGATTGTGGACTTGAGGTTAAGTCCACTATTTTGTGGTGTTGATCAATGGTAGAGGCACACCTGGAGTATTGTGTCCAGTTCAGGAAGCCACAATTTAAGAATGTTGAAAAGTTGGAACATGTGCAGAGGAGGGCAACCAAGATGATCAAGGGCCTGGAAACCAAGCCTGTTGAGGAATGGTTGAGGGAAATGGGTATGTTTAGCCTAGAAAAAAGGAGACTGAGATATGACAGCCATCTTCCAATATCTAAAGGGCTGTCACATGGAGGACGGAGCGAGCTTGTTTTCTCCTGCTCCAGAGGCTGGGACCCAAACCAATGGCTTCAAGTTACAGGAAATTAGATTCCGACTAAACATACAGAAGAGCTTTCTGACAATATGAGCCGTTCGGCAGTGGAATAGACTCCCTTGGAAGATGGTGGACTCTCCTTCCTTGGAGGTTTTTAAGCAGAGGTTGGATGGCCACCTGTCATGTATGATCTAGTTGAGATTCCTGCATTGCAGGGGGCTGGACTAGAATGACCTTTCCAGCTCTATGATTCTATGATCTACCGGCAGATTCCTGAGTCATTTGCAGTAGATTGGCCAGAATTTCTGACTTCCAATAGTTTAACAAGAGCAACAGCAGGATGACTTTTCCCATCTAAATTAGACTGCTTTACTGAAGTTTGCATGAAAGGACTGAGCACTCATAGAATCAGAACTGTAGAGATCCTAGTTGCCAAAGGATCATTTTGTCCAGCCTCCTGCAATGCAGCAATCTCAACTAAAGCACCTGTGACAGGTGGTCATCCAACCTCTGCTTAAAAACCTCCAAGGAAGGAGAGTTCACCACCTCCTGAGGGAGTTCGAGTTCAGATCCTGAAAACAAATTGCTAGACACACAGTGTGTTCACCCTGTTCTTTAATTCTAACTCTGCCTTTGTACCTGTCTCCAGCTGGTGGAGCTTTGGATTCTTGTAAAACGCTAAGTAGATCTGACAACCTGAAGTCCATCCACCCATGGTGTACATTCCTCTATTGTCAGACTACTCAATCTGTTGTCACCTCACTCCAATTCAGATATGGTAATATTTGCATCCTTCTTACAGGCTGCTCTAGGCTATGGGCAGATGTTGCCAAAATATAGATGACTGAGCAACTTTTCTCAATCTTGATAACTGTAAAAAAATAAAATTTCCTCATCTTCCAGGGACTCTCCATGTGTATAATGACCGTCTAATCAAGATTGCTTTTGCCAATGAAGAAATTAATGCAATCTGCAAAACAAACATAATGTATAAACCAGATTATACAAAATTCATCCTTAGCTATTATCGGATTGACTCGGAAAGCAAGGAGATCACAGTCATGCAATCTCTACAGTCTGTGGAAATTCCTCCCGGTCGTGAGAACAAGTCAGAGACATTAATTTATCCATTTAAAATAAAGCCCTTTATGCATTCCTCTGTTTCTGGTACCTACTACTGCAAAGCTCTTTGGATACTTAAAAACCAAGTAAGAAGGGGAAATGGGACATTTATCCTTTTCAGAGGTAAGTTCTTGAAGGCAAGTGAGCGGTGGTGGGTTGAACAACAACCGGGGGTGGGGCAGGGGTGGTCAATCTTGTGCAAAGGCATTTAAAACTTTTGCTACCTTTATTTGAATGTATACTATAAGCAGACAAATTACAATGTCTAATTGCAAACAAATCACAACCCCTTAAAGACCAACTCATTTATTCTGATGTAAGCTTTCATGGACTAGCAATTAGGTATAAGACCTTGAGTTCCTTGAAGGAAAAACGGGATAGAGATTTAAAACAATGAGCCTTGGCTCCCAGTTACCACTTATCTGCATGCTTGGTTTCCCTCATTTTCTTGCAGAAAAAGGATATACAGAGCCCCCTCTTACCATGTGGGTGTGCCTTATCACCATCACCATTATTTTGACTGTTGCAAGCATCATGGGAACTGTCCTGCTGTTCTGGAAGAGAGAGGCAAGTAATTCTTACTTAACATTGTGTTGCATTTGCTGCAAAATGCAAAAAGTTTTGCAGCATCAACCATTCAGTAGTGCTGAATATTAAAGTCAGTTACAAAATGCTTGGAATGAGGGCTTCTACTGATTAAAAAAAATCTTACTTGATTAATCAAATTTTAATTTATTAAGATTGAGTTGATTAATCAGTTAAATCTGCATATGTTTGCATGTGGCCAACGTAATAGTTCTGGAGAAAAATGCATTATTTCTTTGTCTGTAGAAAGTGAGTCTACAGGCATCATCTTATCATCTTCAAGAGGGACCCTCCCCTCCTGTGGGAAACGGATGTTCCCTACCATCTGCAGTTTTATATATGTACACACACACACATACATACACACACATACACAACTCATGTGAAAAACCATTTATTTAATTACTGAAGTGTTGCCTAATCAGGAATGCCTTTTTGGTTGATGAAAAAATGGTGTATAATAAAAGAAAACGAACTTTTACTTAATTGACGATTGCAGCCCTATTTGGAGCAGAAATTGATTATGTGTTGTATACCAAGAGAGTTCATATCATAGCACTGTTATGAGTATCTGTATGAGTATCATAGTACTCATATCATTGTACCAGTTTGTGGGCTTCTGGTTGGGCACTGTGAGAACAGGATGTTGGACTAAATGGGACTAGATGGGCCATTGGCCTGACCCAGCTGGCTCTTATCTTATCCTCATACTTCCCTTATCCTGACTAGTGGGAAGTCCTGGGCAGCCTTTACAAGGTCAGTGTGTTCTTTGGAAGAGAAAACACTGCAGGCTTAGGCTTGTGGTGACTTTGTGACAAAATGTCTACAGATTTGAAGGTTGATACTTATATTGTATTATTTATTAAATTTTGAACCTGCTCTTCCTCCCAAAGGAACCCAAGGTGGCAAACATCATACAACACAACACAATAAAATTATAATAAAAACATATTCAAATCATTTAAAAACAATTGGAAACATCAAAAACCACTAAGAACATCTTTTTTTAAAAAATAATAAGTAAAATGGCCACATGCCTCACGGTTAATTTCAAGGTTATCAGGAGCAGTATATTTCGGCTATTTAAATGCTTGTGTGAACAGCAATGTTTTAAAATTCTTTTTTAAAGTTAATAAGGAGGGCAATGAAGGTATCTCACCAGGCAGAACATTCCAGAAATGGGGAACAAGCACCAAGAAAGCCTTATCATGTGTGAGCTCCAATTGGGCAGCACCCAGCACCACCAACAGAGCCTGCCAATCATATGGCCTGAGTTGGTTGATATTGGGCAGACCCTCTCTTAGTTACTTGGGTCCAAAGCCATTTAGGGCTTTATATGCTAGAATTTACACCTCGATTTGGGCCTGGTAGCTCAATGATAATTCAAAAGCAAGCATGCACACCCAGTGCTAATCCCATTGACAACCTGGAAGGTGGAGATGACTGACTCACACTTCCATTGCTTTGAATGGGATATTAGATTTCCCATTGACCTCCATCAATATGCCTACCATAGGGAAGTTTTAGCTGCAACGGACTGTCAGATGCCCTTGTGCTTCTGTAATAGTTCTGGGGCATTGCCTCTGAACTCCAAAGTTCATTATGTGGACAGTTCCTAAGCTTTGGTTTATTATTCACACCACAGAGGGGTAGCTGTATTCAAAATCTTTTCAACTCTTTTGAAAGGTAAAGAATTAGGAAGAAGAACCAAAGCTTGTACATGTTGAATTTATGCTTTGCCATTTATTCCCATTCATCGTATCCTCACAAATTTGTGGTGTGGCCTCAGTGGAGACAGATCAAGAAATGCCCTGCTCAGAGGCCAGCCCCTCCACACACTTCAGGCAGCTCAGAACCTCCAGAGCCCTCATATGTTGTGAGTATTACTGTATATCAAGAATGACTTTTTGTAGCAGCCCTATTCAGAAGCCATTAAGTGTAACATGGTGGAGGCTCAGGGGGAGGAATCCACTGCAAAGTTCTGCTGAGAGGGAGGTTTACCATGTCTAGCTGTACGTGTGAAGGTTCCCTCTCTAGACCAGGGTTTCTCAAAGTGGTCAATATTGAACCCACCCCCTTCAGGGGTTGAAGGGACTATCCAGGACTATCCAGCAATGGAAGAAGACCTAGGGGTCAAAAGGGGCCTGGAGTGGGAAAGAAATGTATGAGGTACAGTGTGAAAAATGTAATTAAGAACTATGAGCCTCAGAAATAAATGACATGAGCATGTACAGAGTGTACCTCCCTTGCTCTTCTGAACAACACTGAAAAAAGGTTGATCACCAAAGAACATGGTGACTTACAGTAAGACTCTAATTCATAAACCTGCAGCCCAATATTCACATGTTTGCTAAAGCCCATCAGGTTTCTCACTGGAGAGTATGCTATATATATTATTTTCACAGAATCATAGAATTGTAGAGTTGGGACCCCAAGTGTCATCTTGTCCAGCCCCTTGCAATGCAGAAATCTCAGCTAAAGCATCCATGTTTAGCTAGTAGATAATCATAATGCTACTAGATAATTCTGCAATGATTAACGCATCAACTCTGTCATTGAAAAGGAACTTCATATTCACTTTCTATTACCAGGTCTTTTCTGTCAATTCCATCCCTTAAAAGAGGGATATATGCTATATTATTTAGTAAGCAACAGAGATGAAGAAAAGCATCTTGGGCATCTTGAATAAATGCATCTTCAAATTTGTTACGTATTGTTGAAAGCTGAAGTGCTCTGAGCCATTGAAGATAAAACAGTAGAAAGCCATGCAGCTGTGCAGGAGGGAAATTGCTCTTATGACCTGGGTGGGAAAGAGGGTTGAGCCGAGATTTGGATTAGATGCTTTTGGAAGTTGTATTCTATCCTTGACTATTAGATGCATGAGCAGTAGGTTTTAATTACGGTTTATGGTTACCAGTCAATTCAAGGGGTGGTTGTTACAGGTATCATTTCATCTTTCCTCTTGCTGTGAGAAAAGATGCACAGGGCATACTGTCATTTGATATCATGCTTTAAAATAACAGCTGAGACTCAAAGAACAGAGAAGGAAACTTTTATCTAGTTTTGTCAGGCCTGGGGTGTTGGCAACTGCCAGGAAAAAGGCAAGAGCTGTAAATCACAAGTTAGGAACTGGACACAGTGAATATTGTCATGCCTCATGAAAAGTCCCAGCTAGAACAGGAAGCTTGTACAGGCCTTTCTAGTCAGGGGCCATCCGTGGGCAGCCTGGGTGAAAGGAGGAACTTCAGGGCAAAAGCAGCTTTAGCTTCCCAGCAGGCGGGACTTACGGGGTGGGGAGGCTGAGGGGAGGTGGGCACAGTGCAAACATAGCAGTGAGAACACCCAAATGGCTGTTCTTACAATATGTACTAAAAAGGCCTTGGGTTGTTCCTCAATGCACCTCTTTTCACTCTTGGGGTTCACATCATATTTTTGCTATTCTTTGCCTTCCCTACTTCTGTAATATCCCCCAGTCATGTTGCTACCTACTGCAGTGGTGAGATCATCTTTAATTTAGTTAATTCACATCCTCTGTCAGCTTAGGGTAGTGCTGGTGTATTCATGGCTGCAGCCCCACCTAATAAAAAACTTCCTGTCAAGCCTAAATCCAGCTGACTGTTATTTGGGGGTCCTTTCATCTATGCCCCCCCCAATTTTTCTCTCTTCCTGCCCTTTCCCATCGCAGTCACGGAAGGAGAATTGATTCTTGGACAATGCTGTGCGTTATCAGTTTGTTTTGAAGTGAGTGGTGGGAAACAGAGTTTGACAATTTGTTCTTTTCCTCTTGCTGCGTCACTGAGCCTTGCAAATCCTGCACGTTCCCCGTTCTTCTGTTAATGCCACCTGTCTTCCCGCATGCTGAAGCTCCTCCCACCATCCTGTTGCTAGGGGAACTGCCACCACGACCATGGCAACCTGCCGTTACCATAAACACACATAAGTGCTGTTTTGGGTGCCTTTTTTTAGATAAGAGACTTAACATCAATACATCTGACATACATATTTAGTGGCAAGATGTTTCATCTCTTTGCTTGTGCTTATTTGCAGACTCGGTTTCTCAGTTCTGGGTATTCTGAGCCTCTGCCTGGGGGGTGTAAAGAGCAGACCCCCCCTTCTTTTCCAGCCTTTCTTAGTGATAACTAGGAGGAGCCTAAGCATGGCTATTGCGTTCTTAAGGCAATTGTTGGGATTAAGCGTAGGGTGGAGTATTCTGCTGTATTTCCAAAAGATAAAAAACTGGATCAGCTAATCCATTTTTCTTTTAATCACCTAAGCTGCAATCTTAAACACATTTACCAGGGAGTAAAGCACTGCTAACAGGGACGCGGGTGGCGCTGTGGGTAAAACCTCAGTGCCTAGGACTTGCCAATCGCATGGTCGGCGATTCGAATCCCCGCGGCGGGGTGCGCTCCCGTCGTTCGGTCCCAGCGCCTGCCAACCTAGCAGTTCGAAAGCACCCCTGGGTGCAAGTAGATAAATAGGGACCGCTTTCTAGCGGGAAGGTAAACGGCGTTTCTGTGTGCGGCTCTGGCTTGCCAGAGCAGCTTCGTCACGCTGGCCACGTGACCCGGAAGTGTCTGCGGACAGCGCTGGCTCCCGGCCTATAGAGTGAGATGAGCGCACAACCCTAGAGTCTGGCAAGACTGGCCCGTACGGGCAGGGGTACCTTTACCTTTAAAGCACTGCTAGGCAATGTGATATGCACTTCCAGTGTAGAATAGTGGTTAGAGAATTGGACCTAGGACCTGGAAGACCATGGTTCAAACCACCATTTGGACATGAAGCTCACTGGGTGACTTTGGACCAGCCAGCGCCTCTCAGCCTATCATACTTCACAAGGTTGTTGTGGGGATTAAATGAGGATGGGGAGAACCATGTATGCCACCTCGAGCAAAAGGTGGGATAGAAATTCTATAAATAAAGTAAGGTAAAGGTAAAGGTACCCCTGCCCGTATGGGCCAGTCTTGACAGACTCTAGGGTTGTGCGCTCATCTCACTCTATAGGCCGGGAGCCAGCGCTGTCCGCAGACACTTCCGGGTCACGTGGCCAGCGTGACGAAGCTGCTCTGGCAAGCCAGAGCCGCACACAGAAACGCCGTTTACCTTCCCGCTAGTAAGCGGTCCCTATTTATCTACTTGCACCCGAGGGTGCCTTTGAACTGCTAGGTTGGCAGGCGCTGGGACCGAGCAACGGGAGCGCACCCCGCCGCGGGGATTCGAACCGCCGACCATGCGATCGGCAAGTCCTAGGCGCTGAGGTTTTACCCACAGCGCCACCCGCGTCCCTATAAATAAAGTATTTCCTTGTAAATATGCACAGGATTTTGTTGTTATATAGCTCTGTCTCAGTGTCAGGGAATGAGTCATTTTAGATTTGAATATATTTACACGAATCCCTTATGTAGCATAGTTATTACAAAAATTGAGTTTATAGTCAATGTCTCACACCAAAATATGCTGACAATTCATGACACTCCTGTGAGGCAGGGAAAAAGGAGATTACGAGATACATGAGGTCCCTGGCTAAACAGAGTTTCAAACCCAAGTCTAACACTCTTAACTATTAGGCTGCAAACAGCTAATATGTATATAGGAATGATCTAGGGCAGGGGTCTGCAACCTTTAAGACAAAAAGAGCCACTTGGACCCGTTTCCAAAGGGGGGAAAAACTGGGAGCTGCAAAACCATTGTGACATTTAAAACAAATATATCTCCGGAGCCGCGATCTGACAGTGGGCGGGAAGGTGACGTCGGGACGGTGCGTGGCTAACGCACGCACTGCCCCCATGCGACGTCACAGCCAGTACAGCGCCCGCCACAGTGGGGAGTGTCGGGGTGCACAATGTGCCTCCTCCCCTCGCTAGTATCTGCCCTGGAGCCGCAGCAAAGGTGTAAAAGAGCCACATGTGGCTCCGGAGCCACGGGTTGCAGACCCCTGATCTAGGGGTTATTTCCCCTTCTGTGAGAAGTGACAATTCAAGTTGAAACAAATTAAATAAATCCCAATATAACTTAAACCCTGTGCAGAAAAGACTCTTGTCAGATTGTTTTCTTTTCCCTCAGACTTTAATTCAAGGCTTGTAATATTATAAATGTTTGAAGCCTTGGTTTCTAGTGTTGGGCCAAGGAGTAGGACATCAACAATGTTTGCTTCGTGCCCAAACTTGGTTAATAATGCAGAGCCATTCTCATGAAAATTATTCCCTTCTCAATTTCCCCTATCCTCACTTGGGAATCTTGGGGGATGTACATAATTTAGGGCAAAACCCTGTGCACATTTACCTGGGATGAGAATAGTCTATTATTGAGATCCCAACACAGAAATATAAAACCATTGGTAGGAATTAGAATTTAATTTGTATGTAGGAGCGTCTCCACCCCCATCGTTCTACCTGGACACTGAGGTCCAGCACCAAGGGCCTTCTGGCGGTTCCCTCACTGCAAGAAGCCAAGTTACAGGGAACCAGGCAGAGGGCCTTCTCGGTAGTGGCACCTTCCCTGTGGAACACCCTTGCACCAGATGTCAAAGAACAACAACTACCAGGCTTTTAGAAGACATCTGAAGGCAGCCCCGTTTCGGGAAGCTTTTAATGTTTGATGTATTATAGTATTTTAATATTCTTTTGGAAGCCGCCCAGAGTGGCTGGGGAAGCCCAGCCAGATGGGCGGGGTATAAATAATGAATTATTTATTATTAATATTATTATTATTATTATTATTATTATTATTATTATTATTATTATATTATGATTAACACATGTCCTTCCCCTTCCTTCCTGCTTCAGGAATTAGGACCCCGGGAACCCGATGTCTATTTTGCCATTAATAAAAGTACAGATAGTCCATTGCACAAAAAGGTGCCAGCAGTCAAGGTAAGTCTGATACTTTTATCCCCGTTCACTTCTGGGTTGGCTGCTGTTACGGAAGCCATATGTGTGATGGGAATGCTAGCAAGAACAAACACATTATAATCTGCAGATCCTGGCTCACCCAACTCAGCCAAATTACTTGTCACCATCAGTCGTATCTCCTGTCTGAATCCTCGACTGACAGGGCATGTGAGGTATGCTTCCTGGTGTTCTGAACACTGCATAGATAACTTCTACATGCCCAAGATTAAGACAAGCCACTTCTAATAATACATTTTATCTGGGTATGTGTATCCACTACTAAGGCAGAAGCAGCTCTTCAGGGTCAATAAAGGATAAAGTCTACAGGTCAGGGGCTGCTTCTCACCATTGCACTTTAAAGGTTCCTTGTGCTTCCAGATCAGCTTGTCAGGTAGACACTGTTGATCCAGTTTTTCTGGAACAGTTCAACAGTAGCTTCTTCCCAGCAGGGCAACCAGAGGGCAACTTTTAATCTAATTAAAATAGCCCATGACCAGGTCAACCTGATATAACACTTTCAAAACTTGGGTTGCATGGTATATGTAACTATCTTGAACCGAAGGCATAACATAATGGTATGACCAGATTGAGGGCAAGTCTGAAAATGTATCCAGAAGTGGTCAGACTAGGTTTGCAGGATCTGCTTTGTTTTTCACTGGAAGTCTCAGATTCACTAACCAGAAACAGGTGCAGAATAGTGGCTAAGGAAGGTGGATATAGATTTGATGGGAAAATTGACTCCGAGGGCATGTTCCGTACTGTACCAGAAATGGAGTTCACAGACATTATTGATCACACACAAATTTTGGGTACCCCTCCCTCCCCTCCCCCCAGCATATTTCCCGATTTCAGCAGCCTAATTTAGAAGGGGGAGAAATGGTTTTGTTGCCACTATGCTTAACCCATTGGGAATTTTGCTGATCTGTAAATCATCTGGAGATCTATCTGTAAATCCCAGTCTGGCTTCTGGCTGCCTGTGCTCTACTCTATGGTGTTTCAGATTTTTTTAAAAGAAAAATCTTGGCTCTCCATTGTTGCATATGCAATAAATAAAAACCATTGAAAAACGGAGTCACAGAAATCTCAATGTCCAATGGGTGCATACTTTGCCAAAAGAGAACTCATTGAAAGAAGCAGGGAGCAAGTGATGAAGAATTCACATCATCAAGGCTACAAAAAATCCAGTTAACCAACCACTACTGGTGCCTTTGAAATGAGAAAGAATGGAAAAAATGAAAAGAGGGGGTGTACCTACATTTGCACATGCACAGTGCCCGGATAGTGCAGTCAAATTAATTCTGCTAAAGGTAAAGCAAAATTGCACTGTTAGCAACCTGCACTATGAAGAGATTCTGGGTTATTATGCGTACTGTCATGTATGCTATGTACGTTGCCAGAAAATGGAAAGAGAATATGACAATATCTCCTAGATCAGCCAATCATGAAAAGGTTTTCAATCTTTTGGGTTTCATCAGGCAAATTGAGGGTTCAGACCATTAAACAACAATATAATTTAGACCCTTATACTTTGAATTAGCAATGTACTTTCTGTATATTAGAACACTATGTAGTAAGAATCTCCTGTACCTCTTCCAAAATAGAGCATATTTCATTATGAGCTAATTCTTCTAACTCAAGTTAGAAAGGGAACATTTGTACTTGACTGTCATTTATCTGGTGTCTTGTTTCTATGCTTGGCTCTGAAAACATATAAAGGTTGCCAGCGCATCTCTCTCTAGACAAGTCCAATAGGAATGCCAGCTGCTTAATTTCCAGATTATGCCTATATTGCTCTTGGGGCCAATTTGGATGTTGGTTGTTCTCTGGAAATAGCAGATGTGGAGTCAAATGCAACTCAGCGTACCCACAGAAATATAATGTGTGAATTAGAATCGTGTGGATTTCATCCATGCACTAAAATGTGTTTCAGAGTACACACATCAGAGTACAAGTGAAACCCATTGTTGCTGGGTATTATGTTACTTTTTTGGTGGATATGCAGAAACATGAGTGATTCCCATATCTGCCAGAAGAAAGTAACCTCTGAATTGCCACTTGCCAATGTTAAGGTAAACACATGAAGCCAAACTGATGACTTTGACAGGTTAGGCCTTCAATGTTTTTTAAACTGAAGAAGGGAATAGAAAAAATGAACAACAAAAACAACAACAGTATGGTAAATACAGAACCTCCATTATTCTGTGTGAACGTCTACACACACTTCACTTCACTGTACTGTACTCATAGCATTCAGTATTACATGCCACCCCCTTACCCAGGGCCTGTGTTTCCTGTGTTTAGAGCTCATTATCTCTAAATCAGAACAAATGGCAATTCACTGAAAACCTGAATTGCTGTTTGCTCCAAATGAGTGCTAAAGAGTGGGTTTCCTTGGGGGAAAGCAGTAGGACAAGAGGAATGTGGATAAGCCCTAACTGCCTGAGGGTTTCTTTTTCACATGGCTATACCTTGTGAAGATATCCTGAACTGGTAATGTTAGGGATTTGTAACACCCATATGAAGGTTCCCTTCTTGGGTGTCATCCAGGTCCTCATGGCCTCCCTAACAGACCTGCAGCTATCCCATGTATGAGATCCTGTTCCATTGCTACTTAAACTTGGGTTGAAAAGTAAGAGGTGCAAGTTCTCACAGGAGCATAGAAAACTTCCTTATAGCAGGTCAGACTATTTTCCCATCAAGGTCAGCTCCTCAGGATCTCTGGAGAAGATTTTCCCCATCACCCACTACCTGATTTTAAACTGGAGTTGCGGGGGCCTGAACTTGGGACCTTGTAGATGCAAAACACATTTTCTGCTGCTGAGCTATGGCCCTTTATTACTTCTTGTGGAACGCATACCACAACAAGATCTGTCAAGCTTGTTCTATGTTCTGTTTTAGAAAGTTGGTGAAGACTTTATTCTAGCAAGTTTATGAAGTCAGTGGTTAAAACATTTAAACTGTAAATGTTTAAGTGAAGTATTAACTATTTTTTAATCTGCACATTTTAATATTTTAAGGTTCTTTTTAAATTTTTATTGTTTTATTTCATTTCAATACCACTCATATACATATATATATATTTAAAATCTCAAAGCAGTTTATAGCCTACATAAAAACATCAAATAAAACATTCCAGGATCAAACACTCCAAAAGAAGCTCAAATACAAAATGTACATTCAAAGCAACATAATTAACGGGAAACTAAAATATTATCTTAAATATTTCAAAATAACACCTTACTAAAGGAGGTCAAATATAGAATACTCATTCAAAACAGGATAATTAGCAAGAGAATAAAATATTATTTTAAATATAGAACCTACCTGCTGCTGCCAGTGGTGATTCATGGTGGCCGAAGGCTGTAGGAATGCAGTCTCAATGGCCTGGGTCGACTCTACACTAAGTGACTTGGGTGCTGGCAGAACAAGCAAGGGGGTCTCTTCAAGTCTCCATGTGCAACACTAAGTGCACATTTTGCAGCACACTTGGTACATCACGAAGGTGCTGCCTAGGCAGCTTTTCACTCTATATACCGGTACCTAGTGGAAAAGCAGACGATTGCAGAGTCTCAGTCTGATGGCAATCACCTGGAACAGAGTGCAGCCACACCTCCTTTCCAACAAGCCCAAGCCCAGTTTTAACTGCCATCTTGTTTTTATGGGATGGATCCCTCTGCCAATTGAAAGGGTTCTTTATATTTGTGGTTCACTAACTGAATGTTCCTGCAGATGAGGGGGAGCACTGAAACGTGCTGCACTGCTCTTTTGAAGCAGTAACGGTTGTAGCAAATAATTATTTACCTCCTACTAGGGCTGTATCCATGGCGTGTCCTCCAGTGCATCTATTCCAGAGACTGATTGTACCATTATATATGGGGTCCTCTTTTCCAGAACATAATGTTTTTTTACCCCTCCCCTGCCAATTTGCAGGTGTCTCGACAGATAACGCAAGAAATCACAGATGTGTATGAGAACAATACAGCAGATTTGTATGAGAACATCTAAGGAGAGAGAGCTACACTGCACAGTCCTGCCTTTCTCCAGAGCTCAAAAGAAGGTTCTGAATTCCCAACATGGAACAAGCCGTACATGCAAAATGTTCTACTGATGTAGATACAGGTAATACTGATACACATCAACACATGGAGCAGCCCAATATTGTTCCTAGAAAATCCAGCTCTTTGAGACACATGCTTTCTACTGAAGAGAATGAGCTAAGAAAGTGGGAATGGGAGCATCATTGAAGAAGAGAGAGATTTGGGAGAAGAAAATGGGAATCTCCTGAGTTAGCTATGATTTTTTTAAAAATTATTTATGATTTTCAATTATATACATTTCACTAGTTTTACAATCATTCTAACTCTACTTCCTCCTCTTTCTGCGGTTCCTTAACTTTATTTTTTTACATTTCCTACATATTCTAAATTAACTTAACTTACTCATTTATTCATCTACTTTAAATCTTATAAAATTGCATGTTATTACAATAATCCTGCCACTGTTCTTATCTGTTTACAGTTTGTTTGTAGATATTCAATAAACCATATCCATTCTTTTATTTAAAAATTGTTATCTTGATTTCTTATTTTTCTGGTAAGTTTCGCCATTTCTGCATATTCCATAACTTTTTGTATCCATTCTTCTTTTGTCAGGACTTCTTCTTTCCATTTTTGGGCAAATAACATTCTTGCCACTGTAGTCACATACATGAATAAATTTCTATACTTGTTTAGGTAGTTCTAAACAATGAATAAAAAAGTGCAGATGGCCATGCATTAGATTTTTGTAATGAAGTCAGATACTTAGACCTGTGCAATTATGATAAAATTCAAACTGACCTGGAGGTTTCTCTCAGTTTTAGACAATATTTTGTGTTTGAGAGGGGCACACTAATATTGCAGCCCCAAGAGGCCTTGTTTAAGCCACAGCCAAAAAGACTATTATAAGCGTTTTCAATATATACAAATATTCTAAAGAAAATTTTGTGCCCATGAATCAAGGACATTTTGTTTGTTTGTTAATCTTCAGAAATGCATTGACATAAGAAACAGCAAAACTTTTTACTTTTTTCTATAGCTTAGAAGTCTGCGGGCAGGAACCATCTTATTTGCTAACTTTATGTTGGCTGTTCTTTGAGCCTTTTGGGCTGAAGAGCAGGGTAAAAATGCTTTGTATAATAAATATAGGTTATTAAATGTTACATGTTTCCTAGAACACCCACTTAACAGCAAATCCAAAGAATCCATTTTGGCATTGTTAACGGAGAAATCTGAGGGCTCCATTGGACCAAAAAAACAAGGACACCAGCCAGGAATACTGTGCTGGTCCCAGGGGGGATAAGGTACTATTACCGTAGCCCAAGATCAGTCCAGAGTCTCTAGCAGGGTAGACGATCACTTGATGAGACGCGAGGTCCGAGACAGGGAGCCGGGCGGGGTAACAGGAACGATGGTAGGGCAGAAGCAGGAAGCCAGGCGAGGAACAGGAACACTGGTAGGGCAGAAGCAGGAGTCCAGGCGAGGAACAGGAACACTGGTAGGCCAGAAGCAGGAGTCCAGGCGAGGAACAGGTACACCGGTAGGGCAGCAGCAGGGATCCAGGCGAGGAACAGGAACACCGGAGAGTCAGAAACAGGAAGCCGGGCGAGGAACAGGCACACTGGGAGTGCAGATCAAGGACTGGGTAAAGCAGGTACTCCACAACGACGTTGCTCCCGCAACCTGGGACCGGGCTGCCTGACCTTTATCTTCTTCTAAGGCCGGGGGCGGTCCCGGCCCCCAGAAGCCCCGCCTCTCTTGGCCTTAAGGCGAGCACTCCTCCTGGGAGACACCAGTTCCCTTCGCCTCTCTGCCCTAAGCCTCTGCAGTTCAGGAGAGGCCGAAGGGTTACTGGGCCCCGGGGAAGGCTCACCTGTAGCCACTGAGTCTTCCAGCACCTCTGGGGCCAGAATGGTTTCACCTGGTGCCTGCTCTTGAGTTTCCTCAGCATCTAGGCCTTGCCCCAGTTCAGCCGGCCCTGGAGGCGGGGACTCCTGTGCCGGCTGGGATTCCTCCGGATCGCTCTCAGACTCGGAATCCCAGGCCATCACAAATACCAGAGCAAAACAGCAGCCAGTAGGCTTGGTCTTTATTGAAGACTGTTGCGACAGGACTCCCACCTGCCACAAGGTGAAACAAGATGGAAGCCCCAAACAAAAGAGAAACCAAACTTTTATTAGCCGCTAATCCCCATGTTACACCCCCCCAAACTGCATCACTAATACATCATGGTTACATCATGAAAGGGGAGGTCTGGTGGCAGTAATCTGAGCATCCTGGACCCTGCCTCATGGTTCCCCTTGCCAAACACCTATCAAGTGTAACAAAAGAGATATTTACATTTCCCTGTTTCCCAGCCAAGTTAATCACACCCTTTTGTCTTCATCTGGGTTTGTTATTTCTGGAATGGCTACCTGTCTGGCACTCCGGTATCAGGATGCTCAGGCAGAGGGGCTGCTGAGTAGCTGAGCTCACATGTCTATATGAATTTATGAAGTTTTCCCAGTGAGCCAGTACATAGATACATTTATCAGTGAATTGGTATTGGTATTGTGCAGCAGAGGCCCTTTGAATAGATAGGAAGAAACTGCAATGAAGTGTTTTGTGGGGACAAATCACAAAAGTCACAAAAGTGATTGTGCTGATTTTGGTAGTGGGCTGCATGTGCATGATATCTGCTGGAGGGACAACCCCCCCCAACCTATACATAAATTCCTGCAACACTGTCCCTCAGGAAGAAACTACAGATTCCAATGAGGAGCTATATTAGTTTCTTGCAATGAAAAACTTAGTACTATAGCAGGCTACTATTAACAGATTTTAAAGACTATTGCTTTAACAGATATATTAATACCTGTCCTTGTGAAAAGAAAACTTATTTTATCAGATGCATGACATGGGCAGGAAAAGTATATAACGTGATTTTGTATGTCATAAAATGTAATCAGATATTCAGATTTTGAACAGGGGGGCTGAAAGACAAAGGAAAGCTTGCTGATAGCAGACATAAACTACAGGAATCTGATCCAATCAGTCAACTGAAGTTAATTTGTGACTGACATCAATATGAGCTTGCCATGCTCACCCCTTGTCTGATAACACTCAGTAGGGATATAGGGAAGCTTTAGTGGAGAGCATTATGAATATGAATCAGCAACGGTGTCACCATTGGGAGGAAAATATATTGAGTTGCATTAACAGAAATGTCACACACCAGAAATAAAAATAATATGATTCTACCTGGTACAGACTTGGTTGGCCTCAGCTGAAGTGCATTCAGTTAAACATACCATAAGAAGTCTACAAACTAGTCAGGATCCAGAGTTCTACAGTTGTGTTTTTAAGAGACATTAGGCCTTCACAGTATAGAGGCAGAAATAGTGAAGACTTGACAGCAATTTGAAATATCTTCAGAGCTGCCACAAGAAAGGGTTGAGGGGAAGGAATGTTTATCAGAAACCCAAAGGAAAGGACAAGAAGCGGTCAAGAAATGTACCGTCGGGTGGAACAAGAGATGATGTAAGTTCTCCAGCACTGGCTTTGAAAGAATTTGTATATTTCACGAATGGATTACAACTAGCAAACTCTGCCATTGTGTCGTGTTTTGTTGCCAGAGGATACTCATCCCTTCCAGGTATTTTATATGGGTTTTCTTCACCCCCTCCACCAGTAATACAGCCTGCACAGAAGGGAGAGGGAGGATGGATTTAAGAAAAGCTGTCCCTTAAGCCACCAGATGGTGCCCTTGATTCTCATTGGCTGTCTTCTCTGTAAGTCGTTAACTCTGCCAAGATCTTGTGCTGCTCCTTCCACTAGTGGAATCGTATACATTTAGTCCACAGCAAATGCAGTCAGCTTGTTTATCTGTAATATTACTGCTTCCCATAATAGTTGTGATTATGCCTGTTTGGACACAGGTGTTTCACCAAGTATCACGCTACAACATGAAATAGTAAGTTCAGGGTACAGGCTGAATGTCAGCAATAACATCTTCACTATTCCATACCATTCTAATATTAAGCTTTCAGATGGCATGTTTATATACTTTCATGGTGGCATGGACTGGGACAGATCTACCTACCTATCACAGAAACATAGACACTAAAATGGTTTGGCCTAAGGGTTAGACCAACAGAGGCTACTGACCTTACTCAAAGCACTGAACAAAGTCTTCTGAAGTAAAAAGGACTGTTCTTCCACAACTCTTGAGGATTAAGCTCCAAAGTAACAAGGCTTAGGTCCAAGCTATCTGAAAGACTGCATTCCCTGATGTGCACCTGCCTGGGTTTTGAGATCTTCAGGGGAGGCGCTTCTTTTGGCCCTGCTCCTCTCACAGGCATGCTTGATGGGGATGCAGGAGAGGGCCTTCTTGGTGGCTGCTCCCAGACTTTGGAATTCCCTCCCTAGAGAAGTTAAGCTGGCTTCCTCCTTGCTGTCCTTCTGCCAACAGGTGAAGACTTTCTTTTGACTGCTTTTAATTAAAGGGCTGGTGCTGTGCTGTTTCTATTGTAATTATTGGTATGTTTTAAACAGATTTTATATATGATTTTAATTCTATCAATGTTTAATTGTATTTTAATGATTTAGCCTTCTAAGTTTTTAGTGGTTCTTGCTTTTATCTGTAAACTGCCTTGAGTCCCATTAGGGAGAAAAAGCGAGGTATAAATAAATATATAATGAGGATGATGAAGAAGATGATAATTTTGTCTTACTTTGTCTATGGCATCTCATTCACCAACCATATGTTCGTAAAGATCTTGATGCGGCATTCTATCAGCTGCCATAGAGATGGAAACTAAAGAGATAAGATGCAAAATTCCTTATTGATACACAGGGCTTTTCCGGATTTTGTGGCAGCATAGTGCAATTGTTGGGAGAGTACAAATATTTTCGTCTATTAATAATAAAATGTATATTATTAGCAAGAGTAAATTCCCACAACCATTAAGAGTAGACCTGTCATAAAGATGTCTGTGGACCACATCTGGAGGTTCTCAAAACCTTCTTCAAAGGCATCTCTAATTTATTAGGAAATTACTGTTTATTATAAATTTCTTTCAAAAATCAATCGCATTTTTCATCTAACCATATAATGCGTTAAGTAAAGCATTCTACACATCAGTCCTGAGAAACATACCACAAATGTTAAAATATATAATAACAATCCCTGTTAGGATATGTTCACGTTACTGCTCACTTCGTATCCAGTTTTATAATCAGATTGAAACTACTTTAAGAAAACACAAGCCAAAGAGCAATATTTGTCAAGAAACCACAAAATCAATATGGATTATGGCCAATGTTGTATGAAGGTGGCTTCAAAAAGGGGCAGACTGGATGAGAAGTAAGCAGTTATATGAAAATAATCTAAATCTGCTCCAGCAGAGCAATATTCTGCCCAC